AATAAGAATAATCATCACTTAAATAATAATAATGATCAGCAGCAGCAGCATAATAAGCATCAGAATCAATCATCAGTTTCATATTTTACCCAACAAACTACCAAAAATTGCCTCATTTCAACACCATAAATTTGTATGGACTTGGGAAAATTTTAGTGCCGGCCAATTTAAAAACGGCCGGAATGAGTTTTAAGAAATATACCGCAGAGGACAATCATATAAATTCTAAATTCGACAAACAGCCGAATCAGCTGATTCAGGGCCTAAAATATACATCAGATTTCAGGGGACACACTTTTTAATTCGGTCGATAGAGTTAATAGATTTTCATAGCCAAAAAAAAAAAAAAAACCTATGGCAGGACGTAGCTCATTAAACAATAATGTCACTACATAACTTATACATTAATAATATTTATACCTTATAAGTGTATACTAAAAATGATCGACACAAAAAAAGTAAAAGTTTAAACAATATTACTAAAATAATATAATTTAAAATAAATGCCAATGTATCGGATAGAGTGATCTCATTAATTGACCGTTATCATCTTCAAAAACATTTCTACATTAAAAACGAATACATACAATATTAAATTCGGTACATACATTTCGGGGGGGAGCACTTGGATTTCCGCGGAACACGCTTCGTGTCGGGGGACACGCTTTTCTGGGTCCAGAGCTGATTGTTATGTCCGATACGATCGCGAATCACGAATTGAGATCGAATTAGAATCCAGAACGGATTATGTTTCATCAACGTTACACCGTCCGTGATTATTGGGCGTCTAGTAATATATATATATTTCTAATTTTCGATAACGACAAAAATAATCTGCGTTATCAAAATGGCATTAACTTACTTTTATGTCGTTATCATGTACGCATTGTCGATAAGTTGGTAACGCTTTCAGTACTATGGCTTACCCGTGGGAGGGTAAAGGGACTTTAGCCCCCCATTGGCTATGTTATAGTATAAATCTTATACAATAAAAAGCAAAGTGCAAATCTTGATATTTCTATCACGATACACACAGATTTTACATATTATGGAAGCCGTTTTGAAGAAATATTTTGAGTATTATCAATAATAGAGCAAACGTAGCAAACATAGAGTAAATATGAGTTCAAAAGTTCCAGAGACATACTTCGAAATATCTGTGTTTATTCCTTTTCTTGATTTCATCATTCAAGAATATACAATTTAACTAACGACATAATATAATATATCCTATATTATATAATATCATCCGATATAATGCCTTTATAGGGACTCATTCCGCCAAATTATATAGTATATACAACGATAAAACTATTTTGAAGGTGACTATTATCTAAGTTCAAGAGCTTCCAAGTAATGATAGTTCTATTATTAAAGCAGAGCTGCGCATTTGGAAATGTTAATGGAGAATTAAAGAACTTAAACCAGATTTGGCTATTGATACATTACCAGATTACCCCATTTCACAGGTTTTTTACCAAATATTTAAATACTTTTGCAACATTGCCAGCTACCTCAGTCATACTCAAGCATACGTTTTCATCACTGAAACGATTAAAAACGTATCTATGATCAACCATGTCAGAATAACGACTTAGTGGCTTGACTTTGGCCAATATAAACAAAAAAAAAAAATTAGTTGAAGTCAAAGTAATCAAATAATTTTTTATAAAGGCACCCAGAAGAATGCAATTGGATGATTGGACCAGGTAATAAAATACCAAAAATAAATGTATTTTAAAGTTATAAAAAAAATCATAATTAATAATTTATATAATTTATTGTATCACATTTTTATTATAAAACAGTACTTACCATTTACAGATACTAGTTATGTCCTACAATATATGTATGTGTTATATTATGTTATATTGTAGATATACAATAATAAAATATTACAATCACTATCATTACCATTATATCACTTTTTATTAAAACTATAGTCTAATTATGATATCTAATATGAGGTTAGGTGAGGTTAGGCTATCTAATTATAATTCACTTTATTTATTTACATCCCATGGAAAAATCCTAGGTACGCCACTGCTTAATATGCATCTAGGTACTGATAAGGTATTCTTTACATCGTAGTTGTTCTTTTTTTGACTTTTTACATCGAATTTGTGTTGGTTTCAATAAAATTGTTTTAAATGCTTACAGTTGCAAATTAGTTAAATAATAAGGTAGTTGTATACTTAAAAGAATTTTCGAATAAAACATTTCAAAGCGGTAGAAACATTTTATATCACAAATTTTATGTTTACACATGGATAGTCCAAAGTAACGTGGGAAATTTAGTTAAAGAAAAATGTGCATAATAATGTACATAATGAGTATAATTTTTTCTGGATACACATTACGAAAACAAAAAAAAAACGAATTTCGGCTATTTTTTAAGTAGCACATAACAAAGAACCTAAGATATAGTAAACAATTATATATTTATTTTATTTTTAATATACTTATACTTAAATAATAACAATATTTGTGTATTATATATTTTTTTTCATCATATTAACATTTACGTACGTAATAAATTATACTCGTATTTTACCTAGAATTATGTAAGTATAACTGTTGAAATTTAATAATTTTTAGTTATAAAACAACTTTTTGTTTCAAACATTGATCAAATAATATGAGTATAATAATATAGTACAATTAGTGTACCAATACTTATAATTATTGTAAATTTGCGACTATTAGCATAAACGGCATCAACTATTAAAAAAACATAAACACTGTATTTTTTATAACATTCAACGTTGATAATTTTTCATTTCGTTCTGTACGTGTGACGTGTGTCATATTAAATTATAATGTAGGTAAATTTTGATTATTTTAGTTTCTCAAAAATAAACGCTGTTAAAATTATTTCAATTTATGCGCTTTAAAATAAACATATTAATACCTTTATTAATAAAAATAATGTATGTATCGAGGACATTTATCTCGTTTTCGTTTAGCAGCGCCGCCTAGTTATGTTCCTTTCAAATACCAACCATGAACCGGTACCACCACCACTTCCACATTCACTGTCGCTTACCTACACCTGGAACTTCAACCATCAGTTATTCTTCGATCGTCTACTTGTTGTGTCTTTTTTTTCTTTCATACCGATAAAGTCAGTGTTGTTTAATTCAATTAAATTTTGTTTTTTTTTTGTTTTACCTTATGTAGTATTTATATGTTGTTTTCGTTTTAGCGATTAAGCAGTACTTTTAGGTACAATCGTTTTACATGTGTGAACCATTAGGCGAGAAAACGATTTAAATATGAAAAAAGACGTAAAAAAAAGTTCGTACTACGTTTGGTTTCTCGGAGCTCAGGAATGTAAAAATGTGAGAGATGTAGAAAGTATAATTCCTGTAATTTCAACTTTAGCGGAAAGAGAAAAGAAAGTGACACCGTACAAGTTTACACTACAAGTTAGTCACAGGGGATTGAAAATTGTTCATAATGTTTCGGCGTTGACTTCGTTGCCTGGCGGGAAAAGTTCAAAAAGCGATTTAGTGAAGCACCTGATACCCGATCACGCAGTAACTTGCGTCCATCAGGACGAAGACCTCGTGGCCATGATACTGCTGCTTTACAACCCCGTCACCAAATGGCCGGTGCACGTACATGTTTACCGCTGCGATTCTGTGGAAACAGCCACTACACTTTCCGGACAGTTGCAAATGCTCATCGACCGGCCGGAAAATAAAAAGAAACTCAACGAGATAGAGTTAAGACTGATGAAATCGGAATTATCATCCTGCAGAAACAATAACGATAGTAGGCAACGAGAATCGCCGTCGTCCGAAAGCGGAATTCCTGCAGCCGGACCGGGCAACATGACTACACTGTACGACTCTTTGGCGGCCGAGTTAAAAAAGAAATTGGGCACCGGGGGTAAGACTGGCGCTCCGATATTGTTGCCACCTCGAGATTACGATACTGTCCACAGACATAGAGGAAATTTGAACGGTATAGATTTTAGACGGTGCATGAGCACCAATATCGTCGGTGTAAACGTCGCCAAACAAGATTTTCGGAGATCCGCATCAGCCACGAAAATGGGATCGAGTGGTGGATCCAGTGGTATAGGGTCTGATCACGCACCCAGCCCGGAACAATATGAACCAGAAAACACATACGCGGATAATAACTCGTCTTCAGGTAAAATAAAATTATTAATATTTATTCAAGTATTTCAAATAGGTAACACTATAATATAGTATTGTACATATTGTTTATATATATCCTGTTTATCTGAAACCTTTTCCAACCGTCCGCTACTATAGGTATGTCATATTTTGTTTTTTTTTTTTTTTTGGTGCAATGATTAAATTATAATCAATAACGAATTTCCATTAATAAAAAATACAGCCTATCGTGGTTAGTACAGCTTAATGAAAACCAATGCGGCGCGGCGTTGATAACATTGAATAGCTACATTTTTGTATTGCCATTTTTGTTCAGTTGAAACGAACGCAGTACAATTTATAATTAATAATATATAATATTGGCCTTTATAACTATACTACTCGTAATTGTCTTCTCTGCAATATCCCTATAATAAAATAGTCGCATAACATATATTATAATATAATATTATCTCCGACTCTTTGATTTCTCCGGCCGTATAGGTACACGTTTAACCGTGAACGTGTTTGTAAAGGAGTCCGGTATACCATAATATTATCATCTCCACCGATATATCATATATCATAATGTCCACTGTAATAGAAATATGTACGCACAAGGACGTAAAGAACCTTTTTCAAGGTTGACAATGTATGGCTACCTACTGTACATTATACAAGTATATTATAATATTATATATATATCGACATTGTTGACTTTAATTTTGTCTGGTTCCTGTCTGCAGCGTGTCCCGTGCACATTCGTGGAAATTAACCGTTGCAATTATCACTATCTGGTCTTTCTTTATAATATCGAAATAATATTATTCTGTAAATAGTTACGGATAAAAAGTCTTTTGTATTGATAATACGGTAATCCCTTGTTAATTTTTTATACGCAGTTGAGTCGGAAATATTCATAAATTAATAACCTCCATACATTGTATCGTTATTATACGACGTATACGATAGTTGTGCGTGATACGTGTACGGTTTTTATAACCAAGCTAGTTTTTTTAAGTTTAAAGTGGTTTCGTTATCCAGGGTTATCCACACAACTTTCCTCGAACGTAACATACGATGATAGCGGGAGATTATTGAAATAGGTATATACCGGACGAAATCGATAAACATGACATTTAAAAACACGAAAAAATAAGTTATCACAAAAACACGATTAATTGTAATATAATTTTACCTACGAAGTTTAATTTTTTAATTTAAAATGAATTATAATATTTTCGTTTGCGTTCGTCACAAACTTACAGAACCTGCCTACTGTTCGTAACAATCACATCCATTTTATGCGGCATTTGAATTACGTATGCGATTTTTCCAAAAACCAGTGTACTGGTTAGATTAGGTTTGGTTAGTATGTACCTATAATACATACTTCTAATAATAATATAGGTACGAAATTACATTATTATTTTGACTGTAATAAATCACCCTAAAAATACGGCTTTATGTAGCACGAATATATGGTAAAGCATAAAATATGTGAATGTGGGTCAAACGATTACATTGTCCTGTTTTCGAATCACCCAACCAGCTTTAGCAGCTCACACACCACACATATTATGTGTGATAGCTCGTAAAACATCTGCTGCAACCGAGTATAATGTATGTAGCATAGCATTCAGCAACTTTCTAATGATGTTTAATTGACTGTTAAAAAAAATAAAAAGTACAATAATAATAATAAATAGGTCTTTTTTTAAATTTTAAACGCTTACCTTTTTTTCTTCTTAATTTGGATACCCATCACCACTTCCAATACACCCCTCCATGGGATCCTGTCCATCATGGCTAAATAATCTCCATTCCTTATTTCCGGAAGCTTCTGGTTTTTCTTGATTCGGTCTCACCACTGTTGCCTCGGTCGTCCTCTCAGTCTTTTTTTTATATTCGTTTTCCATATTGTGTTTTTACGTATTAGTTAACTCTCTAATTAGCAAACTTGACCTGTCCCTTTGGCTTTTTAGAACTACAAATGTATACTCGGCACGTTTTGTCTTAATTCTGCATTTTATGTGCCTCGTTAATAGGTATTCTCCTCCTCGTTACTTTTTGGACAATATATTTTACGTATACGGTTTTCTCTAAAATTGTATTAATCTCTTTTCGTTCGATTTTCGGTAAAAGAAAAATTGATTTGATTTGATTGTCTTAATGCGAATTTATGTTTTTATAATTATAGCGCACAGAACATAATAATAATATGGCTCTCCATACTTGTACATGATGTATACTTACAACATACACGCTCTTACATTATTTTATTATACCTGTACATTCGGCGTTGTCGGTTTAAAGTGTTTAAACAATACAAAATCTCAAAGTACGAAAATAACCCGAGGTTTGTTATTATTGTATCCATTGAGTATGTGGGTCGTCGTGGGCGTTACTCCTTTTCTCTATGTAATGAAGATGCAACACCCTTTCTCTCGTGTAATTGCACATTTGACTTCCTTTGGATCCGATTCCACCGTGCAAAAGAGGATTTAACATGTAGCATTATAATATTGTAATATTAATAAGAACAAAAAAAATGAAAAACACAAGAAATTCGTTATAAATGAAATTAAAAAAAAATATCAGTTCGTTTTTGTTTATTTATCTCGTTTTCAACAACAAAAATAATACGTATATTGTATTACGACCTTAGCTGTTGAGTTGGAAAAAAAAACAAAATTAATCATGAAACCGGTTATAATCTCATTTAAAAACAAATATTATGTTAAAATTATTTCGTGGGCCACGATCTGGAAATTAAATTGCCACACGGTCTTTAGACTACATCAGTAGACATCGTAATAATTATATTATTAATGATGTAGTTCTCTCCGGAAACAACGTCGTTGTCATCGCGCCATTTTCGAGAGATTTGCGCATTTTTTTGTGATTTTTATTCATCCCATTCGGCAAATTATTGATGTTTTTAAATTGCGTTGTTATTATTTCCCTTCTCGGCATAATACACCCAAACGGGTGCAGTTGTTGATAACAAATCACTAGTAGGTAGGTACCCACCTACCGCGGATGATACTTCCGCAGTGATCGTTTTTATAGGCCACAGCGTTATAATAATATTAATTTTATTATTATTATTATATTTATTATAGGTACCTATTATATATAATTACACTTCTACTGTACAACAGCGAGATAATTCAGCGACAATAGTCAACCAACTGTGACATGAATTTCCTTTGAAGTTAGCGCTAAAAAAAAAAAACACATACCATCCTTGTTGACCTTGAACGTTCATTCACTTCGTCTTCTTCTTAATTTGGTAAAACTGCCGTATACATTCCTTATGGGCATCGTATCTTCCGATACATATTGTATATAGGTGTACCTCCTATACCTCGTACACTACCTACTCGACGAATTCCGTTCTCGTCGTGCACTTGGGCAACGGCCATAAAGACGACATAATACCAATGTGAATATTTTCGTTTGCTGAATGATACGTAGGTATAAATAGGTACAACGCCGCCGTAATTTTTATCGAATTATCGTGTTTTTATTTTACCATAACCCTTACAGCTGGACGGCGCCGCTATTGCCGGTTTACGCGCGATAACGTATTAATAATATTATAGTGGACATTTCGTGTACTATTATATTATTTGTTGTACTCGGACGTCGTCGTTTCGACCCGTAACAATAATAGTGAGAGTGAGTTCTCGTATTCCTGCTGCGGACGTATTATGGGAAGAAACACAATAAAAGGGGGAAAACAAAAAGCACTAGCACGGAATGTTATGTCTGTGTTGTGGTCGACGTCGACAGTGTACATTGAACGTACGCACATCAATCGGGTCGGGTGTACGAAGTGGTAGAATAATACATACAACATCGCTGCTTGTAGTAACGGTGTTGCATACCGAGTGGGTGTAACAGGACGACAAATGCACGGGAAACCGGTTTTCGGTTTTTTTTTTTTTCGTTCGTTTTAACGCTGCATCGCGTCGTCGCGGTCGTCGTGCGGACGAGAGGCGAACTTATCTTTTGTGTTGCGTTCAAGTATTAAATATTGTACAAGAATATCGTATTATTAAAAGGATCGTGATATTTAATATTCTTACTCTGACGAGTAATAATTATTGTGTTGTTAATAAAACTCCCAATAACAACAACTCTAAAATATACGCTCCCGGAATATTGTAATTTTGGTTTTTTTTTTTTTTTTTGTACTTTCGTAAATGTCTGAGTTCTAAAGGTTTTTTCGCGCATAGCTATCCGCTATTCTACCAAAAAGAATGACAACAAAATTAAATTATATGCTAAAAAGCAATTATAGCATTCTCCCTGTACGGAAATATATTGTAATCTCGATGTAGCAAAGAAAAAACTATTTATTGAATTGTATTTCAGTTTTTCTTAATGTATACGACCTATACCGCCTGCCGACCGAGGTACGGTACTTTAGGTACCTGAACATTGCTATCCTCTGACACTCCGGAACAATATTATCGATCTCATCGACGCAATTAAAATGGATTTTTTATGAATATTCCATCGTTTATCCGGAAATTAGAATTTTTTTTTTTTTTGTACTAGAGATTTATACAATAAGTACCAGGTTTTATCTATATTTTCTATGCCTTATGGGGGTTTTTTTTTAGTAAGGATCAGCGGTTGCATAAAATGGATGGGTGGCTAAAATGTTTTGGCATCATGGTTGGCCCACTCTGTAATTTTATGTGCACAATAAAAAAAAATTTTTTATTTAAATATTTAATAAACTGTGGACTTTTTTAAAACTTCAAACGTGACAAGGAATTCATTAATTTTACTATTATACGTTTATTTTATATCCGTTAACGACTTTTCTACCAGATATCTTGATTATATAAAAATGACAAGAGCTTTCTTGTAGCGTTTTGCAACTATAGTTGGTTAGCCTGGCCTACCTGTATAAAAAAAATGCCGTAGAAGTATATAATAAGCTCTATATTGTATAATGTTTATGAATATTATATTCATAATATGATTCTGATTAGTTCTAAATTGCTGATATTAAAATTTATACAAAAAAACAAAACCTATATAGGTTACACTTCCTCGTATATGACGTGCATATTTATCGCCTCTAATTAATAAGATTAAAAAAAGGATTTTTAGTGTAGATTGTTTTTCTGTTTCTTTTTTTTCTTGTAATCGTGACTTTTTACCCGTGACTTTTTTTCTCCTATATAGATTTATTCCGTCACCGCCTTCCGGACTATACATAAGTATATATTATACTACATAGTTTACCGCGACGCACACTCGGGAGGGCGGTTCGATGCGCGCGCGCGTTTTCGTAATAATTTTACAACAATTGTGTATAGGTATATGATAATAGTAATTTATTAAATCGTGAGGTAAATTTTCATAGTATATATACCTACTTCGTAACTCTCGGTAGATAATGAATTAGCAACGGTCGGGTTGCGTAAGATGCGCAAATCTTGAAAAATCAATGACCTATGGCGGCAATCATTATTCTTTATTAAGTAACTACCTATATACCTATACACATATTGGGGGTGGGCCAATTTTTTTTCCCTCGACCGTATCTTTATATTTTATTTGTACAATTGTAACAATACCATCGAAACTTATTTCAAGAAAAAAACAATATCCAATTCATGAGCAACAATTTAGGTGAATAATACAATTTCTATGTATTTTATTTTTTACGGTTTAAATTATCGCTGAACCAAAAATGGCATAAGGGTAAATGATCAGAATGTAACGAGGAACAAGTAACCCTTTATGTAGGCCCTAATGTGCTCCCTGGAAATCAGAATGTGTCACCTGAATTACAAAATATGTGTGTACCGAGTTTTATAACGTGTATATTAATTTTAATTGTATAAATGACAGTAGGTAATGCTGATAACAAACAATCAACTAATGATCTAACTCTATCTAATACATATATATAATTATCATAAAATTGTTTTGTATTAGGAAATTTTATTACACTTTAACTTACATTTAATTTATGTTGATCATTTTTTGTCTGCACTTTTTATAAATAGTATAAATGTTTAAAGTAAGTAGTGTGTAAACCCCCTACAGGTTTTGTTTTGTCAATGGAAATTTATGATTTCTATATCATTGAATTAAAAAGCGTTTCCTCTGAAATCAAAAATATTTTAGGCCCTACTTATAGTTGATTAGCAGGATATCAATATTGATAAAATTATTAGTCGCGAAACAAAAATATACATATTGTTTATAAATCATCACCTGGAATTATTGCACTTGAACATTTTTTTGGATGCGATATTTTGCGTTTAGCGGCTAATAACTTTGTCAATATTGATTATTTTCTTATTAAATGAGACCCTACGGCAGTACAACGTTATTTGTTTCTTATTATAATATTCTGATGATTTACCCTGATTTTGTTTATGATATTTTTATACTTGTACAAATAAAATTTAAAGTTATGTCAGTAAAAAAAATACATTTTGATCCACTCTAATATAAAATAAATTTACGATTTACCTCAAAAACGAGTCGGTCGATATATACGTTATATTAAAATAATTGCTGGGACTTGTTTTAACGTAATAATTTCATCGAGTTCTACCTACTCGTGTCTTGTGTATAATATTTAGACAAAGAAATTGAAAACAGAAAAGCTCGACAGCACATATCATCGCCGTGATTTGAAATTTTAGATTGTTTACCTATAATATTACCATATACCTACGTAGCTCGCTCATAGATTCATATACATATTGCAAACCCACGAAAAATAATTTCTTGCTGACTAACTATAATATTGTATACGAGTAAATTATTATTATAATATTTTAAAACCAGTTAATAGAAATATGCAAATGGTTTTGTACGACCATCCTTAAACTCACCATTAACACAGGAGACTTGAAATACTTAAAATCGTCAAAGTAAGAGTTTAAAAATCGTATTATAAACCCACAATAATAATTTAAAAAACCAGCAATCTCAAAAACGATGACACTTTAAAATCCTATAAGTAGAAAAAAAGAATTATGTGCCCTCAATAATGCCAGAAAAATAACAAAAAAAAAGCAGAAAAACTATAAAAAATATTAAAATTTTCTACAAAAACCACTGAAAACGAAATAGTAAAAATTATCATTTATTACTCGTTCGTCTAGATCGCTTCAGTATAATTGTGGTGTATTATTATTTTAAATTTGAACACGACAATTGTCACATTCGATAAACGATTTTGAGTCAAATCGAAATAACCTATTACCTATGTTTTATATTACTTATAGATACCTATAATAATTATATCGAATACAGTAGATACTCAAAACGTTTTAAATAAGCATAATTACTCATTGTATCAACAATCGTATCGGCCTAAGAGTATTATTATTACAACAGCATCGCAATATCGAAAATATAATAATTTGTAAAATGTACTTGTTTTTTTTTTTTTTTTTAACGTGACATAGAAAACTACACGGCTACAACACTCCTCTATATACATTTCACCGAACATTTAAAAGAAGGTTATGTTGCGTAGAGGTCGTTTTCGTGTCTATACAATAAACATGATTATTAACACCGATGAGAAGTTAATATTATTATTATTATAGTAACTTTACTCTTCAAGATAACTGATGTTAACCCGAGGGAGTTTCCAATAGAGTAAATGACCTATTTTGACGGTGTAATGTGAATATTGAAGTGCTATTTTTTTTTTTAAATTTTTTTTTGTATTCGACCCCCACGTTATAAAATTGAATTTATCACAGTAAATAATGTACAATTATAATTACAAGTGTTAGGTCAGGTATGTTTTTTTGCCCTTTTAATGGCGATATAATTGTGAATATATATTATTATATGTTGTGTGTTTATTAATTATCAAATTTTCTACCCATTTCTCATCGAATATACTATTTAATTTTGTGTTTTACGCTTTACGTATGTCTACAAAGCTTATGATACCGTATAAAGAGTTTATAAATACAGCGTTAAGACGGTATAGATTATGTGTAATGGGTATGTATGCTTACGCGCTGTTGCAGGAAGATCGCAAAGAGAAAATCCTTATACCTATGCATTTCGCTTGTATATAAACATTAGAAAATCGTAAATTAGCCGTATCTCTCTTGCTATTTATGAGCAGACACTTTATAATAATATATACATTCTGTATTATAATGTAAAATAATATCGTACGGCACGCATATGAAACAATGAAATTAAAATGGATCTAATAGGTTTATCGAATAAGTGTATAATATTAATATACGGAGTTGGTCTGAGCTGAGACTTATTTTTATTTTTCGGGGGTAAACTGAATCTCGGTTTAAAAAAATGATCTGAAGTATATAGGATCAGCCAAGGTTTAAAAAAATAGTAAATATATTATTTGGGTATATTTCCCTTCTCATCTTTATAGACTTTAGGACTGCCAACGGACTGGTACGATTAAAAATGTGAATTTTTTGGTTTTGCAATTTTTAATTTATAATGATTTTGGTTAAACAAATTATGTGTAAAGTTGAAGTCGTGAATTATTTTTAATGACGAACTTTTTATTGCTCGTCTCAAAATTTTTTTTTTTTCTAGGTCAACCTTATATAGAATTTAAGGGAAGAGCATATTTTAGTTTTTCTACCACATTTAAATTTCCCTGCTGGGTTTACTCAACACTTTTAAATTTCCCGGATTCAGTTTACCGATTTATAATCCGTTTCTAAATTTCATAATAGACAGTCAATAAAAATCGACCATGGAGTGTAATTAAAAATGTACTAAATCCAAATAAATATCAAATGTTTTAGAAAAAATATTTACTAGCTTTTTTTTCCTTTTATAAGTGATAATGATACCTATAATAATATAACGGTAATCGTGTAATAAAATACCGTAAAAAAAAAAATTCAGTTTGTTGATCGTTGAATTGCCGACTCAATCTAAATTTAGTCTAAATTTCTAATTTAGAAACCTTTGTCTCCGGCCCCGAGTGAACATTATAAACATATACGGACATAAAGATAATTAAAACTTAAAGGTAACGGGTAAAGTATTTTTATTTTTTTATCTGACTTGCGTTCACCATTTATTTTTTTTCCAATTCAATCACTAAATTTATAATACGTACAGCCTAATTATTTCAGACTAAACTCGATGACAACATTATGACATAAGTGGGTATTAATAGGTATAATATAATATAGTATCATGATGTTTATGCTGTTATAGATTATATGAATTATTGATAAAAAAAAAAAAACAAATTACAGTCGAGCTCAATGAACACCGTGTGCGATATATTCCCGGGTTGACCATACTCACACATTACGCTTTAATAATAATTTCGAATGTCTATATTGGCAAAGAGAGCTCCTGTGGGTATAATACACGCGAATGTACAAGACTTTCACACAGCACGATTCTTCGTCGTCGTATACACGCGGTCCGAGTCAGAGGTCGTCCATCGTATAGGTATAACATTATTATCTAGTCGATTCATTGAAATCGTCTTTTCAACTACAATTGAAAACGACGACGACCATATTATTATTATTATATTCATACTTCTCTATTGCGCGCGTGTGTATAGTTGTACTTTTTATTCCTGTCCTCGATCCAAACGAAACATATAATAAGTTTTTTTTCGTCCTGTATTTAGCACGCGTTTTTTGGCATCATTTATTATGGACGTAATCATTTTATGTGCCGCAAATATTATGTATAATTTAATATATGTATTAATTAATTTCGCGTTTTATTTTTTACATGGATTGCACGTTTCTCCTGTGTGAACTAACACAATATCGTATACGGAATATTATTATCGATTGTAAAAAGTAACACGAATATAATATGCTTTATTGCGTGCCAATAATATAAGTTGGATAACGGTACACGGCCCCAAGCACTCGGGACTCCAGTATAAAATTCATCTGGTGCACTTTCTCTGCGTACAAATTCGTAGACGTCTCGAATACGAAAAATTCAACTCCACGCGTACAAACCATTGAGTACGTGAACGGATCACCGACGAACTGGGCCCCGGTCTAATTATAGTTATTGGGCCCTTGATTTTACCCATTAATTATTCTTTTCATTAGTAGGTAGTTAGATAATAACCTAAATCTATAAAACTTAACAATTTAAAATAGCTATAAATAGCTTGAAAAACATCAGATTAGATTTAAAATTTTACCACGTCTAGGAAGTATTATAATAATATGAGTATTCGGTGAAAAATGTCAGCTCTCTACGATTATTTTTCATCAAATTACAACAAAGGTACACAATTGAAATTAACAGAAACCGGTATTATGTAAATATGTTCATTTTTCCTACAATTTTTCTTGGTTTTCCATCTTTATAAAAAAGACTACAAGGAAATTAAAAAAAAACCTTCTCAGTGCATCAACTAAACAAAATTTACTACTAGAAACCACCACCGCTAAAGTAAATGATCAAGCCAAGATTTCTGGTTAAAAAGTTGTTTACAGACAGAAAAAAAAACACATTGTAATAATAATAATAAAATATTTGTAGATCCGTTCAAAGTTTCACTAATAAGCGACTATTTCCTCGTGTAACTACAGTCAAAACTCCATCACATATTTTGTTTGTATAAAATGTATATTTCTTATTACCTATACTAAAAAATATAAAAATCCAATTATAAGAGAACCCTTTCATGTTTTTTACTCCTAACGATATTGGTTGGAGTCAATTTTTCTAAATCGTGAAGTGAGTCTTTTTGATCCTATCCGATACAAGTGTAAACACCCACCGTGATTATAACTTTCTTTTTCTTCTCCTTCTCTTTCTTCTTAACTATTTGGTGTTGATAATCCTCGCCCTAAATTTCCACTTGACCCTATGCCACCTCGCATACACCAGCTGTCCTTACATCATTTTTTATAACACCTAACCATCTCTTTTTCGGGTTTCTTATTCTGCTCAGTGGCGTATCTGTAGGGAGGGGGGTGAAGGAGGTATTCATCTTCCCCGGAGGTCGTATAAATATGTGACAATATGTGTGCATTGTTATTTTTTTTTTTTAGTGTTTTTGCAATTATTTTAAATTTTTTTTCACGAAGTCGTAAATAATATGATAATTGATAACTTGATCAAGCCTAAGATTTTAAAACATTTCTGTTCTCTATGGTCAAACCGAGTCAAAATACATGGTGTTATCATTTTGTTTTGGTGGTTCGACGTTGTTCGACCATAGGTAATAAATACATGTGATAATATATAATCTAATATAATTATTATTAAAATTATTAACCCGTGGTCTGTGGTTCGACCGTTGTCTCTTATCATTAATTTCTAGCTACGAAAGTACGAAATAATTTTACGTGTACCTAATGTATATAGTTATAGTCAACACTCAACATTAAACGATTTTCTCTTATGAAAAACCGGAGGTTAGACTTTGTATTGTAATACAATTTATTATACAATTATTCAATAACATGCATTATATTATATTATACTAGTTGTCCCGCCCAGCGTTGCCAATTTTCTATTGTTTTTTTTACCCCTATTCCTTTTTAGTTTTTGACCGTGTGAGTAATGAATAAAAAAGTGGAAAGTGGGTAGTCCACCTTCGGCGGAATAAGTGTTCTATTATGACATTTTTTTCATGATTTTCATACGAAAAATAACGAAACCTCAATTTTTTTTTAAATGGGAAGGGTTGATGGATTTCAAAGGAAGTTAAGCCTAATCTAATTAATCAGGGAGTGGAGACGCTCGACAGCGGGAAAGCGCGTGTACCGTATTGTAGTTAATTGTCGTTCGTAGACGGCACGGTGTTTGTTTTATACCTTCACGTGAACATTGGCCGACAATTTATATTAATATAAATAATAATTTAGTTGTTAATCTGTATATATAAAAATGGATCGATATTTTGTCGGTGATGTCTTAACTTGAATACCATCTAAATTTCAAACTTTTCCGATAGATTTTCCAAAAATAGTTTTTCATAATAACCTTACGAATACACGAAAAAGAAAATCAGGCATATCGGTCCGTCCGTTTTTAAGTTATGGCGTCGGCGAAAAAATATTAACTCATTTATACATACCTATATAGTATAAATGTGCGTATTTGCCGATATATTCAAATTTATATTTAAAAAAATAATAACTCTCTTGGCGCCCTCTGGTGAATCTTTATTTATTAATTTTCTATCAGAATGAACATTTCAATTTTGGGACAACTTGCACGGAATATCTTACTGATTATTCATTTTTTTGTTTTTTAATTTCTTCCGTATCACCAAGGTAACCCATAAATCAACAAAAAAAAAATTGCTGTAATAAAAATACCAATTACTCTGTGTCAGCTACCCTAGCAATGCCACCTATCGGGTCCAATTGTGAATCTAAACTACCCAGGGACCCATTCAAACACACATAAAAAATGTTGTCAAAATCAGTCAAGCCGTTTAGGAGGAGTTCAGTGACATATACACGTATAGTAGAATTATATATATAAAGATTAAACAACAATTTATTTTTTATGTACCTACTAAAATGTTCTATTGAATATTTTACAAATATAAAAATCCTGTTAGGTTAAGTTAGCCGTAACGTAAATTTTGAAGACATTTTCTATTTTAAGAATGAGTGAAAATATATTTCACCCCCACTCCTATGTAAGAGAGGCCTAGGTACGTCACTAATTCCGTTCTTTCCTCCTGCGATTATTTTTATTACAATTCTTAGTGTTTCTGATTCCTCTCTAATTGAACTCAAATCATTTAAGTCTATTTTCTATTTTTCTCTCGTTTTGTCACTTTAACTTTAAAACGATACAACTTCGACCTTGGAAAACAACAGTGGTTGTACCGCATCTAGTGATTATCAAAGTGTGACTTCCAATTCTCGAAGAAGCAAATATATAGTAGCTCGAAGGTCATACGATAAAAAGTAGTTGTTTAATATTTTTTTTCGCATTTTACAATATTTTATTATTATTAATTTTTATCGATATCTAAATACATACAAGTTGATAAAAAAAATCCGAAAAGAAGAAAAAATGGAGTTCACCTTGACTCAAGATTGTTTAGTTTTTGGAGAGAGGATCCTTCACTCAAGAATATTTGACTTTAGGACCCCAAGAGACTACAGTTGTACAACCGGAACACAGCCCTATGTATATATGTACTGTATATACGTATATTACGGTAAAAGATTGTATGTAAACATTATTTTCCGATAATCAAGGTTAATAAGTTAATAATAGATAATTTGTAAGTACTTAATAGTATAATATTATAAACTGGATGTAATAATTAATTAAAAATAATATTTATACCAAATTAAATATCTAATAATATATGAGACAGATAACAAAAAATAAAAGTAAATAGATAATACAGAGATCCATGGCATTTTGAATTATATACTTTCCAGCTGTCCGATAAGTACACAACAATATAAGATTGGTCTTTCACTTAATTGTATAGTGACATTTTTGGTAACCTTGCGTACTCTTAAGGTACTTATAGCCTGCTGTTTCTTTAAGTGTTATCATTTTTTCTACGACTAATTAAAATACGCTCTGGAGATTTTTTTTTTTTTAAATGCTGGGATTGAGAAATTTTCTTTACATGGAATAAATTGAGATCTAGTGTATTTGTATCCAATAAAACCATTTTCGGCATCTAAAAATGTACAATTCAACTTTTTAGAATATAACACAGCATTTGAAATATATTTAACTCACATAATTCATAAAATTCATTGCTGATAGTAGTGATTACACTAATAACTGCCAAGAAATATCGCGGAAATCTTCAGCTTGATCAACACAATAAGGCAACATATACAGTTGTTCTGACTTCGAGATGTTGACATTTTTTATTGTACAGTTATCATTTCTGTTTTCTTTCGTAGTATTGTCTTGACATTTGTCACCGTTTAAAGCACAAAATATAATGTTAAAATTAACAAATCTTGCTGTTTAATATCACTGTCGTTTAAATTATTACCCCGACTATATTCGATGTACCATTCCGACTGTTCCATTATTGAATTGATATTTCTATAATAGTATGCCGATTTATGCAAATCCGACTTTTGCCGTAAGCACATCCAAACATCGCCTTACATGATCACCTATTAATTCCTAAAATAATAGATTAAACACTTAAAATGAACCTATTCTACCCAATAAAACAGTGGTTTCCAGCATTGGTTAAATTCCTATTATTGCATTAATAAAATATTGAAACCTGTTATATTAATACTATTTATTTTGTTTAATGCACGGTTCTTTTGAAATTGAATGACTTCGGGCCAATATTTGGTTTTATTTTGAGCAATCCATTCTGCAAGCATGTCTTCGAAATTTTTATTAGTCTGTTCTACCTACTCGACCTTACCAAGCATAATTTTTTCTTCTGATGGTCACCTATAATGAAGCTCAGTAATAATTATTAAATTTACGAATTCTCGGCCATCATCAGAAATGAAGGATAGCTTCAAGTAAATGACATGCGATTATTTCGACACAATTTTACTTTCAAAAGCTCTAAATAAGATAAATCTAAATGCATTAATATGTTGTGAGCATATTTCGATTAAATCGATTTGAGCTCGTGAATTAAAAGCTGAAAGTAAATAATAATATATAACTTGACGGTTGTGAAGTCACCTTTATGTTATGGTGAAATATTTCCACACGTCCAAATACTATTCTACTGCGAAATTAAAAAAAACTATACCTCCTACATAATATTCCGCGGCTTTCGGTGTCTAGGTTTGTTAAATTCGTGCGGCAAACCGCCAAATCACGCGTATACGTAATGACCTCTTTCTCATGCCTTCTTGCCGCTATATAAACAAAATTAAAAAAAAACCGTGCGAATTGTGCCGTATAGATACGATTAAAAACAAATAACTATTCTATTGTTTTTTTACTACTTACATACACCACACTGGAGGTTATTATAATATTATTATTATTTCTACAGTATATTGATCCGCTGCAGGTACCCTACACTCTGTTATTCGGTTTTGCTCGCGTCAATTAAATAAGATTTAACCAATGGAATATTTTATACGTAATCACAATATTTAGGGTGACTGTCCGTGAATGTATATATTATAATTTCGCTTGCGGTCGCGGTCTTACGTCCGTGTACGCGTAGGAATTGTATACGTAGAAGCCGGTTATTTGTTTCAGTCGTAAATTTCGGGTGACGGAACACCATCGCGAGTGAAAGGATTCTTTGGGTCAACGGCATATTTTATAGGTTCCTAAATAATAACATACATTATAATAAGCAAATCGCGTCTATAACGAATAAAATTAAAGCGAGTTAATCAAAACGGCGCGGCGTCACACATTATATTATTTCGGTACAATATTATACAACCACGATAGTATTATTAGGTTAGGTCTAGTTCATCGTCCGGTATATTTAAAGGAAAATATGCAGAATTTAGGTTTTTGTTTACTTGTGCATTGCGCTGTTTTTTTTAGGTAGCGTAGCGAGGACTGTATTTATTTTATTATGATGTACAGTGGTGGATCAAAAGTTCAATTTTGAGAAAGACTTCCTGAAAAAAATTAATACTAAGCAAAAATAAAGAGGTGATACTGGGGATGGGTGTAGCTACTGTTGTAGGTGGAAAGTTGAGAAGGTAGGACACATAAGGTTATTTAATTTTTTTTTTTGTGTAACTCTGTAAGGACCGATAAACCATTGCTAACTCATTTATTGATTGAAGTAAGATTTCTGGTAGAAAATTTGTTCACAAACAGAAAAAAAAAAATAAAAAATAAAAATGCACAATAATACAATCAACACATCCATTGCTCCTCTCCGCTTTTCTTCCTTTAAAATCTTGTATATATGTGAAAAAACTTTTGTACAGGCTATAGCTGTAGTCTGGGGGGACGAGGCCCCTGCTATCTGGATCTACCATTGAATTGATGTGTGTTTTTTCCGTCTATAAACAAATTTTCTGTTAGAAATTTTGCTCCAAACATCAACTTTAGAAATGGTTTCTAGTAGACAATATTGTCTAGCTGTCAGTTGGTTCATTGAGGAGGTCATCTTTATGATTTACCTTGTAGTTTTCTCAATAATTGGAAAAAACGTAGGAAACACGGAAAAGTTTACGGAAATAACGATTTCATTACTACTTTTTATTTCGTTTTGTTTTTTTTTGGACATTTTTTATTGAATTAATATAATCGTAAAGACCTGCAATTTTAAGAGAATATTTATATTAACTTTTCCTAAATGTCAGAAAATGTTTAAAACTATTTTTAAGCTATTTATAGACATTTGACATCTAATTTTTATTTTTTATAAAGTTTTATATGAATAAAATTGTTTAAATGTCATTTTTTTTTCAATCTAAAATAGTTGAAACTTAAAACAGTTCAAATTTTAACGAAAATTGTAAAAATGACCGCATTTTCAAAACATTTGATATACAACCAAAATTTGCTCAGAATCGCATTTCGTTAGTAACGATTTCATACAGATATAGATAACTCTGTGCACCCATACCATCCCAATGTTCCACCTAAAGCAGTGGCACACCCATCAGCCAGTATCAGCTATTTTATACATACATTTTTTTTTTTTGTATTACTTATATATGTCCGGCGGCATATTGTTGTACTTAATAGTTATTGGCCACATACATATACATGGTGTATATTATATGTATTTGAAACTGAATAGGTAGTAGGTATATGTTTTATACGATTTCCAGTCCTATCGAAAATCGATTGATGACGCATGCACACATTAATATACATCAACATCGTATATGTACCTACCTACGGGTGCAAGTTTTACTAAACATCTATTATTTAAGTAGGTAATCATATACGGACGCATATGAGGACATTGAAAAATTCGCTGCGAGACTCGTTTACACGTTGGTGTAACCTAAATATATTATAATGTTATATGCGTTCGAATTCTAGATAACTGACGGTTAGAAAAAAATAAAAATAAAAACTGGTCTTGATCTAATAACAATTAGAAATCTTATACCCGACGTCCTTAAACACTTTCGTAAACTCTGTACATGCAATAATAAATAATACAAGTTTCGCACCGAGTTCATGGCGACGACACCCATAATTTGTTATTATACGTAATAAGCAAAATATTTTAAGAATTAAAGCGTTCGCTCAATATTATATTACGCGTGATCTCCAAAAATATTATACATCTATATTATTTTAACTCAATGAATATCGTTTAAAAATATAACACGATAAAATCATTTGGATTTTGTAAGAATGACCTACTGTATACTGTATTAACATGACGTCTCTATACTCCTACCAATATCAACGTAACTCCTATATCAACCTAAACTAATTGTAAATATTATATCGTATTGATATTGCGTAATTCATGTTGAAAACAATAAAATATCAAAAGTAATTACTTTTAGACGTATCTTTTAATCCGGCTTTGCATTGTACACCCTAGAATATTAATGTTGTTTTAACTCACGGTAATTTATTATCTTTTTATATAGACGAAGACTGGAACACGAGTCCGCTAGAAGAACCCTTGTTTGCCAAACCCAGTAGCAAAGACCATCCACTGCCCAGGATCAGGAGACAAGACAGCGGTGTAGACAGTAGCGGTAGTCCAGTACTGCAGACCTCGCCGGAAAAAAACTATTACGGCGGCGATGGTGGCCACCGAGAGCAACGAGAACAGCACGCCGTCAATAGCAATCAGCAGGTGAACCTCAAGTCGCGGCAAAGCCACAACATGACGCCGAATATGTTAAAGGAAAAATATTCGGATCGCAACGTGGCGCTGGTCCAGCCGAGGCCAAGGAACTCCGAACCGTCCATCAATAGTAACAACAAAAACCAGCCAACTGCACCGACAGCGTTGCAGCCAGCCCCGGTACTAGAGTTCCGGAGAAAGCCCGTGGAAGTGCGCCAGAGGACGCCGTCTCCAAACCGCCCAGCCGTTGAAATCAGAGAGACTCCCAGAGAACGGTTCAAAGACGCCAAAGAGAAGTTTCTGATGTTGGAAAAAGAGCGCATCGACGAGCAAAGGTCGGCGCTGAAAAAATGTCTGGAACGACAGCGAGGTGGTTACAAGGATAACGGGATGCCCGCGGCCATAAGAGCGGCGGTCAGGGACTCGTGTGATTGGTCAAGAAGTCACGAATCCGACGACGAAACGATGGACTACAGAAACCAGCACGGCGGTTATATCGATGAAGATTTCGACGACAGAGGAATGAAAAATCATCCGATGAGGAGAAGCAACCGATCGAGAGAAAGCCTGGATAACGATAGCTACAACGGTGGTTATTCGAAAATTAATACTCCCAACAATAGGCGATCCAAGAATTTACAGGTACAGTCGAGTTATTGAAGTCATTAAAGTTATTATAGTTTACGAAAGTACATAGTTTAAATATTAGGTTTTTAGGGAATTAAAAAAAAAAATTAGTTTTTAGCGGCGGTCCGTTCATCATCCATAATCACATTTTCCCGAGGAACAAACCTAACATCACAGAGACCCCGTGTGCTTTTAACTGACTGCAAATAATGTAATTGTGTGGTTTTGGTGTCGGTTATTTGATTGCATTCGATATTTTGTTCAAATGCAATACAACTGAAGACAGATTTGAGTTTTGGACGGACTGATTTTTTTTTTTTTTTTATCTGATTTCTTTGCAATCTTTAACTGTGGTATATGACGAGAGTTCACTAAAGATGCTATGTAGATAGCTACATCGCTATCGTCTTTTTTTAAAGACAAGTTTAAATTATTTGCATTAAACATTATTATTAAATAAATACTAACATTAAACTTTAGTATACTGAAATGGTGTTTTATCAAATATCTTTGGTCCCAAGAAAGAAATACGTAGGACTATTTTATTTACTTGTTTTTCTTTTTTTTTTATAATTTTTCTTATGTAACTTTACTTTATAACTCTACCATAAATGTCCAATAATTTTCCGTAATTTTGAATGTTATGAAATTCTCTAATATTGTCTTCTTCCCTTGGACAACAGATACACAGCTAAAATCAGTGATCGATTTTTTCCGCCGGCTTCACGGACCTTAATAAACTGCAGTGCGTTTACATTATGCTCTATATACGAATAAATTCTACTCTCCCTATTTAAAATAATGGCCGACAGGTCTCGCATATAACTGCGATTTAGTAATATAATAATAATCGTGACATAAGTATAATGATTTATAAAAATAATATATCCGAGGTAAAATTCGTAGTAAACTGCAGTATACTTAGAATGTTGAAATGCATATGATTTTCTCTTAAAAAAAAAAAAAAACGTGTGAACGTTTCCGGGAAAAAATTAGCGATTGCAATGGTTTTTTTTTATTTTTACAAAAATTTCACATTGTTATAAACGCGTAGTCGTCCGTACATATACGTATAAAACTCGTACGTGATTATTAACTTTTATTTTTTTCCGTACAAATGAAAAAGAACGAACGGATAAAAAAACCGATATATAATAATTATTTGTCTTTGGCAAATTAATTACTAAACCACGATTTCTACCGGTATATAATAACATTAAAGTACAGTTAACGTGGCAGTTGTGACGTACCTATCAATAAATCAAAATATCTAAAAATAATAAAATAAAAACAATTTTGTTGATCGTATCGAATTGAAAAACCGCGATCGCCGACGATGGCCATTGGCCTGCAGTTGCGGTTATAGATAATTTTACAACCCGATATAATACAATTTACTGCAATTCCGAACTCAACGTTCGGAAAAAAAAAATCAATTGAAATTATACGCAATCGCGTTTGAAATCGTGCGATTTATTTATTCCGGAAACGAAACAAAAAAAAAAAAAAACCCCGAGGCCTGTCTCCGATACGTTTCGGTTTCGTACACGAATAATAATATAATGTCGACTCGTTATTATATACCCGTGACAGTGGTGTTTTGGAGGGTATACAGAGGTATACGGCCGCTTATACTCATTTACCATTGGGTGAATTAGCGTATATCCTGCAAAAAATAGTACTAACGTGCACGTATACTTTTTTAGAAAAAATGTGCGTATAGCTTGTACACGGCATGCGATTTACAAATTGAGCAATCTATATTCTGCATAATTTTTTATTGTACATGCCGTTTATCAATTGTCTATACAAGCAGACCCGTCGTAAGACATTTCCCGCTTTAAAGCGAACATTTTGATACCGGTCTTTTTTGTCGATTATTAATTTAATTTTTCTGCTTCAATTCGATTAAAATTTTATGCCGGCCTAAAACAACGCATGCTTGTACCCTAGCAACGGGCTTGGAATATAAATATTAAGTATTAGAACTGTGTAACAAGTAATTTAAATATAATTGGTTATTACCGCGTATTGGTTAATATTTCTTATCTTTTATTTGATTAAAGTTGCATGTTGTATTCATTACAAGTTTTTTTAGATTTGAGACGTAGTGAGGAATCTATTAGTTTTACTATATATGATGTGTGTGTATTTTTTTTCTATCTATGAACAACTTTTCTACCAAAAATCTTGCTTTGAAGTATTTAGTACAGCGCCCCTTCTGAAAAATAATTTTCTCTAGTTGATACACTGAAGAAATCATTTTTTAATTTTTAGAGAGTTCAAAATAATTGGGAAAAACCCGAAAGAAAATTATAGGTAAAATGGTAAATATTTACCATTTTCATTGTTATTATTATGTTAAGATTTTTTTCAAATTACGGCACAACAATTTCTTTAATTTAAAGTTTTTACGGCTTATGTGTTCTACCGTAGATATTGTCCCAATAGATAAACGATAATAAGCCTTTTTTGTTGCACTTTTAATCTAGTTGATGATCAAGAAAGTCGTTTTTTAATTTTCTTTGTATTTTTTTTAATAATTGTGCAAAACTGAAAAATACGTGGAAATTAAAATAATTCTGAAATTATTTTCAATTTTGTTTTTTCGTTGAAGTTAAAAAATTCATAAAGATTTAAAATGATTTCAAAACACTTATATTTAGTTTTTCTAAACGTGGTAAAACTTTAAGAACATTTGAGCAATTTTTGAGCAATTTATAAAACATTTTAATTATGAGAGTTTTTTTTGTGTAATTTTTATTTAGTAAGTAAACTGTGAATAAAATTCTTAGACAAAACAGAAATGCTTGGAAATTTAACAGTAGATTTATTATTTATTATTAAGTTGTACTTGGTGGTAAAACAAAAAAAAATTGAGTTTAGTTTAGAATTTAAATTTTTATAAGTTTTAAAATCAAATTTTGACGACAATTGTAAATATTACGGCCTTTCAAAATATGTATTGCTGACCTTCGTTCCGAATCGTTGTTGGTTTATCATTGGTTACAGGTATAAATAATATAACTTTATGTATCCCACTTTCCCCACTACCCACCTATACCAGTTGCCGCACCGGTCAGCGTGTAATCAGCTCTTTTTATTTGTTACACCCATGTAAAAAGGTTTCAAAACTAAATATTTTGTTAAAAATTAAATATTGTTTGAAATTTGAATACATTTTGTCATTTTTTAATTAGACTTTTTATACTCGATAATGGATTTCATATCAAATTATTTTAGTTTTTTTGTTGGATGTTGGTGAAATTGGTTTTAGTACTTATACAAATAAAAATGTAAAAAAACCGGACAGCAAAAATAATATTTTTTTAAGTGCAAATTTGTGAATTTAACTACTATTTAAGAGTCTTACAAAAGAGTTTTTCTCAAAAAAATCAATCAGCTTTTTGAATCTGATTAATTTTGTGCTTATAAAATCACAATATTCGTTGTTTTACTTCATAAATGAGTTAAATACTTTGAAAAAAATACTCTATAGTTTTTTTTTTTTACAAAAACAACATTGATCCATGCCGTTTTGGGTCAACATTTTTATCGTTCAAGTCGGGAATAATTCATATCAGACGTGTACGAACGTTTACGAACAGGTTTCAAGAACGAGAAAACGTTTGGGTCAGGACCTGGACATACTGGGAATAAAAATCGTCCCCCGGGGTATTAGAAATTTCGGCCCGAAATGTTCATTTTTAATTCGAAAATCCACGTTTACATCATAGAAACGATTATTCAACAATTTTAAACAAAAACGATTATTTTTTATTTGCATACAGGTACATACATTTTCTTGGCCGGGGATTCAGAAAAAGCGTTTTTTTTTTTTTTTTACAGTCAGCGCGTTTGTAAACATCCGATTGGAAACCGATTTTGGTACATAACAAAACTTTATACCCGTTCACCATTTTTGGCCGGACTCTACACACGCGACAATAATGCACGAACAACATTATGAATATTTCGAGCGTCCTAGATTTTCACGATTATCATCGCTGGTGACGGCCGTCATGTAATTCGGCCCTAATTCGTTCCGTATGGATTATTTTCGTCTCTAGTGCGATAATCATAATCCGCTGTACATAATATTATGTATCGCTATACAACAGTACACCAAATATAAATGCATATTATTGAATTTTTTTTTCCAAATTTCACATATATAGGCAAAAAAGCGAAATTTAATTTCGCGTAATTCTTGTATCTACTCGTTCCGTTTCCACAGGTTATGCGTGCGATGGATACATTTTTTTTCTACGCGTTAGTAGTTTTTTTATGCAATATTGCAATATTATAGTTGCATAGGTATAAATCATTATAGTGATAATAATAAGTGAATATTTTTTCCGTTTTCGATTCGAATTGAAAAAAAGTTTAATTTCGTTCGGTAATAGTAACTTATAGGAAAAAACTGTTTTGGTTTCACAATAGTATTTTGTTTTGTGTTTTTTTACTTCTTAATGCGGACTTTTTTATGCATAATATATTATATATATACATAGATAAAACCGCATGCATATAGTTTAAAACGATGCGACACTCGAGATGAAGATACCTATACTAGCTATATTATAAAAAAAAAAAAAACCGTTTTGTTTTTTTCCTCGAAATCGTCGGTTCGATGATCTGAAAATGAATTGCGATAAAATATGATAAATTATATTATAGAGACACCGAAGACAAGGAATCGGTTTTCAGAAACGATTGATTATTATTGTTGCTGTTGTTTTCGGTGTATAGTTAAAAAAAATGAGAAGAAAACAAAAAAAATCACTTTTCTGTTCCACTTTTTCGTACAATATAATATGAGCGACGACGACGCGCGACTACGTAGGTACAAACACCAAGTTTTTTTTTCTTCTCTCGAGTCTCCGAAGATAATCCTAACGAGAGGCGACAGTAAGTAATTACCGTATAACGAACGGATTGTCGCGCACTGATATTCTAATATAGCGCGCGGTATACCATTTTTTAATTGAACGCAGACACTGGAACCTTTTGATTTTATCGTTGCCGCACATCACGCCGGTATGGGTGCAGCCAACTAGCCAGGTATAACGGTTCTTAATGTAAACGATTTTACCGGTTTCATTTAGGTTTCGGTTTTCTACAATATATACACTTATAATAATATTATTTGATTTTCAATAATTATAATAATAATATAAGGTTCTCGAATCGATACTATCCGTTACCATCGAAGTTCCGGGACGGGTTTTTTTTTCCGTTGTTCGTTCCCCGATCGGTAGCTGCAGATCGAATACGCTCACGTAATTTGTTACAATACCTAACAATAATAATCGCTAATATATTAACTATAATATGGTGTTAGACGTGGTAAATAATATGCATAATAATTATAATTATGTCCGTTTGCAGTTAGCATAATTCGCGTAGGAATGAATTCCACCGAAACAATTAAAATAATTATAAAACGATGGAAAAGCGGCCGAGGCGAATGCGCGGGAAAAATATCCATGTGCCTATATAATATATTTGTTCAGACTATAAATAATAGTAAAACTATAATAATATTATATAGGTACCTGTTGGTACCTATATAACCGCACATGTAGAACGTATAAGACTATCAAAACTCGAAATAATTGTAAATTTGAAACTTTTTAAAATTGTAAGACTCCATTTCTCCATTTTTATAGAATCGGAGAAAATTTAGAAAACCGTTTCCTTCTCTTCCCTCCCCTCTTTAAACCCAAATGCTATTAAAGTTACCGGTTTGTTAACTTTCGGGCTTCTCGTTTAGCTACTTATTACAAATTATGTGTAACGCTATCACGATAATAAGTATGTTACGTACTTATACGGAATTCTTCTTAATGTTGGTAAATCCATACTACAGTCATTAGAATATAGATAAAAAAAATAGTTATGTTGACCCAAGGGAAACAGTTTTTACTATCGAACTATGGATGATATCACGCCCTCTTAATATTCCGAATGTTTTAGTAAAAATCATTTTAATAATTTTAGTTTAGAACTTTAAATCAATTTTTCTCAAAACTCTAAATATTTTCGTATTTTAGGTATTTCGAGTCGTCGTGGTTTTTGTTCTATAATACTGTATTATAATAGATGTCCGAAGTAAAGTATAATAAAACTAATCGATTACAATTTTTTTTCGCCTGTTTTTTGCAGCAAGACCACGACGAACCCAGGCCGGCGCCCAGAAGTTACTCGGCGGAAGATTATCTGGAACACAACTACAGGCCGTCACCCCCGGAAGACCATCACCATCACCCGCGGTACAAGAGCCCGCAGCGCCGGGTGGCCCCACCGCCGGTGGAAGCGCCCCGGGCTGCACCCAGGCGGAATCATCATTACAACGATGTACAGCTTCCAGCGTCCTCGTCGTCGTCGCGCACAAACGATTACAAGAGGCGATCCGCCGCGTACGGTTACGAAGACGGCGGTGGTTGTCCTCCGAGCTACGGCGGGCGACACGAGAGTTCGCTAGACGGCCGGACAACTGGTACGTCCGTAACCGCTGCGGACGACGACGGGCTGCCGCCGACGTCCGCGCGGGAGTACAAGCGCCGGTCGGCGGCGTACGCCTACGAGGATCATCACCGTCTTCAGCATCACCATCAAGACCTCGGCGGCGGTTACAGACGGGAAACGGTGACCGAGGATCATCATAATGGTTACCCGACGGCCGCCTCTCCCGTGTCGCCCAGGTACAGGCACAGTTACGCCGAGGCGTATCAGAGGCACCACCAACAGCACCAGCAGTCCGGTCCGTTACAATCGCAAGATGCGTTGCAATACCGTCACAACGGTTCGTTACAGTCGTCCGGCCGTATCGGTATCGCGGCGATACATCCTTATTGATCGTATCGATGTAACAAATATGATAATAATAATAATAATCGATATAACAATATAATTATTTACCCGTAGTCAATATATTACAAATATATAAATCCTGCTAGCAGAACGGTGCCAAATATTAGGGAACACCGTGTTCGGCCTGCACGTTGTACTTATTTTTGAGCTGTTTATATTCTCACCTGTTTTCTGGCTAGTCGTACTGATCGCGTACAATCTGTTTGAGTAGTTAACAAGCAAAAAACAAAAATTCCTCAAATCGTGCGCATTATAATTATATCGTTTCGATTATCTATACTGGCCCCATTGATTATTGATGTGCAGGTAGTGTTATAATAAACGATTTTTTTTTTTTTTTTTAATAATATATTTAATTTGTTGACTGGTGATGAACGTTAAACACTCCGCCCCACCCCCGCTTAATTTGAGCTACGCACTTGGACCACTACACTGGCCGTATACCGTTTCAAACAAAATAAACGAAAACCGCGTGCCAAATGCCAACAATATAATACGCACATAAATCAAAAAAAAAAACTTAAAATTTACGTGAAAAGTCGTATACTTACTACCCAATATTAGACGCCATTATGATATTGGTCTGTGGCGAATGCTGGGAGTGCAGGGAATTCAATCTCCCCCCCCTCAGAATTATGTATAGGTACCTTAAAATTATATCCTTAAAATGTAATATGTAATAATAAAGGTATTGTAACAATTTATATAATAATTTACAACACTACAAATATTATAATATGATAATATTTGTTCATTGTCCCATCCCTGAAATTCGTCCTGCGTTAGACTCTGAAACGAGTAATGCGAAATTGAAAATAATTTCGGGCTAAGTTTCCAGGGTGATTTTTTTTATCACGTCCAGCAATTTTCATGGAGAATTTTATGTAAATTTGTTTTTTTTTTTTATCATTATAGAATTGTACGAGCTTTATAATTTCACACACTATACAAGGCTTCTTAAATACGTATTAATTTTTGATTTTCAAACGACAATCCTCCCCCCTCCCACGTTTCAACACGGTTTAGAAAACACAACCATGTTGCTATAAAAATGTTGACGTGCGTAATTTTGGATTTACCGTTTATGAGTATATTATATTATTATTATATTAAGTATAACAGGTTAAAATTTGTATCGGGGGAGTAACAGGGAAATGACGTGATACATTGATCCTAATAATGATGGACATAATGGACCATGATAAAATAATCACCCTGTATGTTTTCTAAAATACTTTCGGAAACAATAATATTATTGTTATTATGTCAAACGATAAGAGGAGAGTATTACGACATCGCGCATGGGAGAAACTGTACATAATTTACCTATATACATATACATACATATGTATACAACATAATATAAAAGTGGTGTATACCTATTGTTTTGTGAAATTAACACGACCTTTCTGACTGTATCTGTCTTTGTATACTTACATACATTATAATATAACATGTAAGTATAATATTGTATATTATATATTATTATATGTTTTTCTTTATTTTTTTATTTGTTCGACGAATATAATTTTTATTACGTTAAATCATAAAGTATTACGATGATGTTTGTTTTATTATTATTTTACCCAAGTACTAATAATAGTATTGCAGTTTTTTTTTGTTTTTTTTTTTTTTTTTTTTTTATAATTATAACGTTTCGTATTATTTTTTTTTTTGTCATAAAATGTATCGACTTAATAAAAAATTAGGTTACAACAGTAAGTATTTTAGTGATTCGTTGAAACAGAAACACGATATACATCATATTTCGTTTGACTCAATTAGTCACAATCATATTGACGATTGTGAAAAAAATCTTTGCGTTAGGTACTAGACACTGAATTTATGTGTACTTATTTAAAAGTCGTGACTTGTCATGACTCATTATAACAATACATTATATACTAATCACAATGTACAAAGGGGTAAATTAGAGTATTAATCAAAATATTGGAGTATTTAATTTAACTCCTAGCTTAATAATAATGACTGCCTGCAGTGAATTGAAAGCAATAAAAACCTGAAAAAAAAAATCGTATACACATAAATGAAATTTTGTTTATAAATACTATGAAAATAATTGATGAGAAACATTATTGTATTACATATTAATATAAAACTAAAAAACTCGACAATTTAAAATAGCCATTATACATAGTTAAGTCTTAATAAAATACGAGTTTTATTGCACACGTGAATTTGTGTCACAGGTACACGGATATTTATGTTGCATATTCATGTATTTAACGTGACACGTGAATTTCATGTTCACACTCACGTGAATTTATAAAATACGTAAATCCCGTGATTAGTATTTACGTGATCATTAGGTTACATTATTTTCAATTTTGATTTTTTACTAGAAATTTTGCTCCAACCAAAAAATGACAAAAAAGCTTTTTTGTTCCATTCTAAATCTATTTTTTTTTATAGTTGGTAATTTGAGATCAATACGCCATAATAGTCATTATACGTATACAGATATTACATATATACCTACCGGTGCCGTGCCTAGCATAATCAGCGACCGGTGTTAAGAATTGTTTTTAGCGCCCCTTCCCCCTTATACTAAATATTGTATACCTATGAAGAGACTACATAAGATTAGAGGAGAAGGATTCATAAATCTGTATTTACACCACGGTGTCCCACATATACCCATTGTAATATCTCCAGATCTCCGGAGATAATAAAGATAATCGAATTCTGGTTTTTTTATATTACTGGGATAACGACAAAAAATATTTATACTGAAATTGATTTTTATGTTTAGGTAAAAAATTTTAAAAAAATAACTTTTTATTGTATTATTTTTGAAAAATTTGAAGATAGCCATTTTATAGAATTTATACTTCTGAATATTTTGACGTATCAATTACTATATTTTCATTAAATTTGTGATTTTTATCAATTTTTTAAAGTTCAGAAAAACGAAGTGATCAGTCAATTAATCGAGAAAATAATAATCAATAAGAAAATGCGATTACAGCCTGCTGCAGTGCTGCACATGGTTTTACATAAGATATCTATGTAACTTCTGCATTATGATGTAAACACTATTATAGAGGTAGCAGATCACATCCCCGTCGCCGTTTCCCCGTCGATCATTTCCCCGTCCATTTCACTTCAAATCTCTTTATTTTCTTAAATTAAAACTGCCAGTATTTCACATTTTACGTATTTTTTATTTAATAATTTTTACGATTCTAAGGCCATAATAAATAATTGAGAATAAAAAAAAAAAATAAAAAAAAAAGTAAAACTTAAAAAAATAAAATTATGATAAAATATTTAATACACAAGACCGAATAAGATTATAAGCCGACAAATATATTATATTATATTATAATAACGATGGTTGTCGAATGACTGTTTATAACAAAGTAACCATTACACTAGTACGTACCTATTCCACTGCTTTTATCTAAATTATATCGGTATTGTTATGGATATGTTTTCGCATAGGCCAAATACAGCCAAACCGGCCGCGACTAACTCGTACACTGATATCAGATCTGATAACAGATAATAAATACTTTTATTTTGGTTTAAGAAAAACAAAATTTACAGATTTACTAACCTTATAATAATAATATCTATATTATACATTTTTTTAAAATTCACAATTATTTATTGTTTTTTGGTTTGTTTGTTTGAGGTTAATTAGACGGGGAAACGTCCGACAGAGAAACGGCGACGGGGATGTGACCATAAACCATTATAGATGGGTTTAAAATAAAATTGTACAACTTGTTTCCAGTCGACATTCGATTAATTTGATAAAAAGTCAAATAACATTATAAATAAAAAATAAAATAGTGTTCGAATAGTATTATGTACAAATGGTAAGTTTTGTTTTTATATTTCATCATAATTACGTAGAAAAATAATAAGACGATCGTCGAGACCGAAGACGGCCGTTGATATCCTCAAATAAAAATAAAACTAAGCCAAAACTCCGGCACCGCCACGTGACGTCAAAAAGAAACTACCTTCATCCTGACAATGTGTAGACATGTTGGTGTTTTTATACCAAAACCGATAATTATTTTACCAAAACTATATTAAAAATAGTTATGTTTATTTTAAGAAATATTTTTCTGTCTTCGGTTGTTATTGAAATTTATTTAACATTTTTTTTTTTAAAATTATTATTAGGTATTCGCCTATGAATTAGGTTTCATAATTATTTATTATAACTTCAATATATTATAATAATTAATATTTATATAAATATGTAATTAATATATTTATATAAATATGTAATTAATATATTTATATTTATATATTGTTCAGACAATAACTTGTCATCTGTACCTGTAGTATTTATCACATTTTTATTCACGTAATAATATATTACACTTGAAAAATTGAAAAATGACCTCCGCAATGCACCAACTAGATGTATAATGCTACAGAAAAGGTCTCCTGTCATTTTTTAATCGGATTAAAATTGTCTGTAGAAAAATAAAATCGAAACTTCAAAAATCAAAAGATGACTTCATTCGTCACTAACTAGATATAATGTGCAACAAAAAACAAAAAATATAAAATACGTTTAATTGATTATTTTAAAGTTTATATTCACGTGTATTTATCTTTTCACGTTTTCGCATTCAGAATTTCTAAGTTTTAAAATTCATTCATTTAAAATTGGCGTGAATTCCAGATTACACGGTCTCTAGCACGAAATTTTTAATTTCACGTGTACACGTGTAATAAGCATCTCTAGTTCACAGATAAAAAAAAACATCATTGTAAAGCCAATAAATACCTCAGTACGCTCCGAATTTAAAATTTTTACCATAATAACCATTTAACGAAGTGAAAACGAAGTTCGGTTAAATATGTTTTGAAAGTCCGTAATACCTACCTTAATCGTCAAAATTTGATATTAAAACACTTATAAAAAAATATATATATATTAATTTACACGCAACCTTATGTCTATTCCTATTTTGACTTGATATCATATAATAATTGATTCACATAAACTTTTTATTATCATTCAAATACAAAAAAAAAATCATATGTTACTTGGAACCAACTAAATGTATTATATAATATTTTGAAACATACTTAGTACTTACATCTGTACATTTTATTTGTACTATTAAACGTGGCTTGAAATGTCGAACAGAATAAATTGATATTTGAGCCGAAAATGGTCAAAATTGATACCTTTTCTCATAAAAACTGTCAAAATATAGGATAATTATTTCATATTCTACTTATGCATATTTTCCATATTTCGTAGTTTAATATTCGCTGCAATCGGTGTAAACGTATAACGACACATCGTATACATAAGTGCAAATGGAGGAGGAATCCGGTCAGTGACGTAGCCAGTGAGCACGCCTGGTAGGCCCGGGCCTACAAATTTGAATGAACACAATTTTAAAACCAAAACTATGTATAAGTCATTCCTATTCAAATGCTTATATTATTTTATCTGTTCTACCCAGAAAAATATTTCTAGCTACGCTTCTGTATCCAGGGCTAAGTCCCCTTAACTGTTGTGTAATCCTCTTTCAAAAAAGTGAATATTTTACATAGACATACATAGTACATAGGTACTGTATAGATTAATGGGGGGAAAAAATTTGAGTTTCTAAGGGCTAAACTAAATACGAAAAAAAAAATCATCATATTACCTTATTTAAGAAAATAAATAAATGCGTATAAATTAATTAATACTTTATTTATTATTTGTGTATAATATATAGTAATCATTAGAGACCATTTTATCAAGGGTTTTGAAATACCAGAAAAGTCGCATAAGAATTCGGTATGAACATAAGCTCCAGCCTACTCAAATCGCATAGTGTAACCTATTTGTGCCTATGACTGTGTGTCAGTATGATTTTAAAATTTCGTGTATTAGTTTTAAATATTATACATTTGCTATGGTTAAAATTGAATATTATTCGACGTAAATAAATTGTACCTATAAACTAATTCTTATACTAAGGTATTTATTAGTGTACTGCTAACTATAAACTTAACCAATAAACTATCCCCTAGCTATCCCAGGAAAAGAAGTAAAGAGTTTAATTGTCGAGTCCAATCGAAAAAACAACAACGATAACAAACCGGAGCGTCATGCGTTTGGTCGAATTACCTTTTTTCCCACATAATAAAAAATTTAAAATAGCTAAAAAAAAAAACGCTAAAATATTTCAAAAACAAAATCTAAAAAAATTATTTTTAACCAACTTCTTAAAAAAAAAAAAACAAAAATAATAATCTTAGTAAAACCAATAGATCCCCACCATTGTTAGATAAATTAGGTTTTTATTAAAATTATTAAAGTAAGTCTTATGGTACTGCGGCTTTTAAGCAGGGAAAAGAGAAAATGACTGCGACTTACCATAAAATCTATTATTTCAGAAATAAAATCACAAAAATTCTGAAAATTTGTATAGGCACTTGAGGGACAAGTCAATTGAATATTTGTATACATAGTTCATAAAGTCTATAGTTGTGACAATGATAGTCATAGTTGACCATAGCACAAAAATCTAAAATTGTCATCAATTTCAAACATGTTTTTAAATCGATCGTTTAGTTCTATAAGAATACGATCAAAAACTTCAATAATATCTGTTTTAAATTTATCCTGTCACGAAAAATATTGTACATCATCATAAATTGATTCGAAATAAAATATTTGTTCTTTCCTTTTCCGCTCATCAGAAACACTGAGATCATTCACTAACATTTTCTGCATTCAAATGGCTTATCGAATCTTAAGGGATAATAATTATAATTCATAATAATACGTGTCAGTAAGTACTTACAAACGACATTATTGGAATAATTAAAAACTATTGGTACGAATGTTACGAGTTTATGTCCCCAAATTAAAAATAATAGATTTATGATGATTATTGTATGGTAGTAATGTTTAGTTTATGTATAATTATTTATTACAGATTGTCGCAAACAATCGCGTCATACCATCTATCATTATTTGTACAGTTACTTGGTTCCAAATGATCTCTTCCCTTGTGATGCATTTTCTAGTACAGTTCTCAGCAATGTTCTTTTACGCCGAAAATGACCTGTCCACTTGAGTCTTTTTTTGGCGATACTTGGGCTTTGATACAATTCTCGGAATTCCCTGCTTTTGCGTATTCTCCATTCACCTGCAGTTTTTTCTTTGCACGGTCCAATAAAAGTATTGCCTACCTATTATAAATTATATGTTATCATACACAAAAAATAATGTAAATATTGAATTAAATATTTTTAATAGAATACCTACTCATTCTAATTTTTTTACGACTAGAGCAGGCCAATATAAGTACTTATTATATAAAAATGTAAAGTCTTAACAATTATTTTTAACCAATTAAAACAAAATAAAAATAATTAAACTATTAATGCCGTAAGATTTCCGGTTTTTTCTACTTTTGAATCATAATTATTTATCCAATTATTTATCGGGCTAGGTGTCAGTGCTTTTAGATTTGGATCAAAAATATACCTTACAGTTACAGGAAAACTCTCATGTAGACTGGTCCAATTACGGTTATTTTTTTGTTAGAAATAGATTATCTACAGTGCCTAGGTACGCATTGAACTTCGTTTTTCATCTCACATTTTATAATATGTCTTTCAAAAAAGATATATTTCAATTTAAGAAAAAGTATACGTAATGATTAATGGATAACAATTAGCATTGCAAATCATAGCCCTTAAAATACAAAATACGTGTTCGTTGGATAGTGAAAAATCCAACCTTAAAAATATTAAAAATCAAAGATGTCATAAATTATAATATAAAATAATATAAGTAATATATATGCCCATAGATAGACTAGGTATATCACAGAAACGGTACCTACTTATCTATGGTAATAATCACTTCTTTTTCTTTTTATTGGTACTAAATAATAGTCACTTTCATTTGTCCAGAGAATTTAGAACACAAAATAATTTTACTATTAAATATGGAAAATGAAATAATAGACAATTTAAGTATTGATAATATAAGTAATGATAATTCATTAGACATAATCATTGAAAAATTACAACAGTTAAATTTGTATTTAAAAACTGATAATAGTTGTAAAATGTTATTGAAACTATCAGAACAAGAGTAAGTAAAATTACAAACATAAATTAATATTTATAATATTTTAAACTAAACACCAAATTTCAGATTACAGAACGAAATAAAGTTTAAATCGAGAGCTAAAAAAATACAGAAATATCACCAAAAGCACGATCAAACTATACTTAAGGAAAATATGATTAATGAACTACAACAAATTATCGATAGTAATAATTTAAACATTGAAGTTAGCCAAGAAAATAATGCAATCTTGAATTTAGGTACCTTCTAAATACCTAATAATAATATATATTTTACTAAATCAATATATATTTCAGAGTTAGAACCAAAGATTATTGCTGAGATATGTGATAAAATTATGATTCTTAAAATGTCTGACATAAAAAATATCAAGTCATTTGAAGCGTCTATAAAATCAAATAAAGTAAAATATTTATTCTATTCATAATATCTATGTTTTATTAAATACATACCTGTTTTATTCTCCAGTTAACTTTAAAAGAATTTACTAAAATTGAAAAAGAAATAAATGTTGCGTTAGATAAACTATCGCCAAAGGACATATCACCTAAGAAATCAGAAACCAAAGTCACGCAACAAATGAACAATTCAAAACATCATAAGTCATCTGTATCCCTTTCAAATGTATCACGAAGAAACGAGCGAGATACTAATTGTAGAGTTTATTCTAGAACCCATGTCGAACATGTAAGAAGGTTTGGAAGTACAACTAATGAAGATTGTATAATTATTGAACCACAAACACACAGAAATGAGACAATTAGAATGAGACTTGAAACCGATCGTACCAGAATAACGGAAAACTTTATTAATCGATCTAATATTGACCAAAACACAAGGTAGACTTCAATGTATTGTATGTATGTATCTCAAAATTTGATTTATATTCATATAAATCAAATTTTGAATAAACTAGTTAATCATAAAGCTGATATTTAATCTATACAGTACAACTATGTAAGCCACTCATGAATAATGCTGACCATTGCATTGTAGGTATAGAAATACTGAAGATTGGAACCACGATTTAACGTTACGAAATACGGACGAAGATTTTGGCGAATATTCCAATTTCAATAGCACTGTCAATCTGCATAAAGATAACGAAGATAATAATAGTGGGGATGTATTATTAATATTACAACCACCCAACAGTTGGATCAACGTTTAACACCATTGATATAATAGAAAATGTATTTCGTATTAATAATCATTGTACTAAAAAATTAATATAATAATGTTAAACTTTTATAATAATTTATTGTTTAGTTCTCATATTTAAAAAAAAATATTAATTTGGAATATATTATTGGGAAAAAAAAATTATAAATTACTGAGGCAGTAATTGTCCATATTTCTTTTGAAAAACATACCACTATGCCAGAGCTTTATCTAAAAATTTGGAATGTGGGAATCATTTTCTAATAATATAACTTTATTTTACAAATTTCTTTTTCCAATTTGTCCTAATAACCTGAAGAAATGACCCTACAAATATAAAACAGGGTTCACACAAAGTAATAGATAATAATGAACACAAACATTTAATAACAAACCCATGGTTATTTTGAAGTTCTTATTGGCCATGTATCTTTTTCTTCTTCTAAGGCGTCTTAAAGACCATTAAGGTCCATTGCCGCAACAACAACATCCTTCCATTTTTCCCTGTCTCTTGACATTTCCTCCGCATTTTCCACACCAATCATCCTGAGGTCATCCTTGACTCTATCAGCCCACCGTTGTCTGGGTCTTCCTCGAGGCCGTTTTGTGTTTGGTTTCCATTTTGTTATGCTCCCCAGTACTCCTTCAGATCTCCAAACATGACCAGCCCATCTTATTCTGCTACTCTCCATAATGTCGGGGTAGAGAAATTGGCGCCCCCATCGCCCGATACTAAGGTATCACAATAGCCCCTTGCTGGCAGAAAGTTCCAGGCGAGCGATTCCAGCAAGGAGAGGGGAGAAATCCCCCAACCTGTTGGGCCCTCCATTAATGGGGGTTGTCGTAAGGCCAATCACCTTACACAGAAAACAAACCGATTACGAAACAACAACAACAAATTGGCCATGTATCAATTACAATAATTTTGTTATTTTAAATTCTGAATGGAGCGAGTAATGTATTGATTTTACAATGGTGTTTATTTTAATTTATTTTTTAAATTTTTTTATTTATGTGGACACTTTCTCTACCAAAAAGCTTACTCCAATTATCAAGTATAGCACCTTTTCTGAAAGGAAATGTTCATTAGGTAGTACTTTAGAGAGGTCTTTTTTTGAAATTCTCATTAATATTCGAGATAATGAGGGAAATTTGGTGCTTTAGGTTAGAAACGATTGAAAGATTAAAAATAAGGTTGTCATTGGCAATTTTTTTTATTTATTTTTTGTTTTTATTATTTTTATGTTTTTAAAAAATCATTGTTGTCACAGAAACGCGCATTGTATTAATCATTTTACCATATGACATAGATATACCACACATGGTATTGTTGACAAAGCAACATTATCAACTGAACTCCGCTTAGAATCGTTAGATTCGTTAGCAATGGTTTATCATTGCTTACAGATATGCATTAAATTCCCGTCTGTAACCTACCTTCCCAACTTCCCACCTACAACAGTGGCTGCACCCACGTGCGAAGTAAGGTCTTGTTAGAAATCTAAATTTGTACCTAGATACATAAACTAATAAAATCAAATTTGTATTTTTGTATTAGACTCAAAATGAGTAGGTACCTACTTAGGTACAAACAATATTTTATTGATCATGAAGACGTAAATATGACATAATAAGTATATTTTACTTTAAATAGAAAAATAAACATACATTATTGTAATTCATAATATAATATAATATATAATATTGATAATATATAATAATATTAGTATATTAAGTTATATTAAAATGCATTTCAATTCGTGATTTTTTTTATGCAAACAGGTTAATAGTCTCATTTTAGCTCAATGAAATATCATGTTTGATTCTGATAAAATATGTTTGAGTGTTTTCAAGCCAATAACAATGTATTTAACTATGTATAATTGGTACCATCTTGATTTTCATTGATAACACACTGGTCGCAATTTGTATAAAATTGGGAAAATATTATTATGATTGTTTATAGATAAAGTGATATTCGGAAATTTGAAATACATAATTTGCTTCCCACCTTAGTGCCAGCACTGGGTTTTACAAAGATGTTTACAAAATTATTATTTTTTTTTTTATCTGTAGAAAACTTTTCGACTAGCAATTTTGCTACAACTTATAATGATAGAAATTTTTCTAAAAGAAAATTTCACTAGAGAGTTACTTACCTTGAAGAGGTCGTTTTTCGATTTTCTCAAGAGTTTTTTCATCAGATGAGAAAAACCGATAAAAAATAGGGGATAAACGGGAAAATGTGCGAAATATATTACGATTTTTTATAAATGTCTACTACCTAAATTATTTTATTTTTATAATATTAACCCAAAATAGTAATCATTTATTGTATGAATATTAAAACAGTATAGTAAAAAGTGATACCATTGCAGTACATATCTAGATATTGTACTTGCATTATTCATGTTCCTTCATAGAACAGGTTGCTTTCGTTTACTAAATTTTATTGGTTCCCACATAAAAGATTTTAGGAATCTTAAGGCTAAAGCCTTTTTATATTATTGTACTTATATTTATTATTTCATATTTTTATCACTTGAATTAATATTCACAGAATAGCCTATAACTACGGAAGAACAACTTTGCAAAATATATAGCTATTCTTTCTAGAACAGTTAAAAACACTCTACTACTTTAGTATAATGTTCCTGTTAAGAATCAATAAATAAAAAAAAAGATACAGACAGTTTGCACAATGGGTGGGCCATTGTTGTAGGTGAAAAGTTGGGATGGTAGAAGGGAAATTTAATGTACATCTGTACGCAACAATTAACTATTGCTAAGAAAAACGATTCTAGTCAAAGTTCGGTTAATAGTGTTAATTTGTCAACAATATATGTTATACATTATGGTAAAATAATTATAAATGTATTATATATTTTCTATAATAATATTTATTTAATATTGTATCTATTTTTCCGTTTTTCGTATTTATTGGGAAAATTCTTAGGGAAATCAAAAAATGACCTTCTTAAGACACCACCCCAGTCAAATTTCCTTTCAGAAAAAGTACTACACTTGAAAATCGGAGAACAATTGTTGGTAGAAAAGTTGTTCAGAGATAAAAAAAAAACAACACTGTAAAATCAATACATTCCTTGCTCTGCTCATCTAAAGTACTTTAAGTTTATGAAAGGGGGGTTTTTTTTAAATACATACCTACAATAATTTTAAAAGGGTTGATGGTCAAAGGTGACATAGTTTTTAATTCAGTATTGTGTTCTATCCAGGACCAGTTCACTAAAACAGGTAGCCAAAGTTAAAATTGAATGAACTGATTGTGATTTGTAGCTTCATTTCACCAGAGTATATGATCACAAATCTGCCTTTTAGACATTTTGATAAGTTTTCATAAAACGACAAAAATTTAAATAAAAAAATAATGATAAATTGGAATCTTAGGAGAAGTCAAGAAATAAATAGTTTTCAATGTGCTACAGAAGTATAAACATTATTTATTTCAAAAATTAAACAACTATTATTGAGGGCAAAGACTAACAAAAGTTTAATTTTTGTTCGATTGACAACAAATTAAAATTAAAAATAAAATAATATATTTGTAACAATAATTTACAACTTTTCCACTAAGATAAATTAATTAGAAAATTATTCATATGTATCAATGTTGGTAACTTTTTGAGTAATAGTATTAAAATGTTTATTTTTTTTTTCCAAATATTCCCTCAAGAGCTTTCCAAAAAAAAAAAAAATATATATATATATATAAATAACACAAGCTATTATAAGCGTAGAATTTTAATTGGAAACATTATGCGCTTTGTATAACATTTAATACAAATTTAATAAAAAAAAAATAATAATCCAATAAATATGAGAACAATATTATATATTATCATAACAACTTATATCTATTACGCGACACACATAGGTCTTGAGAATTTATAATCATGAAATTTATGACAAATATAAAAAAAAATTATTTCCTTTGTATATTCAGAATGATACTTTACTTTTGAACTTTTTGTTAAAAGTTTCACATTTAGTATGTAATTTTTTTTTTAAATTTTAGAATTAATTGCCCATTTTGGAAAGACCCTTGAGTCTTTGTTTAGAGTATATTATAATAATAAATCATAATATTACAACACATAGGCATAAAATAATAACTAATAAACTAATGATAATAATAAATATAATAATAGTAATAGTAATAATAAAAACAATAAAAAGAAGTTGTGAAAAAAAAATAGTTATATAATATACAAAACTATCACATTTCGTTTTCAACACATTGATAAGAAGACATCACGTAATATATGTTCATATCAGTAATGGTCAACTTATTTCACTATATATATATACATATTTATATATATATAAAAGGATAAATAACAATAATTATAATGAAATTAATAATGGTTAATAAATTAAATAGTATTTACCAACGAAAAAGAAATTTTGTATAAATGTCTTTCTTCTGAGACAATAGTTCATTATTGCAAACAAGCTTGGACTTTTTCTATCCATTCTTGTGCAGTCGACATATCACTGGCAGAGAAATTGTACGTTCTTCTGTTTGTACGCAGCTAATGAAAAAACAAATTTAGCTAACTAATGTAATTCGATAAAAATGTTAGAAAAAAATATGTTCTCACATCAAAAAATGATTTGTCATCAGTTTTTTTTGGTGCTCCAGGAGTTGGATTTGCTTGAAATACAGACATCACTTCAGCAAGATCTAAATTGAACAATTTAATTTAGATTGTTAATGAAAAATTCAGAAAAAAATATTGATATAAAATTTATGAAGTATCATGTTTTTGGTTGAAAAACCACTTTATCAATGCAAAAAACAAAAAAAAAGAAGTACTGAAGAAGACACTGCTAATAAATTTGCAACTATTATAAGTAAAAAAAGTTAGAATACATTATTTAATTTATATTTGTAGGCAAAGATAAATCACATAGATAATAATTTGTATCAATATTCTTTTCTTTTCTTAAGTACAATCTATGTTAAATTGTTGAGCATTTCGGATGGGCAAAAAAATTATATTCACATAAATTGTAAAAAAGATTTAAAAATAACATGACAATTACAATTTTCATTAAAATATAAATTTGATGCTTAAAACAAAAACTACTATGTTATGCTCAAATTCATGTTTTACCATTAAAAACAACTTATGATGAACCTAAGTATTACATTTTCAAACATTTTTGCTCAGTCAAAACAATTTTATTCATATAAAACCAAAAAAATAATAATTATAAAATGTCTATAAATAGCTTAAGAAATAACCTGAAGGTTTTGAACATTTTTATTTCAATTTCAGGTCTCTACAGTTATTTTTATTAAATAAATTACAACAAAAAAAATCCCAAAACAGTTATTGTGTAAATTTTCCCATTTCATCTATATATTTTTCCAATTATTCAATAGAGTTAAGGAAAAAAACATTATAAAATCGATTAATTCCTTATAATGCTCAGAATCTAAAATACACGATATTTATACAAATAATAAGATCACCTATGTATCCTTTGCAATGAGAATCATCCATAGAATCATAGTATCGCAATTGGTGTTTAATTGAATCTAAAACGAACCAGCGTTGTTTCCACGCTTTTAAAAGAGCACCACGTTTGTACAAATAACCTTCATGTGTTCTATTTTCAGCAACATTTGATGAAAACTGTTCATAGTAATGCTGATGGCTACCATTCATGTCTAAAAAGCATAAATTATGTTGTAAATATAATATATTATTATTATATGAATATATACTATAAATTATTATACTATTACAAATAATAAAGTATAAACAAAATTCCATATAACTTAAAATTATACAATTAATGTTAATAATAATGTTTATTTTTAAACAATTTACTTGAATTCACAGAAGCAGTATCACCGCCTGTTCTATTAACATTTTGATTAGTCAACGTTCTGTCTGCAACAGCTTTATATTTTGTACAACTTTTTGGTACATTTTCTAAACATTTTTCATGACAACTATAACCACAATCACAGCATCTCATGCCAGTCTGAAATGATGAAAAAACAAAATGGATATAACATTTAATTCACTGAATATTTTTTTTACTGCCAAAAAAGTTTCAATGCTCAACTTTTCTTGTTCCAATTAATTTACCATACAACTTTAAAGAACTTTGTGTCAAATTTTCAAATTAATAATTAATTTAAATATTTTAAATAGCTGAAATAAATAATTGAAATGCGCCAGAAAGTTTTTGAAACTACTATTACTATAAAAGGCTCATTTATTTTCTTAAATAATGGACAGTTAGTACAATTTATACAACTAACATATTTTTTTTGAACATAATTAATATAAGATACAATATAAAGTGAATATAATAAGAATAAGAATATATAGGTACTAGATATACAATAAATTATCGTTTAAAAAATTCTAAATTATTCAATTTATTTTAGACACATAATAAAATATTGACAGGGGAAAGTGCCATATAATTTTGGGAATAATGAGCAATATACAATTAATCTTTATTTCTAAAATCATGGTTATTTATTTTAAAGAAAATATTGGATAGCAGAGAGAAGTCTTCAATATTATTAAGTAATTTAAATAGAAATATTTTATAGTAAAAGTTCCTTTTGTCTTTTAAAGGCATCAAATTTAAGTAATTAAGAATATCTACATTGTCAGAGAAGGGTCTACATAAATTGCATTTAAAACAAAGAATGAATAATGTATCCCATATAATTGAAGCATATTCCAGTTGGGGATGAATAAGTATAAAGACATTTTAACATGAAAAAAAAAGTCCTAGGATAATGGGGAAGGGTACACAGCAACTTAATAGATAATTTAATGTATATATGTAAGCAACGATAAACCATTGCTAACAAAATAATGATTTTGACCAGAGTTCAATTGATAGTGATGCTTTGTCAACAATATATATAAATACATATATACATATATGTCATTTTACAGTAAAATAATTAAATAGTATTAATATTATTTGTTTAATGTCGCACCAGTTTTCCAAGTTTTCCTACATTTTTCCTAGTTTTCCTATGTTTTATCCAGGTTTTTCACATTTTCTGGGAAGACTCCTAAGAAAATCGAAGAATGACCTCTTTAAAGTACCTCCCTAGTGAAATTTTTTTTTCAGAAACATTGCTATCATTATAAATTTGAAAAGTTGAAAAGTTGTGCATAGGAAAAAAAAATCTTTATAAAACCATTAGCTTCTTTGCTCCACTCAGAATCTAAAATTATTGAAACAGAACCAATATAGCTTGATCATGTCAATTAAAAATCTTTTTCCTTAATTGTGAATACATATGGAAATTGAATAAACTTTGTATCAAAGATTATTCCAAAAACTTCAATTTGGGAGAATTGAACTAAATGTTAACTAGATAAAGATTTAAAGTATAAATTAAAAAGAAATTAAAATGGTACTTTTTATAAAAGGAGATGCTTTGGCATTTATTTATATTAAAGGACATACCATTTGATGTACACCAATAGTTGAAACTATTTAAATCTTTCTGTAAAAGTTCAGTATCTACTGCATTAATACATTTTAATATTTTTTTGTCATCAGTTTACAAAATAATAAATAATTGAAATATTAATATAGAAAACAATATCATAAATAAATAAATTGAATAATAGTGCGGAAAAATGACCTCTTCTTGAGACTACTGAAATGACTGAGATTTAATTTAAAATAATATGTTTATACTTAATAAATTGACATCAATGAGTTAGAAAAGAATTAAGCCATGACAATAATGAACCTGTGAAACAGATTTTTTTAATCAAAATATTATGGTCAATTCTATAATTAGTTTTCTCTAAATCTGTATGATACCATCAAAATCTCAATTATTTGAAAATGAATTTAAAATGGATTGTTTGAAAGATATTAAATTAGTTACTAAAAGATATTCAAGATGTAGAATTTAGTTGATTTTTTTAGGTTGATCCAATTATTTTTAACATAATTGTAACAAAATCACAAAATAGAAAATGACAGAAACTGCTATTATATAAATATTTTAAGTTTTTCCAATAGTTATGAAAGCCACAAGGAAAATTAAATAAGCCCAATGACTAAAAAGCGGTGAACCAATATGACTTTTTTCTGACATCTGGTACTCTGTTATTGCATAAATATTTCTAGTTTTTCCAATTGATAACCTTGAGTTTATATTAAAATTAACCAATATATAGGATGGGTTTTTATACCTAATTTTTAAATGCTTTTTTTTTAAAATATTCCAGTGAAAATGTAGACATATTTTTTGTAAAAATATCAGGTCAATTATGGTTTTATTTTTTTTAAAGATAAACCACAATATATGATAATCCATTAATTTCAATGAATAAACTTCCTGAAGTTGATGACCAGGGCATTATTTCTGATAAACATTGTTTATAGACAGAAAAAATAGGTATAGTAAAAACAATTGTTTGCTATACTCAGAATCTAAAATATTCAACAAATTTAAGACAATTTAATGGCTCAAAGCAAAATATGATTTTTAATAGCAAAATATAAATTTAATTTTGATATAAAATGTAACTATGGCGAGATTGATGAGTTAAATATTTTAACACTATATTAAAATTTACGTACGTGAACAATGCAAACATCAAAAAACCTAACAAACATACAAATATTGATTGTTCCATAAATCATACACATATCAAAAGAATTTAACAAATTATAATTTTAAAAATTTAGAATATGTTATGTAGAAGACATTTTTGGCAATTTGTAATGAATTTAATTCACAATAGATAAACACAAAATACAAAGATAGTAAATACTAAATATTATTTTTACCTTTATTAGACCCCACAGAAGACTAGAACAATAATCACAGTATGTAGGAGTGGTGAAGTTGTATTTTTCAAAACGGTGCGGATGAGAATGAGGTGGATTTGTGTCTGCATTCGTAGACGTTGTATTACTCGCTTTCCCACGCTTAAGAATTTCTAGTGTAGACCGTTTGTGCAACAATCGACCATGATATCTTACCAGTTGTGTACTAAATGAAGCGTGTCTCTAAAGAAACAAATTTATTTAAACTAATGCTACAAAGCTTTTCAAATAATAACCTTTAATGAATCTGTCATAACAGGAATTTCTAATTTGTCCCAGAGCACTTTCCATTTTTGTGGCAAAAGTCCAAGTTCAGTTTCCAATTTGTGAATTTCATCTAATTGATGTTTAAATGCGTCTGGCATGTAACGTTCTATTATGTTATACCTGAATTTGATAATGGATCAATAGAAATTACTATAATTGTATAATGTGTATGTTACATTCATATAGTGAAATTACTCATCACTCATTTCATAAACTGGATGGTGAAATTTATCCAGATGATTAATTTTGACAAAAAATATATTAAATGGACGTCCATTTCATGAAATAGATAATACATATACTGTGTACTTTATGTAATTAGTCTATAAACTATAATTTTATATATTTCTATTTATTTTATAAGAATAAACGCCAAGTGGCTTTTGAGAAAAATATTAGCAATACAAAATAACATAACATTACAATAATTACAATGTATACAAATTAGAGAAAGAAAACAAAATAAAAATTGAATTAAAATTTAAATAACATATAAACTTAATGTTTAATTAATTTTACAAAGAATAGAACAAGTAAACTGAGATATTGAAGTTGGCCAAGGTACGAAAATACTATAGATTATTATTGATAATTGATATCATCCTAACTAGAAGAGAATATTATTTTTATGAATGAAAATATAACAATAAATTATATTATATTATTTATAAATGAGATAAGTCATATTTAACCTACTATAAACCATACTAAAGTTGATAGAGGATCTATCTTCTTTATTGGCTTTTAATACTATTTAAGAATTTTTCTGCCATAATGTCCCTCCATTTTTCTCGATCCTAAACTAGTTCTCACCAATTTTGTACTTCCACCCTCTTAAAGTCCTTCCCCACAACATCCAGCCATCTTTTCATGGGTTTTCTTCGAGCTCTTTATGTTGCCGGTTTTTACTCTAGAGCTACTCTGCTAACATCATCTTCTTCTCTTCACATCACATGCTTCAACCACTGAAGCCTTTGTCCTTTTATGAAGCTAATAACTGATGCCATTCCCATTTCTTCCCGTAGTATTTTGTTAATATTTTTCCTCCACACTTCTTTGGCATTGTCATAAATCGGTTCACATTGGTCCACCATATTTTATTTTATTACCATAGTATATGGCCTTAATTTGGTTTTTTCGGAGAATTTGATTTTAGGAACTTACTTTAAGTAAATAACGCTCTTTCAGCTTTTATAATCCTTAATCCTATCTCTCTTGACCAATCATTTCTAGTACTCAATACTGTTCCAAAGTACCAACATTTTTTTACTTTGTCGAAAATAAGTGATTCTGCATCGGTGTTGTCTCTATTATTTAGCAGTTCCATTATTTGGGTTTTTTTCAGAATTATTCAACTGGCTGCTTACTTGAGAACTTTTTACTGATCTCTCTATATCTTCTATTTGATGATACCTGACTACTACTAGCTTTTTCCAATGCTATATTGAATAAGACACAGGACAGTGAATCACCCTGTTTTAGGCTTGTATTTACTTCAAATGCTTCAGACAACAAATTTTCGACTATTATTTGATACTATGATACACATTTTTGTTAGCCACATAAGTTTCTCTGGGATCCCGAATTTCTCCATAATATTATAGGCTTTTTCCATGAATGCGCTGTCACAGGCCTTTTCAAAATCAACAAATAGTTACCAGATGTTTTGGTGCAATTCATACTTTTTTTTCTATTATTTGGCCTATGACTGAAAGCTGTTCTATTTGTCAACCTGCCATTTAGGAATCCTCACTGATACATGTCAATATTTTCCTCTAGATAGGAAGTTATTTGGTTCAGTAATATCTTTGCAAATACTTTATAAGCCAAATTTAGGAATGATATTCCACTGTAATTTTCACAGTTTGTCTTATCATCTTTCTTGTGTATCAGTATCATAGCTTCATTCAGCTTTGATAGGGGGTCATAGATCCATAAAATATATTTGGTGTGATCATTAAAAATTAAAAGGATTACACGAACTTGGAATAACTTGGAATAAACTTTGTACTCTAGTTTATATAAGTAATGGTTTAACAGTGAATTTTTGAAAAAAATATATAACTCAACTTATAACTACTACTGATTAAGTTAATAAATAGTTCATAAATGGTAAAAAGTCTTTGCCAATCAAGTAGGTGTGCATATTTAAAAAAAAACTTCTTATATAATAATTGGTGTCATAATTAATTGTCATACAAAAATGAATAATAAGATAAAAAAATATTTAGTTCATAATTTGAAATTAATTTAATTAATATTCTCAATCTCACTTATAAATAATACGCATGGGTTTTTAAAAATATAATAGAATTTACTGTTATATTTTAATTCATGTAATATAGAAAAGAATAGTTTTTTGACTAATTGCACAAAATGTACAGTATTATCTATTTCATGAAATGAGCGATTTTAATAAAACTTTAATAATAATTACCCAGTTGTAACAACTTTTCGAGTAGTCTTGTTAGAAATACCATCCGCTGCTTCAGCTTCCTCTTCTTGCTGCATGTCCATTTGAATAATTTCTAAATCGTAACTCGGCCCGTGCGCTAATTCTTCATTCAAATAATACTGCCAAACATTTAAATTGGGTAATGAAGATTGTGGTCTAAGAACCTAATTGGACAAATGTAAATAATAACAATAATTAATTTAACAATAGTTTATTAATATAATTAATTATAATATGTGTACCGGTTGATCAGTATTTGGCATATACATAAAGTTGTAAAATATAGATGTACGAGCGTTGTATTTTTCAATGTAATCAAACACAGATTGTCCTAAATTTGGAATATAATGGGCAGAAATATTATTACCGGCCAAACGACCTCCTGTAACACATTATACGTCATCGATAATATAATTTAGATACATTTAAAAAAGAAAAAACACACTATACCGGGATAAACAATGTCGTCATCTGAACCGGTATCAACACTTTTGTGATGTGATGTCAATGATCCTCTTTTGTCTTCAACAGCAGCCACTCCACACTCTACTCTCTCCAACTCACAATCCAATAAAAATGTTCGAAATCGACAGGAAACTGAATGATATGCCAAAAATTTCAAATAGTAATCATTAAATTCAAACGACAATGGAAACTGGCTATGAATTTGATGAACAATATCCAGAAATTGTAAAAAAGTCGGAGCGAATCCAGAAGCTTGAGACGCCGTAGCTAAATTACTACGATGGCTAAAACGATGACCAAATGCAAGCCATTCCTTTTCAATTAAAACACGGAAACCTTCAATTGTACGATAATAAGGGTCCATGCATAACTGTGCTATTGATGATAATTGACATGTTATATCCCAGCCTTCTTCTAAGCACAACATAACGGAAGAACCTTGTACATCAATCAAATCTACTATGGCTCCAGATAACTGCATAATGCTTCTTAACTGTTGTAACCAGTCAGAATTTTCAATCATTCTAAATCAATAACAATTTTATAATAAACTCAAAATCAATTTCATAATATTAAAGAAAATAATTAAATATTTCTTAATGGGGGTTTTTTTTTTAAATTTATATATTATGATGTGATTTTTATTAATAAATAAATATAATATTTGATACTGTATATTATTACATAATTAATACATTATTTACACTTTGGCATATCATGAGAAGAGGAATCAAAAGCAGTAAAAATTGTGATGAAAATAAACATAAGAAAAAAGAAAAAACCAAAAAAAAGGGGTTGATGCAATTGAGAATGATGTGAGGACAGCTAATGTAAGCAAGGTGAGAGATCAAAGTCAAGTATAAGTTTAAATCAAAGGAATCTGTTCAGTGGGGCCCATTGGTGATTGACCCAAAATAATTCAGGTGAAGGATGGAGAAGTAGAATACACTCCATTACTTAGTTAATTTTAATTAAACAAAGAAAGGCTGCTAATACAATATTATTAATATGATAACATCCGCTAAATATTAATTGATGTCAGTTAAGCTGACTTTTAATGGTAAGTTTAAAACATATCATTATTATAATGCAACCCTTCAAGCATGAAAAAATATAGGAGTCTAAGAAATTCAATAAACAGAGAATATACAAAAAGTATTTTAAAATATTTGTACAGAGGTTAACAAACAACTGATGAAAGGCAAAGATAAAGGTAAAGTATATAGAATAGTAAAAACCTTTTTCAAAGAGATAAAAAACAAACTGATATGAAAGAGAAAAGCGGTGACACTCTATTTGAAGAATCAGAAGTAGAGATAATTGGAGAGAACACCGGAAACACCTGTACAAAGACCGAAAAGTTACAACCACAGACAAACAAGAGGTGGAAAGACATTCAGAAAATAGAGACTGAACAATAATGAAGGAAAAAATTAAGAAAGCACTAAATGAATTTAAGGATAGGAAAGCATCATGGATATATGAAATTCCAGCACAATTTATCAAGAACAGTGGAGAAAATTTCAAGAATATTCTATATGAACTAGTCTATAAAATCGATGATAATAGAAAAATAGATTTTACAAAATGCATATTAGTGCCAATACCAAAAAAGACTGGAGCGAAAACATATGAACAGATAGAACATTAAGTTTGCTTTCACAAGCATCAAAAATTCTCATATGTATTGTGCTGAAATAAATAGAAAACATTATAGATAGCCTACTAATTGAAGACCAGACACGTATGCACATTTTGTACAATTATAATATTATATAAATACTATCCTGTTGTATAGAGTATGACAAACGCCTACTGAAAGGTCAAGAAAACAAAACAGCTTAAGAAAGCTATACTTACATTTAGGCAAGTGATTGAAAAACAAATAGGAAATTCTATTCATAATAGGAATAGGAAAATAGGAATCAACATTCATAGCCTTTGAAGACTTAGAGAAAGTTTTTGACAACATAAAATGGAAAACATTCTTTTTGAATTTTGGACAAATCAGGAATTGCAAAATAGAAAATAGTTAAGTTTCTTTAAGTGCTTTATAGATTTAGACAGGAAAAAGTGAAACTTAAGAAAGCCGAAGACAGGGGTACTCCTTATATAAATGTTTATTTAACCTTTATGTACAAGAAGGAATACAAATTCAAGGAAAAATAAATATGTAGTTGACGATGCAGAATTAACAGAATGAAAAAGACTAACAAAATATTCTAATGACAATAAATATTTAATTCAAGAATAAATACAATGTAAAAATAAATAAATCTAAAAGTAAAATCCTTGTCTGTAGTCATAATGAAATAGCTCAGTCAGATATAAATCTAGATAGTAACACACTGGAAGGTGAAAAATATAAATACTTAAAAATTATGATTATAAGTGATGGAAGATGAGTCCAAGAAATAATATGTGTACAACAGTCTTGATGTATATTCTATTAGAAAAAGAGCCTACTTACTTGCACCGTTAAATCTTGCAAATGTGTGGATACATGAATTGAAACGAAATAATGTTAAGAATAGAGGGTTCATATAACAGAGATTCAGATAATCAAGGTTCTAATGTCTTTAAATTTTAAGTATGGCATTAGAGGAGATTTCTTAAAATAAGGTAGGTAGTAGATTGTATTACAAATGAAGAAGTATTTCGAAAAATGGGAGAGAAGAAATTTTCTGAAAGCCTTGAAGAGCTAAACTAATTAAAAATACACTACAAAGGTATAAAAATTTACTAGGAAGAATAGAGGGGAAGAACCACCGAAGAAGGCCACTACTTAAATACATAAGACAAGTAGTTAAGAGATACAGAACATATTACAAATTAAAGAAAAAAGCAGAGAAGTATAAAAATTAAAAGAATTTCACCAACCAGCTCCTGGGTTGTCAATGGAAGACAATTAGCATAAATTTATATATTTTAACTAATAAAAAAATAATACAATTTTCATTGTCTAGTAATTAAATTAACTGTTTTACTTTAATTGAAAATGAAATAACTTCCATGTTATCTATTTCATAAAGTCTATTTAGCTCTTATTAAATGAATTAGCGCAAATAAAAATTACCACCAATTGTTATAAGCCAGATTTAGTATATCAGGACATTGTAATAACATTTTAAAAATCTCACCATTAAATATATTTTCTAATGGAGGGTTTAGCAAAATATTATAACAGTCTTAAGTTACCATTTATATTAAATTATTATTTTTAATTTAAACCACAATTTCAATATTTTTTAATTTCGTAGTTTATTTTGCCCATACATTTTTCAGACAAAAATAAGGAAAACATATATGAATTTCATACTAACTTGTAAAAAGAATGTTCAGGTTCATTACTAGTAGAACTTGGTACACATGCTCGCATAAGTTTTTTAAATGAAGTCTTAGTATGACGAATATCTGCATATTCAATTGGAATAAAATCAATTTTCATGACAGAATCACCTTTCATACCCTTTAAAACCATTAAAATTACCATTATACTGTTTCATATATTATTCTCCAAGTTTTATTACTTTCATTTGAGCTTTATCGCCAAGTATATACAAAGCAGCTTTATGAAATTCATGTGGACTATCTGTATTCGAATCAGTATCAGCCATAGACATTCGTCCATATTGCTGACTTTGAAACATGGGAGATGAGTAACTGTTATTTGATGAAATATTATTATTTCGCCGTTCTTTTAATGAACCCCAACGTCCAAATTGTTTATTACCACCACTAGATCTCATTGGACCCCTAATTGTACAAAATAATGATTATATTATATAAATAGGCTATTAATTTAACATACTATATATTGACTTTTTAAGTAAACATGTTTTATAACTTGAAGTTTTAATTTAATTACATTTGTTCAAATTTCTGTTATTATCCTAGTTTTGATACTTAAAAAATATAAAATACTGTAATATATTGAGAAAATGATTGTACTCCAATTGTAATAAAAATAGAAAAAAAATTTAATAAAAAGTATGTTAGCTTATTAATTTTTAATACCTGCGAGAAATATCTGGGGATGGTATGTCTTCATCTGCAGCTAACAAAAGGGAATTAATACTAAGACTACTATCCGATAATCCCAAAGCAGCCCCACTATGGCGTAAGGTCGATAAAGGGGTCAAAGCAACTATAGCTGATAAGTATCTTTCTTGCTCTACAGAAGAATTGCTTTCTGAATTCAATGTGCCTAAAATTATTAGATACATAAATAATAAATATAATAGTAAAATTGGTAAACATTTGAATGTACTTGAAAAATAAATATACCTGTAGATGAGGGATGTGTTGATTTAAGCATTCCAATTAGATTTTTACCATGATATCCTGCACCACGTAATAAAAGTGCTGATGTTTGCTGGTGACGCCATGTAATTATAGGAACTCTACTATGACGATAGTTTCGATAAAACCTTCGAATACTATCATCTGACATAGTTGATGGAACTACCCATAGTGCAGGGTAACTGAAATTGTATAAAATATAATGATTATTAATATATTTGTCTTTAATATATAATAAATAATAACACTAAATTAGTAAATTTCATATTTAATACAAAATTAATTTAGTTACCTGCGACACAGTAAATATGCTGAATTTAGTGGAGTAATTTTAAATTGTTCTTTATTGTTATTTTTTTGACCAATATTAGTAGAACTAGTATTTTTTGGTGCAAGACCTAATCTAATCCAATCTCTTACATAACTCCTTTCTGTCACACGTTCTAATGTTTTTGGATCAGAAACATTAGAAACAATGTTAGGAGTGTTCATCCCACTGATATCTAATTCATTCACTATAATATACAAAAATAATACAGTAATGTCAAAATAATTAAAATCAATATTGTAATTAATATACAAGATAAAGTGATTTAAAAGATTTAAAATTAAATTTTTCTATCCATTCTTTAATAAACCAAATTAAACTTGAGGTGCATAATATATACAAAAGAAAAGTCTAACAACTAAAATACCATACCCTTTTAAGTGTAAACAAATATTTAAAAATTAAATTTATACAAAAAATAAAGTAAGAATTATCATTTAAACGCCAAATGTTACCCCTGAGGGGGCTTGGGAATAAAAATAAAATTTCCTAATAACCCTAAGGTATTATATATAGGGAAATTAAATTTATTCAAATTTCAAGCAGAAATTATTTTCTGTGTAAACAATACTGAATAATAAAAATATCTTGTGAATTAACATACCAGATATGTCATCAAGATTGTTAAAAGGTGGAAGAGTCATCCTACCAGGAGTAGTCATGTATTTATTAGATTTGTTTATTGAACTATTTGATATGTTAGGCAAAACATATTTGTGTCGTTTAGATGAACTCTTTTGTTTGAAACCAGCTTTACGAGCAGTCTTCATTAATGTTTTTTTTGCAAATCCCCTTGTAAAAAAAAAAAAATATAGATACAAAATTTCAAAAATTATATATTATATCAAAAACTGTAATCATAACTCACTTAAGTGTAGCATTTTTTTCTTTGTCATTTGTCATGGGCATTTCATAAATTGGTATTTGGCCTGTAAATGCAAAGTGATTAAATACATTTGGAGGATGACGTACTTTATGAATAAACTTTCGAAAACATTCTATATCTTCAGCATTCACTTCTTCATCAAATGCCACTTTAATTAACTGAAAAGTATTAACATTTTCACATAATTAAGTTAAGGCATTATGTTTGGAAAATAATTACTTGAAATGTACAAGATCTAAACTGATGACCTTCTTGTAACCATTGATCTAGATGTGCCAAATATTGAACTGTAATACGTTTTTCTTTAGTCAATGATGTTACAGGGAATGATCTCACTACAATTTGTTCACAAGCAAAAGGATCCAAAGGAGTTCCTTTAAATACAATACGATAATTTGTGACAAAAATGGCTCCTTCTGCTGGCAATAAAGGTGGCCCACCAACTAATCCTCCTAAACCTTCTTCTCTCCCATCTGGTAATAAATATACCCTTAAACCATCCATCAATGGTTCTTCTCCTGGCAGCATATTTGGCGTCAATATCTTTGGCTAAACAAAAGATATAGGATTATTATAAAATGTATAAAATTAAAACTGACAAATATGTTTATTATATTATAATAATACTTTTTGGATTGGAGGCAATCGTTTTGATTCCCTATTTACACCGTCCAATGTTTCAATGTGTATATGTACTACACCAGGAATCATTTGATGTAAAGAACGAATGTGTTCTTCCCGAACTTCTCCTTCTGTACATACTTTATCAACAAAACGGCTAACCATTTTAATTACTTTATTACCAATTTCATTAGGTTCTGGTTCAGCATAACCACTTTCAATATCAGATTCACAAACACTACCAGATCTATCAACAGCACTAAAAATAAAATAAATCTAAGCAATTGACCAACTAATGACTAGAACAAAACAAAATAAATAATAATAATTACCTATTAGTTATACTATTAGATGCCCTTTCATCATCTATGTTTTTATTAGTAGATTGATGATGATTCGATGAACTTTTAACATTATTACTACCAACATCTAATGGAACAAGTAAGTACACCATACGATTAGCATAATGAATAGCTTGACTGTACAGAGTTGATTCTTCACTTGATATATATTCTCTTAGTTTATCTAAACGAAAATATAAACCAGAAAAAAATTAAAAATAATTAATAACAATTATGTATATTAAACTCCAATTACAGATTTTACCGGAATTGTTTGATGGACGCAATCGCATTTGTTCAGCAGCTATTTCTAAAGCAGATAATTCTTGTGAACGACTAAATCTATCATTTAAAATATTATCTTTATTCTAAAAATAAAAAAAAGGTAAGTTAAATGGTAGTTTAAAAAATGTATTTGTTTCAATTACATGATTTTCACGTGGACTAGATAAATTCATTGATGAAGACCTTTTATTGCTTGAGAGATTATTGTCAGAGTATAGAGATTTTATGTCTCGTTGTACATCTAAATAATAGGCTGACTCCCAAAAAAGTTGATTTTTCCAAACTTCATGGTCCTAATATATATTAAAATATACATTAAAACCAGTTTATATAAATACATTTGTCTCTCTTGGACACAAGCATATTGCTGGTCAAATAACACTAAGTGAGTATTACATTCTAAATAATAAAATTACCTGAATACATGTATATGCAAATTGTATTACTCCAGTGCACAGTTTACGGCAAAAAGCAGTTGCTAATGGTAAAAGAGCAGCTGCTATACCAAATTCATCCATTGCTGATCCATCCTGGTATTTAAATATAATATTATTATACTTAAATTGTTTTTTTACTAATAATTTTAATTTTTTTTTTTTTTTAGGTTTTATCCACAATTATGTATTTTATGATCATGTAGTACCATACCTGCAAAGCACAATTCATTAGTCGAACAACAAGATCAAATTGTTGATGCTCTAGCATAGCTTTGTTTCCTTGCACATGTTGTGCAAGTTCTGTGCATAAAGCTAATCTTGCAGCTCGACACTTCAGTGCTCTTAACACTGCTGGGAATGTTTTACGCGCATCTGAGATTTTATTTTCAAATATACAATTCACACAGTTACGTAATACCTAAGTTTAAAGATATTATTTAATATATCTATTTGTTTAACTAATAAGTATCATACTTCTAATCTTCTAGCAGAATTACTGACAGTGGTTCTCAGATCATTCAAATTTGTTATTGGTGGTCCCATAGGTACGATACGAGGTGGAGTAGGTTTTATTGACGAAAGTCTACAATAATAATAAATACAAAATTTTATAAAAAAAATAATAACTAAATACTTACTTTGAATTCAAATTGTTTTTAATCAATCCATCATCTATAATTGTCTGAACACGATTGTTATCAAGTTTTGGAAAAGGAGGCTGATGAATTCTGGTAAATGCTCCTTCAGGCGGTTTTAAGATTTTTTGAACATATGGTTGTGGGTTGGGATTTTCATTTAAGTACAGTGCTTGAGCTAATTCCTGTAAGATGTTATAATTTAAAAAAACAAACTATACACAAGTTTATAATATTCAAATAAAACACTGAAAAACCAAAAATATTTAATTTAAAAATATACTGTTTTCATTTTTTTTTTTTTAAATAAGTACATTTTAAGTATAATTATACATCATACTTGAATATGAGTAAGAATCAAACGTCCATCATCCAATGCTTCACTTCGAAGTAATTCATTCATATTGCAATATAACTCATCCCATTGATCACAAGAACGCCAAGCTGGCCCTCTATCAGAAACAAAACTGTTAAAAAACATACAATCCAATACTCTAGTTGTAAATTCATCATCCATTAAGCATCTTTCTCCTAAAAATGCAGCCTGAAAATTATTTAATTCATACAATTTTGCTCTCACATTTTTAATATTATTGATTTGTATGCAACATTTACTTTATGAAATGTGATAACTGGTTTGGGATGTATTCTTATTATTGTCAAACAAGATCGATAACCTTGAAGTAATTGTGCAAATGTTCTCATAAAGACAGCTCTTACTTCCTTATCAATGAGAGTAGGAGGTGGAGGTTGAACAGTATTAGAAGTTGGTGGAAATGCATGGTCAGCACAACATAATTCTGGTTGTAACACTAGACTCAAGCAATCTTGAGTTTGAGTCAATAGCGGTTCAGGCAGTAAAGGTAGACTTATACCATCAGGTACAAGAATACTACCACCATCTAAATCAGCTACTATTACATCCATCTGCATATAACAAATTAAAATTGTGTTTAATATAAAGTTTTAATTAGTATAATAATTTTTACTTGTTCAGAAACATCAGTTTTGAGAGACGCATGCACACCCATTAAAAAAGGTGTTGGTGTAGATAAGACTTCAACTAAACCAGCAGGTAACAATGGTATATAAACATGGCTATACTTGAATGGGTACATAAGAGATATTAAAGCAGAACAGCCTTCAGTGAGTCTAGTATAACTTCTAGAAGTCATAAGAACTTTATGTTCAGTCATAATTGCACAAAACAGTACAACCACATTGTGAATACCTAGATGAAAAATTATTTTAAATTTCAGTAAAACAAATAATTAAGTATATTTTTCTAACAGAAAAACAATTACCTAGTTCTTGAAATAATAAATAAACTGCATTTTTTGTAACTGGTAATGTTTGGGATAATGGAGGTTGCAGTGCTTGTCTGTCTCCAGCACCTATGCTAAATCGTACTTGAGGTCCACCAGGCTGAGGAACTTGAACACAACCTAACATATTTCCTACTAATGTTTCTATTGGAGTTTCTACATTTTCAACATATATGGTATAGATAATACCTAAACAATTCTGAAAATATTTTATTAATTTATTATTTATACATAAATTAAACATGTGCAAATATATTTTTACCCGGAATGTTTCTATATAATCCAACCTTGACACTAATACTAAACATTTTGGTGCATACATAATGCTGTGATGTTGCCTTTGATTAGAGTGATTACTTCTAGAAAGTGCTATGTTTTCCACAACACCATCTTCTTCCTACACAAAAAATATTTTTATTTTGTTTCAATGCAGTATAACTTACATACTATGAAATAAAATTGTAATCATATAGTAGACAATAAAGCTAGACTAATTATATCATCTAACTGGCATTAATAAACTGATATAATAGAACAATTCAAGAAAAAAATAAATTTAGTATTTTAATATAAATTAAGTATTAAAATGTTTTTTTATTTAGAATCTAAGTCAGAATGTTACTAAAAACTTTAATGTTAAGTAATTATTTAAAAAAAAATGAAAACATTCAATTAATGCTGTAACTCGAATGATTTTATAAATTATTTACATTATTAACAAAATAAAAGAAAAATTACAGTGTTGATTTAAGTGAGTCAATGTCATTAATACAGATTTATTTTCAAAAGGAATAGAAATTTTTTCTGCCTATCCAGTACTTTAAATATTAAATCTTATCTTTTACATTAAAATACCACAAATTTAATAATAATATATTTGACAATAAAAAACATATTATTATTTTTTTGTGTACATTTTAATGGATACAAATTATACCTATGTATATTGGTATTTTACTTTTTTATTTATAGAATTCTAATAGTTTAACTTATAAACGGATTAGGTACAGCAAATAGATTATCTAGTTACAGAGTTTATGATATAAAACAAGTAAACATAAAATTACAAATAAATATTATGGAAGAAAGATGAGTTAAATTTAAAACAAGGCATATTTATTTTTACTGGTTTAATTAATTTTGCTTTATTTTAAATCATACTTATTTAAGAATATATTTAAAATGTTATTAAAAATTAACGAATTTGTTATAAAGAATACTCATAATTTTAGTCAGATGTACTACTACAATAATATGATAATATTTTGAATCTAACCTAATTGAATATATTAAATTTATACTTGCCTCATCAACAGGTTTACTAGGAGTAATTGATATTGTTTCATTAAAACACAAGCATGCACAATAATGCCTTTCAGCTTCTACATCAGTAAGAACAAAAACAAAAAATCTAGGTTCTTGCCGTTCAGATGATAGAGACCATCCTTGAGGTTGACAAAACTATAATATTAAACAATTCTAAAATTATTTCATTTTTAAATTATGCCATTTATTAAAATAATAACACTGAAAATAATTACTGTCAAGATTTATAAATCTGAAGTTAAATTATAAATTTAGTGCTAATATCAATGTAAATTTTAAATAAAAAATAACTAAATTAAAATAATTAATATGTTGTAATAACATAAAATAAGAATACATATTATTAGAAAAGAACAAATTAATATCAAATTCAAAAAAATTAAATAAAAACATTGATAACAAAAATGTTGATATTTAAATTAATTTCAATAGGTTTAATTTCAATTTCAATTTCACTTCATTGTGTTTAAAAAAAATTAAGGCTAGGTATAAAGCTTATAGCTATTTAATTTATAAGAATTTCAAAATGTAATTAATTAAAATAATATTTACCCATTCTATCCCATCAATAAATGGTGTATCTTTCCAGTCTTTTTCTGGAAATCGCTGTATTATCATTCCTTTACTAGTTCCACTTCCTATAGCACATTAAAAACATTATAATAAATAAACAGTCCAGTATAACAATTAAGGTATATAAATTCATTAAGCATTAAATTGATTTATTTTTAAAAATTAAGACAGGAGATTTTCGGAAATAGGTAACTAGATATGATATTTTATTATTATTATTATTAGTTAAATAAATAAATTTCAAATACAAATATAAAATTAATTAAACATTTCACAAAGGATTCCTTACGTTCCTTTTCATGATCATAACCAACGATCACGAAATAGTCTGCCAACCGAGACATATCTGTCAGATAGTATTACAAATATTTACACTCCAAAAAGGAATAATTACATTAATTAATATAATATTATAGTCACATAGTAAATTAATGTTATTCAGAATAGATAAAAAATTTAATAAATTGTAAATTTTTTCTTTTAAACATTTTATTATTTATTTTTTTTTTTTTTTTTTTGATTCTGTTGAACAAAATGATACGCATAGTGGGAACTCCCAGATAAGATAAACATGGCGACGAAACGTTAAAGACAATGTGAGCTACCTAGCGGACAAATCAAATAACTTCTATATCATCACAATTCACAAGTTCATTATCAAATGAAATAATAACAAAATTAATATCAGTGGAATCTCAAAAAAATAATCTTTTAATGCGTTTTTGTCTGACCTAAATTTGATTGTTTTCCAAAATAATTTCAACCAGTGAATATAATAGGTACTGAAAAATGGACGTTGACAACGACCCGCTAGACCAAAACCTTTTACGCCAGTTCAATTGTCTGTGCACAACAGATAAAGAAAATCTGGTTAAAGGTCTACGAGAATTGATCGGTGAACAACTCACAGAATCTGACGCAGTTTTCTTCTTAGAGATGAACGATTGGTAATAAAATATAATAATTAATAATGACACGTGTGTTGGAATGTTCAAATTTATAATAGTAATGTTTATTACATTAGGAACATGCACAGAGCTGTTGGCACATATTTTGATATTAACTCAGATCATACTGTAATACCGTCCATGTCTCTAGTTAGAGATGAAAATAGTGAAAATGTCTTACAGTTGCCACCAAATCTACGGTAATATATTATGTCTTTGTATGCTATAAATGATAAGACTGTGAGATACTCATATTGTATTTATCTAAAATGGTTCATTTCAAATTATTATATATGATCATTTATCCATCACCTGTTAACATAATATGTTTTTATTATAGATTTACTAAATGTTGGGAAGTTAAGAATAATGGTCCATTCCCATGGCCACCTGGTTGCACTCTTCAATTTAATGGAGGAGACTTTATATCGGTCTATACTTCATTGCCAACTACTACACTTGGACCTGGGTGTACCATGACTCTGAGCACTGATTTAGTAACACCTTCTAAACCTGGTTCGTATCAATCTAAATGGCGTATGATGACTCCATCGGGATCATATTTTGGAGGTAGACAATTTTGAAATGAAATAAAATAATTTTAAATTTTTTTCAATTATTATACCTACTTTATTAATAAAATTATTATAATATAAAGTAAAAAGTACAACAAAATAAGGTCAATACATATATTTAATATTCTCATTTAAATTAAATTATGCCAATTGAAAATTAAAATTTATATTACAATTAGGTTTATAAGGAAGCTAGACATAAGGTGGTTAAAATATTTTTTTAATATAGTGTTAGTAGAAGGGAAAATGTCAGACAAATGAAGAAAGAGTTTTGTTATATCTATTTTTAAAGGGAAGGGAGATGTACAAGAGTGGGGAAATTATAGAGGATAATATCGATAAATCATAGTATGAAAATATGGAGAGGGAATGTAGAAAAGAGAATTAAAAGTGAGACATCAATATCTAAGAACCAGTTTGGTTTTATACCAGGAAAAATAACAATGATACTGGTATTTTGTGTGGGACAGATTATAGAAAAAAACTGAGAAACAAAAATATATGTATGGCTTTTATACATTAAGTATCGATAGATCGACTTTAAGCCTTTACCTATTTTCTGTTGTAATAAACGAAGTTACAAAGGAAATACAAGAAGAGGCACCATTGCAGATGATATAGTATCCTATATTGGAAAAATCCAATATCCTTGAGGAATGGAGTAGCACTTAAAGGAAAGGGACTAAGGACAAGTAGAAGTAAAACAGAATATATAAAGTATGAGTTTGGATGAACAGGACAAGATAGTTAATGATAATAAGTAACGAGGATATTAAGCATAGGATTAAGTGTAGTTGGATAAAGTGGAGAAGAACATCAGGTGTTTTATGTGACAAGAGAATTCCAATCTTAAAGGTAATTTCTACAAGAGTGTGGTGAGACTTATTATGTTGTATGATTTGGAATATTTGATGGTAGACAGAAAAATAAAACAGAGAATAATTGTTGTAGCAGAGATGAGAATGCTTTGGTAAATGAGTGGAGTAATGAGAGAAGATAGGATAAGGAACAAGTACATAAGAGGTAGTTGTTAAGCTTTAATAGTGGACAAAATAAAATAGGATGAGGTGGTTTAGACATGTCATGAAGTAAGAGTAAATAAATATAGTACGAATTATAACAAAATATATTTAGAAGAAATGAGGGGGATAGGAAAACTGAAAGAGGCAGTTGAATGCAATTGATAATGATATGAGAACAGCTGGTGTATGCAAAGGCGATACAAGGAATCAGGTCCAGTAAAAGTTTAAAATAAGGATGGCAACTTTACTTGGCACTTATTTACTGCAATCATATTTACAGAAGGTATTTTAGAAAAATCAGTGTTCTTTTTTTATATATTTGAAATATTTAATTGTCTCCCTTCTTAATAACACAAATTAAAATAATTGTATTAATTAATAACCTAACTTATATAGAAAATAATCACAAAAAACATACTTACGAAATAAAACTTTAAATGAATTATTGAGAATCTCCATATTTTTAATATAAGATTTGAAATGTATTGATGTATTAGAAGGTTAGAAGAACAATACAAACTTATGGTGTTAAGAGTTTTCTTTAAAACTTACAACTACCTACTTTAGTTTTGGATATTCAAATTGAGTTTAATTGAACATTATTCTTTCACTTTAATGAAATTAACTTATTAAAATAGATATAATTTGGACTCTAATTCAAGTAGAAGTCAACGATTCTGATTCATTCCAAAATGATTTATCAAGACAGTTGGACGAAAGTATTAACTTAGGTTCTTCGACACCTCAAACTCAACCCAATGCCTTAAATCCATTTTCCACGCCACAACAAAATCAAGGACTAAATCAGGTAAATAATAATAACTCAAAACACAATTTGCCAAGAATATATATATCAAAAGTTAATTTTCACATAACAAAAATATTTGTTTTCTTTTAAAGGATACTGATGAGTCTCAAACCAATATGGAAAGTGATATTTTGTGATTATAAATTTGGTGGTTAGGAGTCATCTCGTTTGGATTTAAATATTTAATAATTTAAAATTTTGTTACATACATTATTATAATAAAAAAATTAGTTTTAAAGAAACCTTTGATTACTGAGATGTAATTGTTTTGAGGTTAAACAAATTTTAATTTCAAAATTTAAAATTTTAATAACTATGAATATTATAAATCTTAAATGTTTTATTTTAAATTAAATTTGAGGTAATTAATTATGATCAGGTGTCTGTTATATAAATTGTACAGTATATATTCTATTGTTTTTTCATGACATTATATATCTTTTGTTACATAACAAAATAACTAGTTTTTTTAAATACAATAAGGCATTTTTTAAAAATCGAAATTTGCACTTATAAGTACATATAATGAGAGTTTAGTTTACATATATAATAAATAAAACTTTTGGTCGGTTTACTTAATTTTATATTTAAATAAAATACCACCTTAATATTAAAACTGCTCAAAAAAAGCTTTAAATATTTTGCAATATTATTGATTTAAAAACAACTATGGACTTACTACAAACATTTGTATTGATAAAATGTAATAATATAATTAATTATGTATAATAATATATTGTTGAACTGTTAATTGTACAAAAAAGAATGTATGTTATTATTTCACATTTCTTATTTATACAACAAAAATTATATCTATTTTATTAAAATATGTTTAATTCATAAATGCATATTCCTTTTCATACAGCCATTTCCATTTGTATTTTGGGATATGGATCATAATTAGTCAACATAAAATCTTCATATTTAAAGTCGTCTATACTCTCAACTTTTCTGTTGATAACTAATGTAGGAAATGGCTTAGGTTTCCTTTTAAGTTGGGCACAAAGTCCATCAATATGGTTTTGATAGATATGGCTATCACCCAATGTATGAATGAATTCACCGGGCTATTGAATGTATAAAAATATAATTATGTAGATATACAAATTGTGATTCATCACTAACAATTCCTCATTGTTGAATAAATATATTATTAATAAGTATAATGAAACTAAAAATGTAACTTCTGAAATTGAGTAATCTCAATAAAGTAAGAAAAGAAAAACTATTGTTTAAAATATATTTAAACCTCAATATTAGTATACATTATAGCTACTCACTTTTAAATCAGTGATATGGGCAATCATGTATGTAAGTAACGCATAACTGGCAATATTAAAAGGTACTCCAAGTCCCATGTCAGCTGATCTTTGATACATTTGGCACGATAAATATCCATTAGCAACATAAAACTGTACCAAACAATGGCAAGGTGGTAATGCCATTTTAGGCACATCACATGGATTATATGCAACCATAAGCATCCGTCTATCACTAGGCCTCGATTTTATTGTGTCAATGACTTTTTGAAGCTGATCGATACCTTTTCCCGAATAATCTGTATGCATATCAACATACTCTGCACCATAATGTCGCCATTGAAATCCGTAAATTGGTCCCAAATCGCCTGAATTTTAATTTAATAAAAAAAATGGCTCAAAAATAAGTTCTAGTAACTATTTTATAGTGTACTCTTCAGTACTTACATATAATTTTTCCAAGCGAATCAAAAGACTATAGACCTAGCTACAAATTGGCTACAATACAACATTTGACCAAATAATATATTGTTTATTATTACTTAGCTTATTATTTATTTTATTTTATTATAATTTTTTTTTTTTCTTATTTAATCAACTTTAAAGGGTAAATAATTGTCCTAACTGGACACGAGAAGATTTTTCACAGCCATACAAAGTGACAAAATAATTTTAAAATTTATTTTAACCAATTTAAATTTGAATCAACAGTTATATATTCAGTGGTTTCTAAACTATTAATGATATCATTTATACATATTTTCTGTATATATATAGGGATAAAATAGGTAAGACATTTGAACATTTTACACTAAATCAATTTTTAGTATAGTATTTTTAATATAGTCATTTTAACGTAAATAAAAAACGAAAATTAAATAATTATAATTTAAATAAAGTGCAACAAACTTATTTGGTTAACTATCATATATTTAATTACCTTCTGCGCGTTGTTCGAGACCAATAGAATCTAAATATGAACGTGAACTATTGGCATCCCAAATTTTAACACCTTTATCAGACAATTCTTTTGCACTAGTGGAGCCTTTAATGAACCATAATAACTCCTCAACGACGCCACGCCAAAATACACGTTTTGTGGTCAATAATGGAAAAACACCTAAAATAAAGCAACATATGTATATAAAACCACAAACATTAATCATAGATATTCAAATTTTACCGTTCTTTAAATTATACCGCATTTGAGCACCAAATATTGAGAGTGTACCAACTTCGGTCCTGTCCATTTGTGGATGCCCATTATCCAATATATTTTTTATATGATCCAAGTACTGCTGTTCATCTTTGTTTTCTACATACTTACAAAGCAAATGGTTACTCTACACAAAAGTTACATCCAATCAGTTCAATCATCATTAATTCATCAGAATACTCGAGGATAACTCATTATTCATTATAATGAAAATATTACCATTTTTTTAAAGAAAAAAATTTTAAATTTTACGTTAAAATCAGTGTTAATATAAAAAAAAAAACAATGCCGTCAACAAATTAACTGTACGAATGATACTTTTCTATACTTTAGCAAGGTATATTGTATATAAATACTAATACGCATAAAAATATACAACAATCCGTTAATGACAGTCCTCTGCAGTCGGGAGAACTACGAGTACAAACATAAATCACAAAACGTATATACCGGACGTTAAATGACAGGTGGTTACTGATTTACCGCTAAAATATTGTTATCGCACGTGCAACCGTGCAACCGTGCAATAAATAATGATACGGACGGACGAACGGCAGTGTAGCAGCGTGCGCATTGAGTTTTTTGAAGCCGGATCACGGGCATGGTCATTCATCGTAGACACCGCCTTCAGCCTTACACTACGATAAAATACGTTGGTCAAATCGAATACGAAATACGACAGTTTTTATATCTGTCTAATCTTGATTTCAAACACCACACTTTCATTGTGGCGATTAAAACCGTGGTATTTTATCGTAATGTATGGCGACCTTTAGATTATCCCATGGCTAAATAAACCATTTAATCATATTATTTATTCATGGATTACTCATTAAATTATCTATCCTCGTGGACCACATTGACATTTTATTACCTACCCATATTGTAGTCATGGGACTACAATTGTTTATTCTTGTCTCTTAGTCTACTTCTTGGTCTTTGTCTCATTATTCTTGCTTTAAATATATTATAAAGAAAATCATTGTGACGGAAAAGATGCCCAATAAATTTGATTTTCCTTTCTACTATGTTAATCAATACTTATTTTGTCTTCGATTTTTTCTAAAACTTTAATTTAGCTTTCTTTTCATCTAATTGGTCTTAGTCATCTTCTTCCTCAATAGTATCTCCATTGTTTGCAGTTCATTTTCGTCTTTCTGTGTCATAGTCTATGTCTCGCATCCATAATACAGTGGTCACCGCTTACAATGTCACTGGTTATAAGAATCAGCCGCTTATAGTGATAAGAAATGCTAGGAACGGAACAAACAGTAATTATCAGTGCATCTTTCGCCGCTAACTGTACTCCGATTTTCGATTATAGTGATCAGAAATAATCATCAAAAATAGAAATTATACAATAATACACAAAAGGAGGAAAAACCTGACGATTTTTATGAACCTAACCTTATGTAATGTTAGTGTAACCCACCTATAAAGCCTCCCAGAAACTGTCAGTCTAGAGTCTAGACTCTAGACTGTCAATTACGTTGTTTGTCAAACAAGACTGACCTTATATGTTATGACTGATAATGACTGACAGACTAACAAACAAATTTTATGACTGATGCAATTCAAACCAGTGGCGCAACTTGTGGGTAAGTTGGAAAAGTGAAACTTTTGGTACCCGAAAAATGTATAAAAAAAAAAAAAATAACGCAAACATCTCCAACTTTTTTGAAAAAACCTATAAAACCTATATATGTAAAATTATTTATTTTTCTGATATTTTTTACCTGTTTTTCGAGTCACCGCTTATAGTGATCAAAATACTCTCGGACAAATGAGATCACTATAAGCGGCGACTATTGTATAAGACACTTCATATAAAAGTTTTAATAAACTTTTTACGAGTTTCAAATTTATGATGCTTATTATTAAGTATATTATACTTCTTAAAAAAAACTTGTTTAGCAAGAGCTATTCTCTTTTTTATGTCAGCGGTTAATTGTTTGTAGATATTCATAATTATGCTTCCCAGATAGCAGAGTATTGTATAAATATACATTTTTAAATATCTAGATAAAAATAAGAGATAATTAACAGAAAAGTTATCTATATGAATATAACAGATACATCAAAATATAACTATCTAGATAAAGATAAAACTATAGAACTTTTTATTTAGATAAAAAAAATAGTTATTTAATAGGTTAGGTATCTATCACTAATCTAAGTGCTTAAAGTTTACCAAATGTGTATATAACACACACATTTCAAAATAACTATATTTTTTATGATATTCAATAAGCCAAATAGTCTGTTATTCACTTATGGGTAAATAATGACACGGGCAAGACTGGGCGGGACAGCTAGTATATATATCTAAATATATAAAAATGAATCTCTATTTACCTTGGCCATCGTATCATGTGAGATGTTTGTGCAGTTTTCGGGGACTGTATAGGCATACCGGAGCGTGTGTGGAGTTATGACATCGTCGTCGGAACTCAGGTAAAACTGTGCAGGTAAAATTGCGCAGTCCGACCTCTCTGACAAACCGGAACGTCAGTGGTGTTTTGGCAAAAAAACTATAGGGTATACGCGCATTTAAGAATTTATGACAATGACTATTGTGTATTTATTAAGATCAAAACTTATCAGATTTTACCACTCAAAACAAAGCTCGCGAGTATTCAGATCTTTTTTTTGCTCTTTCGAGTATTCAAGTCTTTTCACAAGTATAAACTTTTATATCAAAAAAAAAATGTTTATTAATTTTATACCATATTATTTCTTGATTTATCTAAGTATTTAAAGCTTCCATGGAAAGTTCAATAATTGCCCGATTTTAAAGGTAAAAAATATAAATATAATTGTAAAATAAAAACATAATCATGTAATAGTCAAATAGGTCACTACAAAAAATATAAAATATATACAATTAACTTTAACAGAACCTATACATAATAAAAATATTTATTTTTTTTTAACAAGTTTTATATTAAAGTGTATCAGGCTTATATAAATAAAAATGTTGTATTAGTGAGTGGAAAAGGTGTAAAAAAATTAAATAGTATTATAATAAAAAAAACTTTCTTTTTTAAATGGGTAACAAATTAACAAATAAAATATGATGCTTATATTGTACTTAACATTATATCAAAACTTGAAAACTAAATTATTTACAGAATTTGCCATAGACTCTTTTTGACAACTTTGCTCTCACTTTTGTCTATGTTATTTCTTGTTATTTTGGTCCTAGTATCTTCTGTACACCTATGATTGAAGAGACAACTTTTCACATAATCTTCAGGATTCAAATCACTTAGGAAGGTCCATTTATGTTAATAAACATTAAATTAGAAATATTATTTATCGTTAAACGTCAACGAAGATCCGTACAAATGTTATTCATAACACTAAATCCTCTTTCACATTGTGGTTGAACATGGAAATGTTTTAAGAAAGATGTAGAATGCAGACATTACGTTTTTAGGATCAATAGTTTGATTGTAAATAATTTTTCTCATACCGCTAATAACCTTATCTTGGTCCAGTGAAAATATTTTACATAAGTATTTAATACCATTTTATCCATATCAAATATCTGGGTCCTCGGGCCAAGTTGATTTTTCCAACACTAAAATATTTTTGAAAATAATTTTATTTTCACCGTCATTGTCAAGAAGTCTTGATTTTAAGTTATTTTCAATGCTTGTCAAAAACTGATTTTTATTTATGCTTATCATTTTTTTGTTTGAAGTTAAATCAATATTTTTGAACTTCATATCTTTTTAAAAGAAGTTATAACCCTTATACATCTCTTTAGATTGTTCAACTTGCATCATTGTAATAGTGCGACTTTGAAGTTCAATTGATAAGTTGGATAATTCCTGAAGGACATCACACATAATAGCTAAATCATTAACGAATCCAGGGCTAGCTAACTTTTTAAGGAGTCCTAGGTATTTATTCTTAGTTTTAGAATCTCTATTGGAATCATTGGATGCAGTATAAAAATGCTTATAAAGTGCTTATAAAGTTATTTAATTTAAATTTATACGCAACAATAAACCATTGCTAATAAAAAACTATTCGAAGCGGAATTCGGCAAGACAAATTTTGAAATGCCGTAATTTCGTCTTAAAACGCTTATCAAAAAACCACTGAAATACAACCACAAATACACATTATCAGCAAAAGTACCACAATTCACAAGACAGTGATTCTTTGATCTCGATAAGTAAATAAAGAACTGGTTACCTGTGGTAGACGAAATTAAGTAATACCTAGACACGGGTGCCACCTTTTAAATCGAAAAATAATTTAAATCAATAAGCACAACAAAAATGTGATAAGTGACATGCTAGAAAGTACGTCCGCTTTAGTTGAAGGTTGATACTGTGTATATTTTATTTAATATTGTACTTATTTTCCCTTTTTTTCTTCCATTTATTGATAACTCTTGGAAAAATTAAAAATGACCTTAAAGTACCATGAGTTGTCCACAGAAATTAATAAATAAAAATCATTGTAAATCCAATTCGTTCCTCGCTCCACTTAGAATCTAAAACGACATTGAAATTGAACTAGGTATTTATGTGTTTAAATTTCTAGTTACAATTACAACAATAATATACAGATAATTACTCTATAATCAATAAAATAAAAAAGTTTATATGGTTAAAAATACAAATATATTTTATTTTTAATAAGGTTAAGGTTATGTAAATACTTTAAGTACTTATTAAATAAAAACAAATTAAAAATTCAACATAGAAGTTGTTGAAGCACATGATATTTGTGCGTTACCAATATTTTCATCATAATTGTCATTGTTTAAACACGGTGGAAGATGTAATTTCTAAACATATAAAATACCAATTATCATTATAATTATTATGAACAATTTTGCAGTCTAGTTTTTAAAATTACAATAAATGTAAGGTTTAATACCATTTATAAATACTTTTTATATTCAAAATAAGCAAAATATAATTTGTATTTAAAAATATATTTTAAAGAATTTATATATAATATATTTATTTTTATAAAATTAATCAACAAGGTAATAATTAAATAAATAAACTATGATAGTGTAAGATAAAATAATATAATTAAAAAAATATTAAGTATACCTCAATACATAATTTTTTCCTTGTGAGTTTCGTAGCCCAATCAACAGATAACGGTTCATATAAAAATGTATTAAATGATGCTAATTTACCAATGATGAGTTTCCCATTATAATCAGCACAAGAATTTAATTCCATTGGTTTAATAGTTAGCACTGTATCGGCAAAATGTTCAATTCGACATTTATATAACTGATACAAACATAAAAAAAATTTATAAATAAATAATACAAAAAAAAAATACATACATCTTACATCATTAATTATTTGAGTACGAGTTGTTAGAAGGCAAGTAGCATACGATGAACGTATGAGAATTCGAAGCTTGTACAAAAAGGTAACAACATCCATATCATTAGAATCCCAAATTGGTGAACATAAATTACTTATTGTTATTCTTAAAATTCGTCTTTGTTCAACTGGAATCTTAGTACTAAAACCATCAGTAGTTATAATAGTATTTATATATTCTAAAAGCTCAGCATAACTAGTACCTAAACAAAATGCAAAATTAAAAATATCAATGAAACACAATTTTTAACTTTAATTTTTTTAAACATAAAAAAATTGTAGTTCTAAATTAACAATTTGTCAGAAAAGGGGAACTTGATTGTTAAAACAATACCTTATTTTTTGATTTTGGTTAAGTATAAATGGAAAGAAAGTGATCATATGCACCCAGATTCAATTTTTAATATTGATTTTTTTATAATAAAAATTTACACAAAATTGATAATTTAGATCTTTTTAATTTTTTCTTTATTTATACTTAGTCTAACATAAATTAAATACAGGGAATAACTATAAACATGAAAGGAAAATAATTTCATAATACTTCCTTCCAAACTATATTGGTAGTGCATCGATCCTTAAGTTTAATTTCTACCTTAACATTCTTAAATTAATTATCATGCGATAGGGCTACATATAACTTACCATGACTGAAGACTAGTTCAGGGGTAAGTAGACTCCTACTCGATAAATGGTTTGTCCCTGTGCCTTGTTAATGGTTACACAGAATTATAGGAAATAGTCTTTGCTTAAATGAAAATGGAAAAAAAATGTCCGATAGAGATTCAACTTTATTGTGCGCAACTAACTCTGCTTCAAGTCATCTACTTAACTGGTTAATAACTCAAATGAAATAGCTTGATTCACAGAGTATTCTTAGAAAAAAACAAACACAGGACCTCAATTAAAACCGGCGATATGAAAATATGCAGAACACAGGACTCCCACAAGAAATGTATAGGAGACATCACATTTGAGTATAACTTAAGAGAAATGAAAGGCAGATTTATTCTTATGTTTTTTGCGTTATCAATGAAAGAATACCTTTAATTAAAAAAATAATCACTCATATTGGCTGAATAGAATTCAAAATGTTTTAATATAAAGATATAATATATATTTTAGGTCTACAACATTAAAACTTTCTGACATTTTTAAAATAAACTCACCATTCAATTAAGTGGCTACACTGGACTTTTTCCAAAAAAAAATTTTTTTTTAACAAAATAAGAAACAAGCAGCTCTAAACAATACATTAATATCATTTTTTGTCAACCTTTTTTAGAGGGTGAAACCATAACCTAATTTCAAATAGTTACCCATATTAAAAATTCCATAAATAGACAGATTAATTTATATCAATTTTGGTATTAAAATGTTTAAGTTATTTATGAAAATCAAAAGTGGATAGTGGTTTTAACCACAATAATAATAAGGGTGACCAAACTTATTATTTTAAAATTTCAAAAAAAAACCTAAACAGAAATAATCGATTAATGGAAAATTTTTAAAAAATGTGTATGGTATGAGTAAATGGTTGATCAATTTATATCTATATAATTAAAATATAAATACCATGCAATTCTTTATTTGGCCAATACTTAATGTTTTGTAATTCATCAACTGGAATTTTTGCAGACATATCAAACGTATGACCAAAAGATATAGATGTATGATGTGGTTTAGAGTCATATAGTGGATTTTGACTATACCGCCATGCTATCTTAAAATCCTCAGATGTATCTGTTGGTTGAAAACTGTCTTCCTGAGTCGGTTTTGGTAAATCATTGGTCTAAAACATTAAATAAATTGTATAAACACTAGTGACTAATGTTATATAATGAACTTATTACAACTGGGAAATAATCTGACTGGTGACTAGTCTGATTAATTTTCGATTTTGGAATACCTTACACTCAAAAATATATTTGAAATAAATATTGTAGAATAATACATTGAGTATAACAAATGTAAAAAATTAGTTCCAACAAAATTATTTTAACTTAATTCTATTTTTTCACCAAGCACAATGTATGCAGAAGAATATGTATGTATGTATACATTATTAACAAAGATCTGATAAAATATGATTTTTTATAAAATTTAAATGTGACAGCAGAAAGATAAGATTTTGCATTAAATTTAATAAAATAAGGTATTATACAAGAAAAAGAAATTGTTAAAATAACCTATATTTGTCTCATAAGAGTTAAGAGTCTATAGTCTATAGTCTATAATACAATTATGTAACTTTATTTAATTAAATAATTTCTAAAAATATTTAACTCAAATAAATGTATGAATGTACAATACATAGCTGGACTGTTAAATTTTTTTTTTTTTATTAACAAGATTTATTCAAATTATGTAAATTAAATTACATACAATAATTTCAGGTTTTTTTTCAACATCAACTATTAAAATTGAATGATCACAAACAAGTCCTTCAGCAATAAAATGTTTTATAATTAAATCAGCATTTCTTCCATAATTTTCTTCTTCTGTAAACAAAAAATTAACTTGATTAACTGATGAGTTATTGGAACTATATTTATACTACGTATTTACAATTTGTAAACAAATTGTGTTTCTATTCAAGTGACAAGCGTTTGAAATGAATCCCTTAATAAACATGATTAATAATATTTTATAATAAAACATGACATATTGCTATGCTCCAATAATACAAGTGATGGTGTGAGGAAATGCTTCACAAAAATATATGAAGTATGGTACTTTATGGATACAAAACTTGGATAGTTAACGATGCACAGCAATCCTCAAAATCTTTTAAATGTGATATTGGTGAAGGATAGTGTGAGTTTAAATAGAACAACATTGTATCATCAAAAGCATGTTCAACAAAATAAATGACCACAGAGAGATACACAAAGCAATATTAAAGCAAAATAATTAAAAGGAAATTAAAGGAACATGAAGGCACACATAATGAAGCATGAAAATAAATTAATTTATAGAATAATAAAAGGGAAAATTGAAGAAAATAAATGCCAAGACAACAAAGAACTTATGTCAAACATATTATTTCTGACGCTACACCAAACTAAAAAGAATAGCTATCAACAAGAAAGAGTAGAGAGTGTAAAATAGACTGCAAAACCAACCATAAGGTTGACTACAAAAAAATCATGTCATAAATATCATAACATAAAACAGAAAAACTTGACATGTAATCTTGTATTAAAAGACACTTTTTTGGAACAAATCTAGTTTACGACCCAAGCTCGTTTTTCAAAATTTTGTTTTCGAAATTTATGTTTTTGCCTGTACATTAGAAATCTAAAAAAAAAATAGTCGGACGAACTTCAATGAAAGTTATGGTGTAAAAACTTTATGAAGTTCGGTTTTTCATTTCACGTATTTCTTGGTAAGAATTTAATATTTTCAACAAACACGCCGTGTTTCGCTGTGTTCACTCGGACAATATAAATCGAAAATAACCTTCGATTTGTTATGCAAAATTATTTGAGTAGGTAACAAGGTAAAGTGAAAAAGCATTATAAGTAGGTAGGTTTATGTACATTAATTATAAATATAAGTATAATAGGTAAGTTTTGATTATACCAATGCATTAGGCATTAAAAAACCACTCATTTTGGAAAAAAAAAAATTGAAAATGTTAATTCTAATAAAGAAATAATAACTTCCAAACGAAGTTTGTCTGACTGTTTTTTTAGATTCTTAATTTACTGGCAAAAAAAGATACTTCAAAAAAAAAAAAAAATTAAAAACGAGCTTGGATTGTAAATTTAGTTTATACCAAACCTTGTTGTTAACACAAAAATGGGAGAAACTCAAAACCAACACTACACTAATTTATTTATATATCTATAATGAATAGAAACACCAAAAGTTTACGGTCAGCCTTTACATTGCTTTCCCGCTAGGTCATCTAGCACTTTTGCTATCTACATCTATAAAAAATGAACATGCTAAAGTGTTATTTTTTGTAGCATTTAGGGCATAATAATAATAGTCTAAAACGATCGAAACATTAACTTCATTGTTTCAATGGATGTATATGTAGATGTATATGTTTAAACACTTATAAATTTTATAAAATTAAATATCTATAAATTAAATTATTACAAAAACTAGTAGTAAGTATACAAATATAAAAACTGTAAATATTATACCTATATATAAATTATGCATTTCTACAAGTTTATTTTTGCTACTATTGTGATGACAAATTTAAACAAAAAAATTACATTCAAACCAAATTCAGACAACCGAAAATTTTTGGTCTTAAAAAATGGTAAGCCTAAAATAATTTGATGTACAAAAATGTGCCTTCTCCTTAGAGAATTTGTAGATCCACTCCAGTAATGTGATAAAAATTCGATTAAATTGTTTTACAATAAAACTAATAGTTTGAAGATACTTTATGCATAAATTATTAATACTATTAATTTACACAATCATTAAAACTTACCTACAAGAGTCAAGGTGCCAATTGCAATACCGCCATCTAAATATTGAAAAATGAAAAAGAGTAAATAAGAGTAAACCAATAATGAAATATTGATACTATTAAAGGTTTTACCTAAAACGGCGTCAAGAGATACGATTCCAGTAGAAATTAAAATTTGATTTTTGGTCACAGACGTTTTTGTACCTTTTACCTTTAAACTTTTTCTTTGGGTAATAGTATGGGACTGTAGTAAGTTAAACGACATTTTGTGAAAAGTAATTGATCAAGTAACCAGGGATGAAATTTCATTTATTATACAAGAAATAAATTGAAGTTTGAAATATGCGAGATTGACGACAGATACTATAACGAATACTACAAATAATGTAAATTTACATTATTTAAAGTTTATTTACAGTATTTGATAACAGTTCTGTGATAAAATAATACTTGATAAGTACTATTTTGTATCATTACTTTTTTCTTAGGTCGTGCATTTCCAAACTGGTATACTTATCTATGGCACAAATATTGAAACGTCCCAAACAAAACATTATATTGAAACAGATATAAAATTATAGCAGTTGGTAAGTTGTAACTATGTAGTTAAATTTTACTCTATGTACCTCTATTTTATTTATGAACTGTTTTATAGATAACACTGACAATAATAATTTAGTTTAATAATTTTAATAACTCATTAATAATTCATTTTCATTTTTTTCATATTGTTCAATTTTAAGTACTTATCTTTGAAAATGGCGAAAAATTTAGGTGAGTATTCTGAGTTGTTTTTCCTTATGTATTTTCAATAATTATTAATGCAATTACTGTTTTCCTCTATAGTTCAATGTCAGCAGCATCCAGATGCTCCATTGATTGAAGATTACAGGGCAGGCGATCAAATATGTTCTGAATGTGGTCTTGTGGTCGGTGATCGAGTGATTGATGTTGGTTCTGAATGGAGAACATTCAGTAATGACAAAGGCAGCAATGGTGCTGATCCTTCTCGTGTAGGAGGTGCAGAAAATCCATTACTTAATGGTTCAGACTTGTCAACACTGGTGGGACCTTCTAGGGGAGATGCATCATTTGATGAGTTTGGTGGCATGAAATACAAAAATAAAGGTATGGTCAACTCAACCAATCGTTCTCTACTTAATGCATATAGAGAAATTGGTCTTATGGCTGATCGTATTAATTTGCCAAGAAATATAGTGGACAGAGCAAATGTACTTTTCAAACAAGTACACGATGGAAAAAATCTTAAAGGTCGTTCAAATGATGCCATTGCATCAGCAAGTTTATATATTGCTTGTAGACAAGAAGGTGTACCACGCACATTTAAAGAAATATGTGCTGTAAGTAAAGTCAGTAAAAAAGAAATAGGAAGAGTTTTCAAGCTCATATTAAAGGCTTTGGAAACTAGTGTTGATTTGATAACAACTGGAGATTTTATGTCAAGATTTTGTTGTAATTTGGGATTACCTAACATGGTGCAGAGAGCAGCTACTCACATTGCTAAAAAAGCTGTTGAATTTGATATTGTACCGGGTCGGTCACCAATATCTGTAGCAGCCGCAGCAATATTTATGGCTTCTCAAGCATCTGACGAAAAACGTTCTCAAAAAGAAATCGGTGACATTGCTGGAGTTGCTGAAGTTACAATTAAGCAGTCGTACAAACTAATATTGGCCAATGCTAGTTTACTATTTCCCGAAGACTTTAAGTTTGTAACTCCGATTTCTGAACTTCCAACATCCTAATTATTAAAACTACTATGCTAATATATATTTTTTAGCTAACTGTTTAACAAAATTATAATATTAATGAACAATTTAAATTTATTTTCATCTCACTTTTTCAGCATAATTTAAATAAGTATATTATCAATCTTAATTTTTCTGTAAAATTTGAATAAGTATACTTTTTTAGTATAATTTATTTTTATAAAGGTTGGAAATAAAAATAAGTTATATTTATTTATTGTGTATTTTGATTAATAAATTTTAACCGTACTTCAAATTTAAACAAAAATAATGTATGAAACAATTTTACCAATAATGTTCAGTATCACATTTAGCACTGATGTCAACCAAACGTATTCGTTCTGCGCAGTGGGCGTCAACACATTGTCATTATTTTCTTAGCTCTCTCAATAATACCAGGTCATAATAAGTCATTTGTTCTCGCACCTCTACGTAGGTAAAACCTTTTACATTGTTAAATTGGTCATTGTCTAAATTTCTGGCTATTTTTATATTGATAACGATTCTCATAATAGAGGTAATAAAAGTTCTGCGCAGGAGTGTCACCCAATTCAATTCAAACACAGTTAATGTGATATTATTGTTATTGGGATGAGTGTTTTTTAATTTTGTAAGATTATCTTAACGATAGAACTTTTTCAGTAATTTACTATCTGACAACCATTAAAAAGATATATGACAATATGTTTAGATTAGTAGAAATTGTTTGGTTAGGTTAGGATTTAAATTTTGAAAATTTAGATTCTTTTAATATTTTACTGGGATACATTGGAATTATTTTTAAATTTAAATTTTAAATGATTATATATTATATATAAACGATAATTTCCATCATATCCTATTAAGGAACCTATAAAATCATAATCCATTTACCAAACATTAAATCTGTTAAATATAATTTATACAGTTAATCTTTTGTCTATTGTTTAAACTCTCTCTCTCTTGGTATTCAACCCTTAAGGTTGGTTTTGCAGTTGGACATGCGCTCTCCACTCTTCCCTGTTCCCAGCTAACCTCTTCAGTTCAGCGTAGCTTGATAGTCTAGCATCGGAAATCAATTGTTTGACAAATGAAGTTCTTGGACGCCCTTGGCCCCTTTTGCCTTCCATTTTCCCTTCTATTATTCTGTAGATTAGCTCATTTTCGTGCCTCAATATGTGCCCAATCATGTTCCATCGTCTTGCTCTGATGGTTTTGAGAATCTCTCTGCTTTCATCTATTTCACTGAGTATGCTTTCGTTGGTACGGTGTTCTATCCAACTCACTCTCAGCATCCTTCTCCAACACCACATTTCAAAGCTTTCGAGTGTCCGTTGTTCTGCCTTATTCAGAATCCATGTTTCGCAGCCAAATAGTGCCACACTCCATACATACACTTTAATGAAGCGTTTCCTCACTCCAATACTCATGCTATTGGAGCATAACAAATTTTTCTTATTCATAAATGCTGACTTCGCCTGTGCGATTCTGGATCTTATTTCCATGGCACATCTTCCATCTTGGTTGATTAGATTGCCTAGGTATCTAAAATGTTCCACTTGTTCAAGCAGCTGATTCCCTGTTTGGATATTAATTCTCCGGATTCTGTCTGATTTTTGGCANTTCCAGTGCTCTTTCCAAATCATGCTCATTGTTAGCTAGGAGTGCAATATCGTCAGCGAATCTTAAGAAGGATATTATTTCTCCACCCATTTTTATGCCTATTTTATTTCTGAAAAGTGTTTCTCTAATTTCTTTGATAGGCTGTTCAACGTAAATATTAAATAAAGCTAGCGAGAGTGGACATCCTTGTCTTACACCCTTCCTAATTATCGCCGTCTCTGTTTAGTCTGTAACTTTTATTATAGCTGATTGGTCTTTGTATAAATTTTATATTATCCTTCTATCTTTGTAGTCAGCTCCTATTCCTTCTTAAGTATAGAATAGACCTTTCCATGGTACCTTATCGAAAGCTTTTTCCAAATCAATAAACGCTATAAATGTGTCTTTATTAAATTCTATTTGTTTTTCTATCAATAATCTTAAGCTTATGATTGCCTCTCTAGTACCTTTGTTCCTTCTGAACCCGAATTGGTTGTCGCTTAACTCTTTTTCTACTATGCTCTCAATTCGGGAGCATATTATCTTTACTAGGATTTTGGCTGCGTGTGCCATTAAACTTATTGTTCTAAATTCATTGCATTTATCTGCCGTTGCATTTTTAGGTATAGGTATTATAATGCTTTCCTTGAAGTCTTTTGGGATCTCNTCGTCTTGTAATTCTGTACTCGCATTTTGAATAAGTTCCATTGCTATGTCATATTTACCGGCTGCTTTACCTGTTTTCATTAACTTTAAAGTTCTGCTAAACTCGCCTCTTAAGATTACTTCTCTTTGCATATCTGGATTGTTATTATTATTGAGATTAGCTGCTTCTCCTTCCTGGTATAAAGCTTCAAGATATTTTTTCCATCTTGTTGTTATTTTGTCGTTATCCAGTATCAAGTTTCCGTCTATGTCTCTTATTCTGCTGTTTAGTTTCTTTTTTCCTCTAAAGAATTTCTTAATTATGTTAAACGCTTGATCCAACCTGTTATTCCTAAGCAATTGTTCCACTTCTCGGTACTTTTCTTCTAACCATTTCTCTCTTGCAAATTTTGCCTCTCTATTAATTTTGTTCTTCAGCTCTTTATATCTCCGTATTCCATGATTATCTTTGGCGTTTTTATATTTCCTTCTCTCTTCAATATCTCTTATAATGTTATCGTTTATCCATGGTTTCCTAGGCTCTGGTGAGTTTCTTTTCAACGTGTTGCTGGCTGCGTTATGTATAGCATCCTTTATTTTATTCCATTTGTCTTCCGTAGTGTCACTTGGAAATAGCGGGTTTAACTTTATTTTTTCATTGGTGTAGGATGTATAGGCTGTATTTNTGGTATTATCTTTTAGCATTCTTAAGTCGTATTTCCTTGATGTTTGATTTCTTCTTGTTAGTTTCTTATACACTACATTACATTTCATCATGAGAAGATTATGGTCGCTGTTCACGTCTGTGCCTAGATATGTTTTGCATCTTTGTACTTGATTCCTGAACCTCTTCCTCACTATGATATAGTCGATTTGATATCTTCTGATATCCCCTGGCATTTTCCAAGTATATCTTTTTCTGCGGTGAATATTTTGGAATGTATTAGTTATGGTCATATCATGTTGCTTACAGAAGTCTACAAGGCGGTCTCCTCTTTCATTTCTAGTTCCTAGACCGAATGCACCTACTTCTTGACCCTCTGCACCTTCTCCTACTAGAGCATTCCAATCACCCATTATTATTAAATTATCTTCTCCTTTTGCTAGTTTACAAAGCTCTTCTAGGCCAGAATATACCTCTTCTATAGCGTCATCTTCTGCATCTGATGTGGGAAAATACACTTGGATTAGTACTATATCATTTGGTTTAGCTCTAAGCTTAATCAATATAAGCTTATCGTTATATGTTATTTTGCTAGCTATTTGGTGGCCCCACTTCTTATTTATAATAAATCCTACACCCGCTCGTCCTGGTGTTTCATCATCAAAATAGATAACGCGGTAGTCGTCTGACCAGAAATCACCATTTCCTGACCATCTAACTTCGCTCACACCTAGTATGTCTATGTCTAATCTCATAATTTCTAGTTTAATATTCTCTAANCTTAATCAATATAAGCCTATCGTTATATGTTATTTTGCTCACTATTTGGTGGCCCCATTTCTTATTTATAATAAATCCTACACCCGCTCGTCCTGGTGTTTCATCACCAGAATAAATAACGCGGTAGTCGTCTGACCAGAAATCACCATTTCCTGGCCATCTAACTTTGCTCTTTTAGTAGTTTAAATTACTAAAATATAAACCAGTTGCCCATTCCCTAATATTAAACAGGAAAAAAATGTCCGAATATAACTATACTCAATAGTTGAAATTGATATATTTTGAAGAACAAATATTACATAATAATATTGTTTATCAGAATTTTTGTGGTAACAATCTTTAATTGAGAAATTGATAAACTTTATTACCAATATAATCAATAAACCATGTACTAGAAATATGTATTTTTATATTATATCATTTTGAAAATGAAAAAAATTGAAACCATCTTGTTTTACTGAAATTATAAAATCAGAGTTAGGTTAAAGGAAAACTTTGATTTCTAGATAAAAAGCATTCTTAAAAATCTTACGAGTTAGGCGTAATCCCCGATTCTAATTAGAATGAAACTACAATGCTAACACCTACTTCAATAGTATACTGATTTAGTTTTTCAATGTTCTGAACAAACTAAAATAAAAACAAAATCAACACATTGGGAATACATTTTTTTTTTATTTTTCCTTTTTTTTAATAAAAAATTTTTTTAGTCTATTATGAAAAGTTTTAAAAATTGAACTTACACTTCACTTGAAAAAAAAATCATAAATTACATTTGTGTAGGGTAGGATTAATATGTTTCTCCAAACTGTATATTTTTTTTTTTTTACAAAAATTAAATTAAAGATCTACCAATGACGGAGGGGCGGGGAGGGGGAAATGTATAAAGTAAACAATAAAAAAAAAATATTCTTAACGTTAATAGTTATAAATGAAAATTATAAAAAAAATCTAATATTTAAGTTGAATAAAATGAATAAATATAAAATTTAATATTAAATTGTTAACATTCTAATAATAACAAGCATACATATTTATATCGGCATTATTTTCGCACAAATACTATTTTCAAATACAAATTATAAATATAACTAATAATTTTGTTCTTGTCCATTTGGTGGGTAATAATTTTTCTTGTACCAATAGAATGTAATTTTGTTATTATTTTTTTTTATATAAATTGATACTATAACATTCAGATTACATGTATATTTATATTTTGTACTATTTTAAAGAAAATGATCAACCCAAATATACACAACTGAACACCTACAAATGAATAGTACAACTTTTTTTTTTATTTAGTTGTTAATTATTATATAATTATTCATATATTTTAAATAATAATATTGATGATAAAAAAATTGACACAGAAAAACATGCTTAATACAAATAAATAGCGTACAAGAATTCTCAAAACATTGTTTGGGATAGTCTTATGACATAAATTATTATACGATACATTGTATGTATGTGTGTACATATATATTTGTATATATATATATATATATATATATATATAAATACAAACATACATACATATATATATATACACACACATTTATTTAATATATAAATTGTTTTCTAAAGAACACAACTATTTATAATTTAGCGACTTGCATTGAACAAAGAGTTCATATAACATGATGCATAAGTCTACTCGCATATTCATTAAAAAAAAAAAAAATGATAAAATGTACTAATTATTCATTGACTGCCAATGGTTTGTCATCTTTACATTCTGTGTTTTGTGGTTTGGAACTACTATCAATTTTTTCTTCAGCTTTTGAATCAACATTCACATTAGAATTTTCAATTTTATTAGGTAAGGGTAATGGAGGTTCAACAATCAAACCTAAATAAAACAAAAACATTATATACATATTTACAATCAACGGATACTTTAAAATTAACCAGCAATTAAAGAATAAAAATAGTCTTTAAAATTTGTAGAAAACATATATCTGTGTACCTGCACTCGATACAAAATAGTTATTTGAGTTTTGACTTTTGTTCATTAAGTGTTGCATGGGTGCACAATTTAGTTGCATTCGCATGTTTTGTGGAGGGGGCATTCGCTGTACATGTTGGAACGTTGATACTGGCCTCTGAATAGGTGATGGATATTGCGGTGCAATATTACCAGCTATAGTTCCACTATTATTAGTGTTTATATTCATTCTAGGCTGCTGCATTAGTGGCTAAAAGAACGATAATTCCAGTTAGCCCTAATAAAAAATAAATATAACAAAAACATTATATTAACTTACCAACTGATTATTTTGTGATGAAGAGACTTGATAGTTGTTATATTTGCCTTGCATAGCCTGATGGGTTTGCTGATTTGAATTCATCAATGGTTTATTTGCTACAAATTAAATGAATTATGTTAAGCAGTAATGTAAATTGTATGATGATATAATGTCAACTTACTTTCAAAAAATTGCTGTTGTCTGAATAAATTTGAAGAGAACATTGGATTTCCAATATCTTGTTGATTAGTAATACCAGATTTTTGGAGGTCGTTGGTGCCGTTTCCACCCAGATTACCAGATTTCATGTATGGGACTTGGCGATACTGGTATAAAAACAGATTATACTTTATAAAGTTAGTAATTTTTTTTATTTATTATAAAATGTATGTGCAGGTTTTTTTAGTGAAAGGTGGCACTTAAATTAATTTCTCATGTAGTAGGTAGTACTTAAAGGTATGAAGAACAAGAGGATTGAGATGGAACTTTAAAGTTAATTAAGGAATGTAAGGATGGAGAACCAACATCAAAAATGTGCTTTTTAAAAGTTTGAACTAATTTGACTAATCCAAAATAATTGGCAACAGGATAATAAAAGTGTGCCATACATAAAACACCTAGAAAGTAACTGGCAAATCTCAAAAAGGTTTTCCAAAACCCTTTCCAGCTATAGGGCGTTATCAGTTGTAAATGGATCCCAAATTGAGATGCTATATTCAAGTATAAGCCAAATTATGGCGCAGTAGAGAACATTTAATAACATAAATCTCTAGCCACCCTTATAATAAAGCCTCATACCTTCAAGACTACAACAGATCATATCAATATGAAGACTTGGGTCAAGACTACTAGACAACTTAAAGCAGATTTAAAACAAATTCATCACAACAAAACAAAAAAACAGAATTCCAAACATGGTAACAGAATATTAGATGAAAATAGGATCTAGTGAACATCATAACCTTATTTTAAAAATTAATTATAATTATATATAATGCAAACACATAATATTTAAATCAGGCATTTAATTCAAAATAGTATATCTGTATCATTTATTTGATCATATCACAAGGGAAGAGTGATTAATATTAAACTACCTGGTTTAAATATCGATAATAAATTAAATAACATATAAAATGGTATAAAACATTTATAACTATTTTCTATTGAACATAATATTCTTATTTCTTTTGTTAAAAATGTAAAACCAACCATTAACAGTATTTAACTCTTGAATTTACCTGTGATGTATAATTTTGCATATTGGGTGGTGGTGGATTTTGAGAACCAAAAGCAGTAGGAATTCCAAATGTGTTGCTACCAGATGAACCAGGCACCACTTGTGGTTGAAATGCAGAGGCAACATTAGGAATATAACTAGGATTCGTAGGTCCCGCTAAATATTATAAACATGGTTTAATATAAACTTAATAAATAATACAACAGTAAAATAAAAACTTACTTGCTGAATTAGTAGAATACAATGATGATGATGATGGTAATTGTGTTCCTCGTTGATTATTTATGGAATTGAATTGTTGACTAAACATTGGCTCATACTGGACCATAAACTAAAATATAACATTTTATTTAAAAAATATACCTAAAGTAAAAATAGGTAAAAATTATTTTACTGGTGAAGGTTGAGGTGTAGTAGCATTATATGTAGTTTTATTTCCAATGGTTCCAATCTGCTGAGATGACTGTTTTGCTTGTGAGGACGAAGAATTAGTACTACTTGGTATTAATACTGGATTTAAATTTGTATTTATTTGCGGTGGATTGTTGTAAGGCTATAAATTAAAATAAAAATTATTAATAAATAATTATATTAAATAACAAATTATTTTTATTTAAAGTACCGGTCCCATTCGGAAGGGAGACATAGAGGATTGAAATATTTCTGTACCACCTTGACCAGCTGGTGTAGTGGCATGAATAAACATTGATGGATTATATTGGGGCGAACTTTGATTTATACCATTCGATTGAAGACTGTACGGAAATTGATTAAATGGAGACCGTGTAGTAGTACCCAAAACCTTAAATAAAAATTAAAAGTACATAAAATATTAAATATATAAATTACAAGTAAATAATACAGAGGACTTATTTATTTATTTTTAGTATAAATAATTAATTTTCAATAATAATTAAATCATGTAAGTACTTTTTAAATATTTGTTCCTGATTACTAGGGCTGGGATTAATGTGACATAAAACACAAAATATTTATTACATTGGGCCAATGTAAAAACAAAATTCCAAAAATCTAGTTTAATTAATGTAATACATGCATTTTTTATTTTTAGATTCCGAGTGGAGCGAAGAAGCTTATAGTTTTAAAATATTTATACATTTTTTTTTCCGAGACAACTTTCCTACAAGAAACGTTGCTCCAATTTTTAAGTGTAGCATTTTTTTTGAAAATAGGTACAACATTAAACAAATATTATTATAGAAAATATATAATGCATATGCAATTATTTTACCATAATATGTCATGTATATTGTGGACAAAGGTAACACTATCAACTAAACTCTGCTCAAAATTGTATTTTCGTTAATAATGGTTGATAACAAATATACATCAACTTTCCCCTCTTTACTACCTTCTCAACTTCACAACTACAACAGAGGTCCACCTACATAAAAAGTATTTTTTTAAATATTGAACTTTCTTGCAGACCAAGCCACAAAAACATGTAATTCAAATGTCCAAAATACGTAATAAAAAATTTGAAACACTTGTATAACATACATTACGGTAAATTTAGGTCATTGTCACTCGATACATTTCTATTCGGAAAATCAAGAATAATTTTCACTCCGAAATCCAAATCCGCCAAAACATGTTATATTATCGTAATACATTGATTTAAATAATAGGTATTCCACAGTGTAAATTTTACCAACCAACAGTTTAATTGATATATTATTAAAAATAAACTATACAAATTTTTTGGGATTTTGCCTTCTCAAAAAATACACATTATTTAAATTATTTATTATGTCATAAATTTATGAGATGAATGCAGTATTTTAGTTTATTCTAAACTTTCAAAAGTTTGATTGTGACTTCTACTATGCAAATAACTTCTAAAAAAATACAATCTTTAATTACGATTAATATGGAAAGTCAGCAGAATAGCAAGAAAGAATTCATATCACATATTTGTTTTTAACTTTAAAATAGTGTGATATCATTCAGTCTTTACCCGTTAAGTATACTGTAGATGTAATATTTTTAAAAGTGCCTATAAATTCTAAACTTGGCTTCCACTACTATTAATTATATATAACTTTATATTGTAATTAATTAATTTAACACGTAATTATGTAGACTGAAAAAAAAAAAGTTAAATATTTTTAACAACTTACGGCTTGAGAAGGTTCTAACATAGTTTGATATACTTGAGGCGTAGATGGCGATGGTGGCGGCATTAAATGTTGTTGAGCTGAATTAAACAAAATAGCTGATGATGGTGATGGTCCAGGAGCAGCAGATACAAATTGTTTAGTCATCATTTCTACTCCAGTTTTATTATTTGTATTCAATATTAAATGAGTTTGTTGTTGTTTTAAAATATGCGGACCATATATGTCAGGTACGCCATCACTGTTTTCCATCAATATCTAAAATATAGTTTTAATTAAAATATATATAAACAAGGGACATGGTGCATATTCTTGTTTAGAATATGCAATTAAAAACAAACAATTTTTTATAGCCAATGATAAATAAATCGTGACATGTATGTGAATTCTAATATATAATATCATATTTTAGAGGATAAGCATAAGATAGCATAAGATATAAGGCTTTAACTTTTTAAATGTTAGTAATTAATAATTTTTTATAAATTTATAATGATGTTAAAGTATATATTTACATTACTAATTACTTGTAAATTCATATGTGTTGCTTGTGTTGGTATAGTATTAGCCAGTGGTGTAGTTGAAGTATGTGGTTGTGGAGTTGTAGAACTAAAAACATGGGTACTAGCTGAAGACTGTTGCTGCTGCTGCTGCTGCTGTTGCTGCTGCTGTTGTTGTTGTTGTTGTTGTGGTTGACTCAAGGGGGGCGATAATGTACCCTGCGGTTGAGGTTTAACCTTAAGACATATCAAAATATTATAAATGACATATTACCTTATTGACAGCCAAGTATTTACCTTGCATACGTTTGTGGTAGCACAATTTGGATCTTGTTTGAGTTGATTTGATGCAGTCATGGATACTGGAATGTATGACCCAGCAACATTTTGTAATTGTGGTGCTGGACTAAAATTTAAAATTACATAAATGACTTTTTAGTAGCTTTATAAATTACAAATATACAAAATATTGTATTTATTAATAGAAGGGAAGAGGTTTAATAGTGATTAAGTGTCAAAAAGCCGTCTATGAACAGATTTTAAAATCTTCCATGTTAATTACAACAAAAAGTGTCACGTACCAAAGTACATACCTGTACACTTGCTGGTTATGAACTCTTTGTTCATCGATAACAGAAATTTCAGATTTCTCATGTTGACCACTACTTGCAGTACTATAAACTGTATTAAAAGTATTTTCAGCAATATTTTGTTGGACTTGTTGATTAGATTCTGGTTTATCATCCCAAACCTTAAAAAACATTATTATTTTAGGTTAACTTTTATTTAAATTTATTATTCACATAATTCAAATCACTTGCCAATTTCATACAAAATACAATGATAGAATAGATATTATAAATATTTCCAAAGACGAGTTTAATACAAATTACAATATTACATTTATTGATATTAATAGTATACATAGAGATGCGAGATCAGTAAATTTTACAAGCAAACATTTATCTAATCAATGTTTTAACTATCCAGTACATTTTGTTTTAGTGTTTTAGTGAAACCTTATTTTAAACTGTTTTAATAGGCTAATAACTTTCATTTAAGTATTTTTTAATTTATCCATATTATTTTAAGTAAATTTCATGAAAATTAGCGTTGTCATTAATCATAAATCCATAGTTGCAATAATTTTCTAATGTACGTAGTAAAATTTAAAACTTTATCACTATTATAAATAGTATTTCCGAGTTTATTGAGACATGGTTCGAAATTAATCAAGCATAATATTAAAAATATAAAAATAAATGTTTGTTAATCATACATTTTGTTTAAATACCTATTAGTCACTACATACTATATTTTAATGTCATGAAAATATTTGAAACATTATTACAAATGTTTGTTAACTACAAACAAATATTTTGTTGTTTATTGAGCAACAATTAATTTATTTCTAATAGCTAAAAGTAGGTAGACATTAAATAATAGTAATTTAAAAAAATATGAAAATATACACTGGATATAAAGATTGTCTAATACATCTTGTATGTGCTTTTATAACAATAATTTTAGGAAAAGGTAATTGGCTTTAATTTGTTTTATATATAGACTTCTAAATAATATTAAACAATTTCAAATGGTTAATGATTAAGAGAATTTATATAATGTCTTAAAACAATAAACAACAAATAACAAAAAAAAAAATCATTCATAAATTGTTTATACTCATAAATTAGAAAAAACAATACATATATTGATATATATGACGAAAATTAATACAATAATACCTATGAGTAAAATAAAAATACAAATTAATAAGTATAATATGTTTAATGTACCTAAAAAACTAAGTTAATATTTGTTTTATAAACAAAAACCAATTATTAATACCCCAAGCTTTTCTTTTTACATGACTTTATTTATAACTCACATACTAATTATGTGTATTTATGTTTTTATTATTGGTAATAAAAATGTAATTATTTACCAAAATGTACGTACATTTAATTAGTAAATTCCACATCTCTAAGTATACAAAGTTACATTAAAATAAAATAAATTTTCTATTTTAACAATTTTATTGTTATACAAATAATAATAACAAACAGTATTAAATACAAAAAGAGAAAAAGAAAAAAAACCTTTTTAGTGCCAGCTATCATAGATTTCAAATCACTTGCTGCTAATGATGTTCCGGTATGCAATGATCTAGAGTGAGATTGTATGTTCATAACATCTTTATTTTCTGTGGATATATGACCACCACTATGAGTAAAATCAGTCTCAAAGTCCCCAAATCCAAGGTTCAAATCAGAGCTTTCATCATTCTAAAATAAAAATAATACATAAATTAACAAATATAAAAGAATTTAAAAAGTATACACATAAAACCAAATACGTTTCATACCTAATACAAGTGCATTTAAAATGGATTATCATTACTAATGATTTTAGTTGGTTTTTTGTTTATTTTATAATTATTAAAAATTATAAATTTAAAACAACAAAAATATAAACAGAATTTATACCAAATGTTATTAATTTTTTTTTTTTAATTAACCTGTGGTACTTTGATTTTTTGATGATAATCAGTACTTAATTTTTTTTGTCAATTTATGAGCCATATATTTACTAAAAATAAAAATGATCTTAAAATATTATTACTATCTAACATACACAAAGTCTCAATTAAAAAACTTTCCAATTTTGTATTTTTAGAGGTAAAGGCTGACTAATTTGAACCTATGTTACACAGTGCTAATCAGAATAAAAAAATTATAAGAATGCCTTAGGTGGATAAGTGGAGTCACTAGGGAGTATATAATAAGGAATGTATTTAAAAGTAGTGTAGGTATCCTGGCTTTCTTCAATAACTAAATTCAAACAGGTAAAAAAGAATGAACTAAAATGAGTGAGAAATGAAGTTCGAGTCGCGGGAGAGTAGAGAAAGACTAAAAAACACCATCACACAAATGATACTTTACTAATCTTCCCTATTTAAAATTAAAAGTGGAACACCAAAATTTAAAATAGTACTCCAGCTAAGTTAAGTATTTTTGAATATAAGTTCTCAATTGAAAAACCTATCGCCACAGGATACTCCTTAAATATTGTGAAAAATCTAAGAATTTGAAAATATTAACAAAATGTAACCAAAAAAGGGGATAAGCACGCTTAGTGAATTATTCTATATACATATATTTTTGAAATATGCTATCTTATTATCAAAATTGTTGATGTAGAAAATACACAATAGTATCAACACAAACAAAATTGTATTGAATCCCTCTCTAAAAGTATTATTCAAATAAATTACTCATCAGTCTGTTAGGTCATCATATCTAGTGCATAATCTAACCATTAATCCTAATATAAACTTAAACAAATATATATAATTATTATTTAAGTCACCGTGTACTTCAGTAATATTAATATTTACTAGGTAGTTTTACTAGTTTTATATTTATTATGGTTAACCCATAAAAAATATAGTATTATAAATTTAAATACATTCAATTATTATTACTCTTAATTATAATAAATCTCCATTTACATTGATAATTTTTGTATTCTACTACATAATACATTATTCAATTTTAAATAAAACATAGAACAAATAAATGTCGAACCGATTCGGAAAAAGTGGAGTAGTAGCAAAATTTTTTAAAATTTTAAGTTTTCAGTGTAATTTATTAACACAATATCAATAATAGAATTTTAGACACAAGTAATTATTTTTCCAATTTTTCGTTTTTATTTTATATACATACAGGGTAATTTTTGATCATGAACCAGGAATTATTTCAGAGGATTTTAATTTAAATGAATTAGATTTCTGTTCTTTCTAATCATTATGGAATCGTTTAAGCTTTATTTTAAAATCATTTTTAATATTTTACTAACACTCCACACCTTAAATAAGTACATACTTTTGATTTTCAAATAGGAACCCCTCCTTTTGAACACGGATTTGAATAGAGAATATTTTTCTAGAAATTTTGATATGCATTATACTAATATTAGATTTACTGTTTGAGTTATAAAAATTTCTAGAAAAATATTTTCTATTCAAATCCATATTCAAAAGGGGGGTTCCTATTTGAAAATTAGAAATATGCACTTATTTAAGGTATATAGAGTACTGGTAAATATTAAAAATTGTTTAAATATAAAGCTTAAACGATTCCATAATGATTAGAAAGAACAGAAATTAAATTCACTTAAAATCCTCTAAGATAGATAATTGCTGGTTCATGATAAAAAAAATCACTCTGTATATAGTGTTGGGATTCAATGACATAAAAAACTTCCTAATATATAAAAAAAAAATGAATTTGTTTTATTATAGATGCAAAATTATTTAAATTACCATTTTTATGAATGACTTTTAGTCATATGAAATAAATAATTTCAATATTAAATGTTTAGTAGCAAATTTCTTAATATAATATTTTAATAATAATAATAGAACAGTAATAGATAAAAAAAAGAAAAAAAAAAAGAAAGAGGTTGTTTCAAATCATTGTTTGAGTTTTTTAACATACCTTAAAACTCATAGACATCTGTACAGCCTCATTCAATTTAGAATCTTTACTATCAGTATTTGAAGATTTGAATGCTCTAAAACAAGTGTCTTGAGCATCTTCATTAAAATTACAAGAATCTAAAAAATAAACATAAATGTATATTAATAACTTCAAATATCATTAGAAATAAAATTTACCTTTTTCAGTACACTGCTTAATACTTGAGTTATATTTATTTTTAGATTCTCCACAAGGATTTGATTTATATGTGGTATTCTCAAAAATAATTGTTTCCATTCTCTGAGTGGTATCAAGAATACCATTCTCCATAACCTATGATAATTATATTAAATCATCTATACTAATTTGTGCACATAATGCATTATAATATATTGAACAGGGTAATATTAACATAATTATATATAACCATTAAAGTATACCTTTTCTTTATTTGAAGTTAATCTTTGAGTTGTCTGAGCAGGGATTTCTTTAATTTCTGTTAAACTGAAATGTAATATATAAAAATTATAAATTGGTGAATTCAATTTATATTGGTACGTGATAATAAAAAAAAGATTTTAAGCCAAGTTCAGTTAAATCTGTTTGGTTAAAATAATTAATTAAAATTTGTTTAGTTTTAACGGATTTAACATAAATAACATACATTTTTATTTATAAAACTGATTAATATAAATTACAAATTTGTAAAACATTTAGTTATTGGCATATATGAAATTTATGCAGTAAATAAAACTTTTTTTTTAAATTTTTCTTTAACAAATAATCAAACAATTATTTTTGAAAGTACACATAATTAAAAACAAGTAGCTATGGTAAACGCGAGTATATTTTTAATAGTCAAAATCGTATTTTTAATTAATTGTTTATTTCTAAAACTTTCCAAGTAATAATGAGATAATTTGAGATAATCAATAAATGTTTTATTTTTTATTTTATATTAAGTTATTTTCTGTAGTTAGCAATCATTTCAAAGCCCTTAAGAAAATAAGGAAAGAAACTGGGCCTTGATGAATTTTCATTTATAAACTCTAGTCTAACTCTGAACTATTAATTAAACACAAAATAGTCAATCATTTATTTTGGTGTTCAAGGAGTTTCTAAAATAAGCAAATTTATTAATTGACACTACATTTAATGGCTAAACATATTCAAACAAATTCCATTCAATATGTAAATACCTGTTGGCTCGATTATTAGATTGTGGAGCTACTGACTTATTTACATTAGGTGATTGTGCTCTAAGTACATGAGTAATTGGTTTATCCCAAGCATTAGTTTGTGGAGGCGGCGGAGGGTTATTGCTAACCATTACAACAGCATCTGTAACAATAAATTTATCATTTTAATAAATATATATTTATAGGTTTTAAAATGTATATTGTTTTAAATAAAACAAAGACTCGTAATTCTAAAAAACAAGGGATATAAAAGATACAAGTAATTTGTAAGAAGTAAAAAAGATGAAGACCTGATAATGAATAAGCAACATATGACAGAAATATGGGCAGAAAATTATTGCTTTCGTGCTAGAAATGATTAGGACTAACCGGGGAAGCTGATGTATAGTGGAATGCTTTGATCTGAATCTAAATTGGTAATTTAGAATGATGTTAGATTTGGTGTAAATAAGTAATAGCCTCTTGAGGCAGATCTTTTTAAATATTTTAGAGAATGAGGAGAAGAGAAATAGTATAGAAATAGATAAGAGTGAGGTAGAATCGGAAAGTTTATCATATATAGGAACCGGATTAGGATTTTACAATATTTTTCTTTTTTCTGTAAACAACTTTTCAACCAGAAATTTTACTCCAATTTTCAAGTTAACTACTTTTTCTGAAAGGATATTTGATTGGAGTGTTATTTTAGGGAGGTAATTTTTTGATTCTCCTAGGGGTTTCCATAAATAGTACGGCCTATCAAAAAATGTATAACCAAAGTCTGTTCAGAATTGCTTTATGTTCTTTAAGATTAATTGTTGTGTACAGATACACTTTAATTTCTTCTCTATAACCTTCCCAACTTCTCATTTAGTGGCTCACCCATTGTGCAAAGTATGTCCGTCTCTTTTTAAAATATATAGTTAATATATTAAATTATTTTTACTAAGGTTACTTTCTAAAAAAAAAAGTGGAAAGTTGACAAAAACTTACAATATCAAATTTGTAACATGAATAGTACCAATAATAGATTGTAGGAAGAACAAGACTTTTTGAAACAAAAAAAACCCAGGTATTTTGAAAGGTAACCAGAAGAGGTTAAAGACTTAAAGAAACTTATACACAGACTGAACAGTCAAGGATCAAAAATAGGCAGGTTATGCATGAAGAAAACCAGGAAGATTGTATAGAAAAATATTAAGGGAGGATTTGAATAGAAAAAAACAGTCGGGAGAACTAATTAAAGAGAGATAACAGAACTACAACCAGATATCAACTAAGAAAATCTGGTAGAGGATCGTGATGGATTGGTTTTGAAGGCTGCAGCCATAAATTTAAAAAATTAATTTATACATTACCTTTAATAATAGGCGCAACATTTGTATCATCTTGACCAATCAGAGGCTGACTCTTTTGTCTTTCATACCTTTGATTTGTTTGGCCTGGCTTTGGAGCAGTACTATTTTGATTAGACCTGGATAATGATTTAGATTGATCCTTACGATTACTTTGATTTATTAAGCGCTGATTTTTTTGCTGCGACTCATTTGATTTTCTCTGATCATCTTTTTTATTAGATCGTCCATCCTGGGAGGAACTTCCTGAAAAAAAGAATTAATTAATTATTGAATTATAAAAATACAGATTCAATTAAAATAATATTATTCAATAAATACCTCCATAGTTATTCTTTGAGTCATTAGTAGAAATAGTCGATGGTAACTTTTGATTAGATTTTTCACAGTTACCAGTTTCTTTAGGTTGATCTTTTTTGTCATAATTGGACCTTTTTTCTCCCCTAAAATAAAATTAGATATAAAAAGAAGTAATAATTAACATAAATTACTGATATACCTTGAAGATGCTAAATATGTGCGACTGATCTGACGACGATTACTACTCTTTTGTTGGGCTTCATAATCACTTTGCTCGCTAACAGATTCCCAATTATCTTCTTGTTTTTGGCTATTTAATGGTCTACTACTTTGTCTTGAACTATAACGATTTTCGGTATTTCTGCGACTAGTGTCTCCAGACATTCCGTATGTGTCCATTTTAGATTGTGTTTTAGATGAAGAGTTTTTATTTCTAATAGAACCAGAATTTTGACTAAGTTTATTATTTTTCTCAATATTTTCATCAACAATATTTTTGTGGCCACTACGCCCATTAAGCATACGTGACTCAATGTTGTTTAGTCGTCCTCTTCCTCTCTGTTCAGATCTTTGTCCATAACCACGTAATGATGATTTTTCAGAATATCTATCATTTTGCCTGTTACTGCCTCTATTTCGATCATCATTTCTATTTCGATCATCGTTTCTATTTCGATCATCATTTCTATTTCGATCATCGTTTCTATTTCGATCATCGTTTCTATTTCGATCATCATTCCTGTTTCGATCATCGTTTCTATTTCTATCATCATTCCTGTTTCGATCATCGTTCCTATTTCGATCATCGTTCCTATTTCGGTCATCATTCCTATTTCGGTCATCATTCCTGTTTCGATCATCGTTCCTGTTTCGGTCATCGTTCCTGTTTCGGTCATCGTTCCTGTTTCGGTCATCGTTCCTGTTTCGGTCATCATTCCTGTTTCGATCATCACCACGATGTCGGTCATCTCGTCGAGGTGGCCCTCTGGAACGTTGGGTATCTTCATATGACTCTGACCATGCATTTTTTCTATTTGGCCCAGACCTAGAAACTGTTCTAGAATTGATACTCTGATATGAACGTGATCCAACATTGCGATCAGATCTCATGCCTTTATGATGAGTTAATGTAGAAGTACCAAAATTGTTTTCAAAAACTGATTTGGGTTCTAGAAATATTTTTACTTAATTAGTTGTCACTATTTTGGGGATTTCTACTACTCCAAGTAACAGGAGCACCTAAAATCGTTGACGTTCCCCTTTCCAAAATTGTTAAAACAAGTATGTTCTAGATATCTAAATATATATGATTAGATATTAAATAATATGCATGCTAATATCATGGATTTTTACAACCAAACCAGTTTTCACACTATATATACAATAATTGGCAATAATATTAAGTTTCAAACATATACTTCAATCAACTTTATTTTAGATTATTATTATATCACCATATCTGTTGGATATTGTTGAAATTATTTTAAACTTTTTTAATTAATTTCAAGAATAACTTCTGCGCTCCTGTTTCTTGATATTAACTAAAAAAAACTGTTAAAAAAAAAAAAAAAAAAATGATTAAGCAAATATTAGTGGAAATACCTGATATTTTAGTGTCATCTTCATTTTTTTGACTACATTTATTCTTTGTTTCTGTTTCTTTGGATTGATTTTGTTCTAGTAACATTTTATTTTTATTAGGTGGAGCTAAATCCCAGACACCGGTTTTAGCTTTAGTTGATAAATCATCACCCTAAAATAATACATAGGTTATAACATAGAGAATTTTGAAATTCATTCTAAATTAATTAGTAATCCAATAATAATAAAATAGATACATAATATACATAATTTTATATTTATTAAAAATCACTCAACAAATGATGGGTTAGAAAAAAATATATTCAAAGAGTGCAGTTTGTCGAAAATGTTAAAAATATGACTTTAATTAATTAACAAACTAAATGTTTCATTTAAAATTAATAATTGTATTAGAACCAAACATCATAAACATTCGATGCAATAGAAAAAACACAAACTTAAATTATGAATATATATTAAGTCAAAACAACTTGTTGCCCTCAATCAAACAATATGGAAAATTAAAATTTAAGAGAAATTCAATAAATTTTGCGTTTCCAATTTAATACAGACACATAAAAATAATAACTTTAAAATTATTAGTAACTGAATATTAAATAATTATGATTAAAATAAATTACAAGTTTAAATAAATAACTAGAGAATAGGACATTGTATGTTTATTTAAAAAAATTTAAATGCCCAACTAATTTATTATGTTTTACTCAAAGTATTTATATTGAATAAATATATAAGTAAAATAATTAGGCAAAAAAAAGATACAGACATACTTTACATAATGGGTGGGTCACATTTATATGTAAGTTGGGAAGGTAGAATGGAAATTTAATATATATCTGGACGCAATGATTAACTATTGCTTACAAAAAACGATTCCGAGCAGAATTTGATTAATAGTGTTGCTTTTTCAACAATATATTTATCTTTTCATATTTGTTTAATAATGTTATATCTATTTTTCCTTTTTTTCCAATTAATTAAGAAAAAGCTTGGAAAATCAAAAAATACCCTCCCTAAATTACTAGATTTATTTTCGGATGAAGTGCTGTAATTGAAAATTGGAGCAAAATTGCTGGTAGAAAAATTGTCAAAAAAATAATAAAATAAACATAATTGTAAAACTAATCTATTCCACGCTCAACTTGGAGCCTAAAAAATGGAAAAAAGAAATTACAAACAATTAAAATTGAATTATCTACAAATAATAAATATTTACTTAAATGATTTTTAATGTTACAATATATTATTCGATGTAATAGTTGATAAACGTGTATTGGATATTCTGTTAAGAAAAGAATTTGACATAAACATACTTGATCATTCTTCTTTAAATCCTTTTTTTCACTTTTTACTAATTGATTTAAATTTCGCTTGGGTTCACTGGTTAATTCACATGCTTCCAGTTTCTCTTGAGTTATAGGGCCAGGAATATATTTTTTACTCTAGAGGTCAATAGAATATAAATATTAGTTATAAAATTAAATGAAGTATTAAATACTTACAAATAGTCCTGATGAATGTAAATCATCCTTGTAGTAATCTTTACCAAGAGACTTTTGTCCCCAAGAATATGATTCATCGTCTATTTGTCTGTGCAAAAAAATAAATAAATGAAATAATGAGTTCAAATTAATAGTGATTATAGTTTAAAACGTACAGGTTATCTTTCTCAATTTCATCTTGAGGTTCTAAGGAATCTCGAGAATGATATTTTGATACTTTCTTATCATTTCTGTCAGTTTCATAATCATCACCTGATTTTTTTAAATTGCTTCCAGAATCCTTTGAAAAATTAAGTGTATTAAAAAAAATACATACATTATTATTTAATTTAAATATAGAATACTAACATTTCTTTTAAAATCACGTTTGTGGTCGTATATTTTTTTATTATCATCAGTTCTAGAGGAATATTCACTATATGCATATTTATCGTTTTTATCTTTAGGGTCTGAACGAGATTTTTCTCTTCTATATCTGTTAGAAAAATTAATTATTAACAGGCTTAATGTAATATTATGTCTAGGTAATAACAACTGGAAATAAGTTTTACACTTTTTGTATTTCAATAAAAATTATATTATAATTATTAAATAAGACAAAAACTATTTGATCTAATATTTTATTTTTCTTTCTGTGATTATTATTAACTTATATAATTAACAAATTATCTAATCGAGAAAAACCAAATAATTACAATATAATAAATTATATAAAACTATACCTGTCAGATTCAGATCGTTTATCACGTTTAACACTTGATGACTTATTTGTATGATCATCATCAACCCATGAATCACTTCTATACTCTGAATAACCACTACTACTCATGTCACTATCTGTACGACAAAGAGTTTTTACACTTTCTATAAAAAAAAAATTCATAATAAATTTGAAAATTCAAAATTTTGTATATATATATTGTTTTCTTTACTTGAGGAAACATTTTGAACTTTATTAGTTGCATCATTAATTTGATCAAATTGTTTTAGTCTTAGAGGTATATACTTATTATTTATTTCTTTATTGTCATTGCTTTCATCATTTTTGTTGTCTTTGGGTAGTTCAGATTTTGGTGGATCATCAATGAATTCTTTATCCTTAAAAAAAACATTGTTTGTCAATTAAATATTAGACGATATGTAAATTAAGTAAAAAACTATGGAAGAGATTAACTCTCGCAAAATGTATAATCTAAATCTATTATACTGGCAGTCATTATATATATATATATATATATTATACATATAAAACCATAACTTTATTATCTAATAAAATAATAAAGTAAAAAAAAAAATTATTAAAATGATTAATATTCGTGAATATCTCGCCTGGCGTATTATGGTATGTGTATTGTACGAGCGTTTTAAATTAAAAATTCATCGTCAGGTAAAATCACAAGGTAAAATGTAAAACTTGAGATTTTTTTTTTTGACTAATACTCCAGGCGATACATTTATTTATTAATTCATGTATTAATTATTCACTTTGTTATCATTTTCGCCATCTATTTTTTTAAATTTAGTTGCTTCTTGTTGTTGCATTTCAAAACGTTTCATTTCTTCTAATTTTCTATCTTTTGCACGTTGTACAGTATTATATAATTCTTCATTTAAACGAGCTCTTCCTAATGATTCATCATCATATTCATCATCAATTTGGCGTTCTTCCTAAATTTAGGATTTTAAATTTGAATATAAATTTAATTAATATAAATAATTAAAATCTAACTTGATGCGTGGGTGCTCTATAGAATTGCATGTAATCTGTGGCATAGGGAATACCATTGACATTCACCGGTACAAACATACCCTCCTAAAGTAATAAGGAACATAAAATATTTTTATTTTTACTATATAATACTGCTCAAATACCTTCATATTTTGAATCAAATTTGGATCACAATTAACAATTTTATTACTAAAGTAACCTTTTACATTGTCAGATTTGTTTCTTATATCTCCATTAGGTGATTGTTTATTTGATTTATCATTTATTTGGTCTTCATCGTCACTGAAGTCTAGTTTTTTACTGTGTGGATAAAAAAATTAATTAACATTGATAAACAGAAACCAAAAAGTTATTGTCTGTTAATATTTAATAAATTTATTTACTTATAATCAATCTCTCCTTGAATAGACCACCCAGCTTCTTTTGAGAGTTCATTCATTCTTTTTAAATCTTCTTCTCGAATAATAGGAGGAGGTATAAGTTCCTTGATATCTGCTGAAGGTTTATTGGTAGTACCATCATTGGACATTAATGAAGATGAAATATTGTGAAACATTTTTTCTGATGGATAAATATTTTGTTTAGGATGATGGGGTAGGACATTATCAGACTGATTTGACACCATCTAAAAAATTAAATAATTTCTTATAATATATAGTTGTAAAATTGTATACAAAAATTTTGATTTTATAAATCTTACAAAAGTAGGCAACATATTTCTCATAATTGGATTTTTATTGTTATATTGCATTTGGTAAGGATTTAGGCCGACCTGGGCCCCGGCCACCCCATTTTGGACCAAATTGTTCCGTACGCCATTCACATTTTCTGTACCTGAAAATTGGAGTTTTATAGTTAAACAACATCATTTTACAGTAGGTTAATTTTATTAAATTATAAACTATGATTTTATATTAGTATACTGTTTAACCAATTAAACATTAGGTATAGTAAATGTTTTAATTGTGATATCAAATCATAAAATAAAATACATACCGAGAGATGTTTGAGAATGAAGAGTTTGACCCGTAACTCCAATAACACTGCCAGCAATTTGAGGCACTTGGGGACGACTGCCACCTTGCATCCAACTTGTTTCCGCTAATAAAACAAACAACATTATTAATTTATATTTAAAAAAAAAAAATCATCCAATTTTTACTTTGTGGACGAAGAGAAGGTCTCTGTTCTGTGTTGACCTGTTGTACAGGCACATTTGTATTTATTATATTTTTGTTTTCCCCACTTGAAGTAAGACTTGGAAATTCTTGTTGGAATTGCATTGAACGATGTGCTAAATATGTGGGTGGAGCAACTGGAACATCCACAATTTTTTTTGCCCATGTTTTGCCGTCTGGATGAACAGGCTTAAAAATAATAATAACATTATCATTTTATCCTTATTTCTTTTTTAAGCCATAAATAGCATATTATAATGATTATAATACGAATAAACCTACCCTGGTTGTAGTGGTAGTCACTTGTGCTGAAGTAGAATGGGACGAAACATGTTGTTGTCCCTGTGATGGCCCACTTTGGGACAGTTGAGATGTATTCGTGGCAGTTGATGTTGGCGGTACTTCTTTGACCACACTCTAAAAAAAGTAGAATGACATAAACCATATCAAACATTGCTACTAACATACAATTGTAAGTTGTAAACCATAATTTGTTAATGATATAATAAAAAAATTTTCTTTTTAATAATGTGAACATCTTCTTCTCCTTTGTCTTCATCTTAACTATTTGGGGTTAGCCACCCTCATTTTTAACCCGATCTTTGATCGTATACACCGGCTGTCATCATATTATTCCTAATTATGTCCAACCCCCTTCTTTTTCAGTGTTTCTCTCCCTCTAATTTTTCCTAAGTTTATTATCATTATAATTCTTACTGTTTTAGATTCCTCTGTTCTCATGTCATCATGACATGCCCATCTCAGTCAATTTGCTTTCATAATGTTTACCATCGAAGCCTAACAACTACCTACCTTTTATAAACTCATTCCTTATCCTGTGGATCTTGTAACTATTCATTTTCTTAAAAACTCTAATCTTTGATACACTCATTTTCTGTCACCCAACAGTCAAAACCACAAAACATACTCAGCTTCACCAAACTTTTAAAAATTTACATTTAAATCTCATTAGAAATATCTGTTACATAGAACACCTGATGCTTCTCTCCACTTTATCCGATCACACTTAATGTTTCACATCTTTATCAAAGGGTCAAAAGAACGATAAGTTCATTTGTACAAAACATACTAGGTACTTAAACTGTCAACGTTGCCTATTATGTCACTGCTTATTTTAGGTGTTAGATGTCTTGTTTCTTCCAAAATTATACTCTATTTACCCAGTCTTTTTAATACTGTTAAAATTTTTTTTTTAAATAAAATGTGTGTTCAGGTTATGTAGGAATCTAAATTAATATATGTGATACAAAATTGAAAGAGAGTACTGGCACAATCAGTGTTGCATTGTCTTTTTTAGCTGTACTCATGGCCACTGACAGCTTAAATGGACTAACATTGAGAATTAATTGATTAAACTATAGCGCAGGCTTGTAACAAATAATGCGATTTTGCTTCATTTATACTCAGTTTTCCAATGGTCACAATCAAATAATCACATGGTTATGTCAGTAATAGGTAAAATATTAGAATATTGAAATGTTATGAGTTATGATATTAATTTTAGTATAAATATAATATATAGTATATATAAATAATTATTGATACAATTTATGATAATTTTAAGACTTACCACAAGTGATTTCTCTGTGGATTGTTTGTTTCCCCATCCTGCACCACCAATAGGGACTAAATTAATTGTAGATTCATGGCTAGATTCAGACTTTTCACTTGGCAAATTAACAGGGTTACGAACATTGCGGACAACCTTGCCAAGTATTTGTAATCCATTTTTACGTGGTGCTATACTTTTATGTTGATTACCTTCTGTAGATTCACCCTATAATAAAAATACAAGTTATTGACAATCCAATCAAATATTTATATACCTGACTATATTAAAAAAAAAGAATATTTTAATTTACCTTGTACAAAGTATTTATTTTCAGTGACTGAAATGAGTTCTTTCCTTTGCTTTTCTCCCCCTTCAAACTTACCCCTGACAATGTAGACATACTGTCTGCAAGGCAACATTTAGATTATAAACTCGCCCGTAGAACGTACCTTTGATCTAAAATACAAATACAACGATAATAGTAACATTGATTTATTTATTTTTTGAATTATTTATTGTTATAATAAAACATAAATAACTAAAAAAAATTGACTATGGATGTGAGTGCTGGGGATTTAGGAGATATGTTTTAAGAGTTAATTTATTTAAATTAATAAAACCTTTGTCAAGAAAAAAAACAATTATTAGCATAATATTAGTCATATTTTTTCCTTGTTATCAAGGATTTGGTTACATTGTTAACTCAAAAATTATACAACAAATTGTCAGTTTTTTCCTGAATGACTTCTTCAATGTTCTAACAAAATACCAAAAGACAGAAATACTTCGCACATGGGTGGGCCTTTGTTATAGGTGAGAAATTAGTAAGGTAGAGTAAAAATTTAATGTATACCTGTATACAATGATTATCCATTGCTAACAATAAAAAGATTTTGAGCAGAGTTCAGTTGATAGTGTTGCTTTTCAACAATATATATGTATATCATATTACGGTTAAATATGTACATATGCATTAAATATTTTCTTTAATAATATTTGTTTAACATTGTACCTATTTTACCAGTTTTCCTATATTTTTTCTTATTTATTGAGAAACTTATTTATTAACTCCTGGGAAAATCAAAAACTAATCTGTCTTAAGTCAAATTTATTTTAAGAAAATATGCTATCATTGTAAATCGGAGCAATATTTCTGGAAGAAGTTTTTCACAGTTAAAAAAATAAATAAACATCAATATAAAACCATAAGCTTCATTGCTCACTCAGAATCTAAAATGCAATGGTCATCAACATTCTATATTTAGTAATGACTATACATATTTTATTTTTTTATTTGTGTAAATAGAAAGTATAAGCTGGTAAACCAATAGTAACAATTACAATAACTAAATAAGTAACAGAAATAACATAGTATAACAAAATGGAAATATGGTATTATAATAATTAAGAGTAAGAAAAAGAGGGTCGAATATTGGTAATCCACATCACCCTTGTAAGGGCAGTATAGTTTTTCAAACACACTGGAATATAGAAAAGAAAAAGATGGTACTTTAAAATTAATACATCAAAGTAGAGTTAAAGTCGGGTTTACTAGACCCGAGAGTAGGTTGCTTAGAAAACGTAAATTTGCTTGAACTCTTCCATCAATTAGAGCATGGATAATTGTAGGAAAGCGAAAACAAGGGATAAATCATAAAGAATATAACATATTTTCAACTTAAGCAGGACAAGACGAAAGTTTACATTGCATTCTCTCCAAGGTAAAATTAAAACTAATGATGTGCAGATCCACAAGACAAGAAATATATTCTAAAACAGAACAAACAAGGGCACAGTATTGGGACTGAATACATCCAATGATGGCAGTATTTTATTATCTTTCCCTAATAATAATTTATTATTGATAAAAATACGATAAAACCTTGGGAACAAATCTAGTTTACGATGACCTAAGTTCGTTTTTCAATTTTTTTTTTTTTCCAAAATGTCTATTTTTTAATGCTTAATCCATTGATACAATTAAAACTTACCTAGCATACTTACTTTTTTAGTTACTGTACATAAACCTTGAAAAACAACAGTTTTGGAATTAATCCAAAATGTGGTCAAAAATAGACATTTTTTTATTATTATTTGTAGTTATTGATATTTTGATAACAAAGTGTTTTTTATTAAAATCAGTCTATCTGGCTTAAATTTAGAGTTACAAATGTTCAAACAAGCCATATTCCACTGCGCTCACTTGGACAATTTCAATAAACAAAAAACCCTAGATTTGTTGTGCAAAACCACATCGGGTAGGTAACACGGTAAAGTGAAAAAGGTGGCATTATAGGTGGTATAGGCACAACTAGACCACCAACTTAAAGGGTGCTAAAATTATGGACACATCAAGACTAATGGGAGCTTTGCTTCCACAATCCCCTTTACACGACTCTTACAATAGTAAACTAAACATCTTTCATTTAAAATTGTGTATATACAAATTTATTATAACTATTTTAACATTATTTTTGTACACACAAGCAATATCTGTTAGTAATAAGTTTGTTCTGCACGTTAATTATGAAATACTTGGATAAAATATTAGTCGTTACCATGAAAAAGCTGATTGGGTGTTTTTGGGGGTGCTAATTTTAAACTTGGGATTGTTAAAGACACTCAAGCACCTCACTAGTTACACCTATGATAGATGAATAAGTTTATGTACAATAACTACAAAAGTAAGTATGATAGTTAAGTTTTGATTATACTAATGGATTAGGCATTAAAAAACATATTTTAGAAAAAAAAAAGAGTTTAGATTGTGAACTAGATTTATTCTGAACCTTGTTTTTATCACAAAAATGGCGGAAACTCAATCAACACTACACTCATATATATACATATCTAGAGGAACTGGATGGAAACATCAAAATATATGATCACACACCATCAGCCAGATATTTTTAACACTTTAGAAACACATACAACATATGGACATTGAATGTGTCAATTAATACAACAAATTTATATCGAACACAAAAACGTTGAACAAAACCAAGAATTTTTAGTACCTTACAAACAAGACTATGTGTAAATGAAATGTTAATTTTGTATCGAAATCATGTCTATTTATATACAATAAAATAGTGATACACTTCATATTATACAATTATTTGTCTTTACTTATCAGTCCAGAAAAACTTTCTTTAGGTACAATAAAGTTACTCATTAATAATAGTTACAATAAAACATTTTTATACCCATTGATCAAGGCCCTACTACATTTCTGTATCCTTCACAACGTCCCACAACAAAATTTCCTCGTCTAAATTCCTAAACTGTTCTCCAAAGAACTAAAAAACCATTGTTTTTCTTAAAATAAAGCACGCCCTTAGTACAATCATACCTGCTACCTTGATCTCTTTCTTGCAGGCGTGTTTCAAATTTAAATTTAAAAATTGTTAAAAAGACTTGATCTAAGATCAAACAATCTCTAAGTAATAATCCAAAGAAATGTTGGGACATCATTCAGAAAAACCACGCTTCAAAGCATATACATGAGATCAATTATTAAATATGGCTCTATACTCTGGGATCCCTATACTACAGTGGCCTGCAGCCAATTAAAAAGAGTTCAACACAAATTTGTTAAACATGCAGCTTTTCTACTCAAAATTTCTCACCCATCACATAACTATGACCTAATAACATCCTAAGGATTATCACAATATTTAAGCAGTGTTCTATGGTGATAACAACTTTGGTTTTTAAATAAGAACCTATATATTTTAATGCAAATTGTCAAGCAGATGATTTTTGTGAAAATGTTGACATATTGTAATCAAAATTTGAACAAATATTTTTTGAATTATTCTAGTTTAAATACTAAATGATAATAACATAAGACTGGTTTTTCGTTAACTGCACTATTCATAACAAGAAATTGCCTATATACAACTCCTACAAATAGTCAGTATCGTGTCCACATAAAACGCTAATATGCTTAGTATTCGAAGTATAACATAATGTAACTCAGAATTTTTTTGTTCAAATTTTGATTACAATACATCAATATTACCAAAAATATCATCCAATCGACATTTCACATTAAAAAATTTACGTTATCATTTAAAAGACCAACGTTGGTATGGCCACAGGATTTTCTCTAAATTATATGAAAAATCCAAGTATTTAAAAATATCATATTTTAACTATACATAAAAAATTTCAAAAGTCAGAACTATAATTTAACAATAAAAATGGCATGAGCATACTTAAAAAATTCACTATGTATACCTCCCAACAGGTGTATTAAAACAGTAGGAACAAAGATACTCATTTTAATTTTATAAATATACATAGATATATAGATTTTTAGTATAGGATGTATAATTTATTTTTAAAAAAGATTATTTACTAATACCTAACAGTAGGAACAAAGATACTCATTTTAATTTTATAAATATACATAGATATAAAGATTTTTAGTATAGGATGTATAATTTATTTTTAAAAAAGATTATTTACTAATACCTATCTACCAGGTGATCCATTTAAGTGGGTACACTCATTATCTTGGAAAGTATTAATTTTGTCAGGAATTTGTTTTCTAGAATATTTAAGAAACATCAAGCTGCTCTACAATTTTATAATTATATTATTTTTTTGTCACCCTTATTTTTGGTGGTAAACCACTACCTACTTTTGATATTCAAATGGAAACTTAAATTTAAAAGTTCATAAATAGATGGAGTATTAGTTTAAACAAATTTTAGTGTTGACATTTTTGATTTCCATCAATCCAATGACGAGATAATCCACTTTTAAGTTTGGGTTGAAGAAGTGTAGTGGAGTACCATTTGTGTTGCCATACGGCGTGTGGCGTATTAGTAATGCACCACCACTCTTCTCCAACCCAAGCTTAAAAGTGGAATATCTCGTAAACGGATTGACGGAAACCAAAAATGTCAACACTAAAATTTGTTTTAACTAATACTCCATCTATTTTTGCACTATTAAATATAGATTGCTGTTTGAATATTAAAAGTAGGTAGTGGTTTACTCCCAAAAATAAGGATGAAAAAAAGTAACATAAATATAAAATTGAAGAGCAGCTTATTTTTTAAATATTCTATAGAAAAAATTCTGGAAAAAGTTGATACTTTTCAATATAATGAGTACACCCACTTAAATGGACTATCCAGTACTTTAAAAATATTATTTCAAAAATAAATATTTATCTATACTGTTGAATATAGCTGTAAAATAAATCTATACAATATAGGTAGGTAATAAACAAATAAATTCTACCATCATGCTATTTTAAAAGATAAAAAAAAATTATCCTAGACAATGTCATTAACATTATTCTTAAATCCTTGACCTTTTAATATTTTTAATTTGATTTACCTGTATATTTATTTATATTTAATACATATTGTTGATTCTCTTTTTCTATGCAAGAAGTGTAGTAGGTCCCACTGAATATCCTTACATAGAAACCTCTTAAAATCATATAAACATTATTATTATAATAGGTACTACAATCCAAAGAAAAACATTTTTAAGTGAAAAATAATTGGTTATATTTAAAATGATTTTAAGACACCTAAATCTAATCTCATTAAACAAATCATTTACTTATTTTATTTATATTTTAAGACTTAAATATCTGTAATTAATAGTAGATAAAAGATATACCTCATAATATAATTGAAATAATATATTAAAATTAAATTTAAAAAAATATATATTTATTTTTAAACATAGATAATAAACAAATAAATAATAATATAAAGTAGGTCAGTATGTTACCTATTAAATATTAGGTATTTATAAAAAGTCTAGTCACCATTTAAAAAAATTATCAAAAAAAAAATTAAGCAAAGGAAGAATAATTTGTTTAATCGATTTTATTTCTATGTTAAATTATTGCAGGTCCTACTAACTTTGGTTTTAATATTTTAATATACCTAAAAGGGTCAGTAAAATACATTTTTGTTAACTTAAGATTTTAAATCAATTAAATTATTAATTATATACTATTAAATTACTAATTTTATTTTATTTAAATAAAAATGTCATATGATTTCTTGTTAATTATAAAAGATTATATACATTTTAACTAAATCTATACTATATACTCTAAACTAATTATCTGATAATTGATTTTAAATTAATTTAAAAATCAAAACTCATGATCTTTTAATCAGATATTTACAGAGAAATTTAAATAATTATCACTTATCAATATTTAAAAATTAAAGAATATAAATCACAAATACTGTTTATTTTCTTAATTTAAAAATATATTTAAACAAAGATATTAAGAACAAGTAGAAGCTAGTTATTAAATATATTAAAAATAATGAAAATACCTGGGATGGATTTTTTTAATCCACTTAAAGTCCAATAAAACTTATCTGCAACTGTTTTGCAAATTACAATACCTTCATCGATATGAATAGGTTAGAATGGTTGGTAGATACTATGCATAAAGAGTAAACAAAGGTTTCAAACTTACATAAAATCTACTTTATAATGGTCAATGCTTGACACTGTATACATTGATTATGATTATTTAATACTTTGAATTTTGGAATCTAGATAACTATAACCTACTATTTTGTAATCAGAGCATGCACTGAAAAACAAAAACAAAAATTAACCTTGACCACTAAATATGTGTGAAATTTTTCCATTAAGGATTAACAATGTTCATGTATTAAAATGTGTTAACAATTCAATAAGGCTTAAGAACATGTTTAAATGTTTAACTTGTTGTATAGTGCAGAATTGGATACATTAAATTTGTATATAACACTTAAATATTGTTAACCTCATGAGTACAAGCACAATAACTATGGGTAGATATTAAACAGCAAAAGGGTAGTATTTATACTTGTTGGAGACACTATTGGAAATTGGAAATATATTTTAAGTTGAAAAAATACAGGTTTCCAAAAACGGAAGATATTATATATTTTGACATTATTTACTATGTTAAATCAACGATTATAGTAGTAGACTGTAGGAAACTATTTAATTTATTTAGATGTATTGCTATAAAAGCAATCAGCAAAAACAAACAAGAAAAAGTTCTTTACCTTGGCTAGAAGACGCTGTGTATAGTACAGTATAAAAATGTCTTATTAACTAATAATCAACAATTGACACTGAACATCGGAATGTGTTTGCAAAACAATAAGTAGACACTAATGAGTCAAGGGCAGTATTAACATTTATCAGGGGAAAAATGATTGCAGATTCGAAACACGGCAGGCAAATTTGTATAAAGAATCCGATCGAGTCTCCAAAAACAGATAAAAGATGACGTTCACAAGACAAAGGCTTGTAATAACTAATATTATATGAATCTATCCCGAGAGCCAGAACACCATCGGAGTCGGGGCGGGGGCTGGGGCATGGACTTTGAGTTGGTTTGTAATTGTTTCTACCGAAATCCATGGAAATTTGATCGTAACAACGGTGATACAGAACAATCCGACATTTATTTAGTAGCAATATTATTGGCAGATTACATGCAATGCATGTTAGGAGACGGGGTCGAACGAGAAAATCGGTACTCACTTAGGTCCGTCCAAATGGGTGCACGCGTGACAATTGAATAAAATCACTTCCGAAAAAATGTATTTACAAATAATTATTATTGCGAACAAAAACTAACACGACGCAAAAACTGCAGCGAAATCGTAAAGTTTTTTTTTATCAAACATCACATCGAATACACAAAATGGCGTCTTTGGTATTGGAACCTTCATTCAACACATTTTTGTGTTGTGCCGCTCGCCCGCCACGCCTACAATCATACGCAGTGCCACCGTAACCGGGGATTTGTCGCTGACGGGAATTTTCTTGCCGTACCTAAAATAATATTATGTTCCACCTCTGTGATTTTGTTTTTATTTTTTCCCCCACTCGATTAACAAATATTCTACGCACCCATGCGGATTTTAATCGTAATTTTACCGTTTTCCCGAAAGCGGATCCCCATCACGTTTTAACGATGTATAAAATAATTAAACAAATATTATTGCCAAAGTGATCTTTGTTTCTTTAATCGTTTATAATTATTATTAGTATTATTCGTAGTTGTGTAGGTACGAATTATTTGAGTCCAAAATTTGGACCAATTTACTGTTAGCTGGGTTACTCATGAATGGGGTAGGTGGGACAAAAATAAAACAAGCAGGCGGTTGAGACGCGTGAGTGCTGTGGCGAGGGGTGGCAAAAACACCGACATTGACCCGGGACCAGAGTCGTTGTCCGTTGAGCCGTCGGCCTCTCACCACCACTCGTACCCGCTGACCGTAAAAACTGGTGCTGTTCGCTCCCCCAAACGAAGCGTCGGGTGAACGACCTGAGTAATGCGTACCGGTGTCGGCCGTATAAACCCGCGCGCAAACACAAATCTACATGTAGAACTCGAAACGCATCATTATGATTATTACTATGAGTAATATTGTTGTTTTTATGATTACAAAGTGCGCCGCCAGGGCCGTATTGTAGAGTTCATGGTATCGATGACGTATATAAGTTCAGTTTATTTGCAATGTTATGACGTAACATTTACGATGTTCATCAAAATTTGATCTTAAAACAATTATGAAAAAAAAAAAAACTATTACATTCCGCTCATTCCGCTGATTTTTTTTACAACTAATAGTAGAACTTAGTTATAATATAAACCTCGTATTAAATTTTCAAGTATTTATGTTTGGTTAAACAATTTATCCACGTACCTACTTTAAGGTAGTACTGACCAAAGAAAAACTACTTACGTAAAAAACGATTTAATGTAAAATATTAATAAAGAGCTTGAAAATATTTTGAAATTGTTTCCAAGTTTGGAAAAAATCAACATAAGTTTTCTAACAAAAGTTTTAAGTCTACGAATATTTTTAACTGATTGACAACAAACAAAATCAAAAATAATTAAATCATTATTTTCGTAAACATATTCTCATTCTTTCTACGTTTTTTCCGGTTTTGCTCAATTATTAAATAAACTACACGAAAAATCAAAAAATACTTTATTAATCAACTAGATTCAAAATGCTACAAAAATGGTCAACGCCATTTTTTATTAAATCAAAATTTCTGGTAAATAACATAAAACCTAAACATTTTAAATAATGAAATTGGTATCGCTGCGGCACACGCTGGACAGTGGGACCAAATTAAATTCTAGCTGGACAAAATTATTTTTTTATCTTAATCAACTTATTAAAATGTAATTAAGTAATATTTAAAAATGTTTTTCAAATTTATTTTTCATACTATATTCATTTTTATCGTCTTTGTCTTTATAGATGGCCTCTTGTGTACCGTCATCTAATCGATAAATTTATATATCTAATCTCGAATACTTAACTCTATTCATGGAAATAGGTTAGGGAGTACACAACCCCTAACCTCTTCCTCTACACACGTCACTGGTCGATATAAAATATATAATTCTGTACTCAACAAAAAAGACCTAATAAAAATAGTCAGTATAGTTATGCATGCATACATTTATAATTAAAATATATTTATGATTCCTTCCTAGTTGAGTAATAATAGATTTTTGTCTTTTTGTCAGACTAGAAATGAATTTGGTCTCATTGTGGGGCGTTATAAACATTTGTCCACTTTCCTATAATTATTTTAGTATAGTATAGTAATAAGTACCGACTAGATCCAAAATGCAACAAAAAAGTCTCTTGTCATTTTAGAATCAAACCGTTACAATAATTACCGTTTCAAAGATTAAAAAACTGGTAGAAAAGTTTTCTATACATATAGTACCTACCGAGGTAACATCCTTACCAACGTGATAAAAACCGTTGCCTGCATTAATAGGGGTAGTTTGTAGTATTTGTGTAGTATAATGAACCAAACAGCTCAAAAATGTAACAGTATCATTGTCATCCTTATTTTTATGTGTGAAACCACTACCTACTTTTGATTTTCAAATATCAATTTATATTAAAAATTTCATAAATAGATTAAGTTTTAGTTTTCGATTTCTGTTGACGATATATTTCTTTTTTAAGTTTGGATAAGAAAAGATAAGTGTAATGATATGATATGTGTGGTGACAGAGCACGCAGCTTTCGGATAGCGGTATATTAGATTTTGTTTAATTGTTATTATACTTTGTGCTTCCAATATTTGTTTACTTCAATTCCATCCTTGGTCACTGTTTTGAAAAATATCATTTAAAACTTGACTTAACACAAAAAAAAACTGTCCTAGATTAATGGCGACGGGTGCAACTAAGCCACTGTTTTAGGTAAAAAGTTGGGAAGGTGGTAGAGGGGAAATTTAATGTATATCTATACGTAACGACTATCCATTGTAGTCAATACTAATGAAAAACGATTCTGAACGGAGTTAGGTTAATAGTGTTGCTTTATCAACAATATGTATGTCATATTATGTTAAAATAATTATGGAAAATTAAATAGCTGATTCGAAGTAAAAATACTTCGAGCCACCAATGATGGAGGGATAGAAATAATATAAAAATAATAATAATAATAATATACATTATACAAAATGGTATAAAAGAAGTTGTTTTTATGGTTTTTGACAGTTTAATTTTATATATTTTGGAGTAAAATAAATTGTTTTTAAGATTTGTTGAAAATTATTACCATATAAAAAGTTAGCGCTAGGCAGCCTAGGGTATATAACATAAATGTATATGACTTTTTTTTCTTTCTTATTGCTTATTTTTGGCAAATCTAACAATTATTACTGTTGACTATTTTTTTTTTTTGGTTATTGATGCCTATGGCCTATGATAATGTTAATCCGGGCTTGAGTACAATGTACAAATGACCTAACGTGAATGTCTGAATAGAGCACGCTATAAGCAATTTATCAACATTTTTGTGAAATTAGCGTAGTTTTATTGATTTGATAATATAAAAAAGGGTCTCATTATGAAATATTGAGTAATTAGGTGATTGATCATACATATATATTTGATATCAAATATTACAATTATTGCATTTTTAAAAGTAGGTTTTCGCCTGCTAATTTTCGATTCACACCACTGTGCGCCACAGGGTTTTGAACTTGAGACTCTGCTTAACTGACCTAACGTCCTAACCACTAACTCAATTACGTAATTGTTGAGAAGGGATGATTTAATGGCTATATAATAAGTTATATAGTTCTTTGTTTATTGGTTATTTCGGTATATTTTATCGTTCTATAAAATAGTTGCTTACATACAAATGATTAGTGCATCCCCATCAAAAAAAAAAACTTGTTACGGTATTGGCAGACACCTATGAATAAAGTAGACAAAGTTGACAAAGTGGATAAAGTTTTAGTGAGCGTGAGCGTCTGAATGTTTTAATACTTTAAATTTGTCTATATTTGAGTCAACAAAAGAGTAAGTATGTGAGTGGGGGATATGAGGTGGGGTTAATTTCAAAATATAATATATATAGTGTCTGCTCGTAATTGTGGACATTTTAGAAAATTGGAATATTTAACTCCAAAATGAACTTTCTCTGAATAGTGGATACTAGTGTGATAATCAACTATAATCGTATAACCACTGAATATCCAAAAAAATCAAAATAGACGAATTAAATATATTTTTTTTTTTTGATTTTGCAGTCTCACTTATAAATTATCAAATCACAAAAGTACAATGTAACTTTTATTTAATTGTTACTTTAAAATTTCATATAGTTACAGGAAAATTTGAAACTAGTAAAAAAGTTAAATTAAAAATGATTACCTAACTTGTAAAAAGTTACAAAAGTAACTGAGTTACACGAAACTATGATACACACAAATGATACTCCACTACTCTCCCCCTACCTATATTTAAAGGTGGAATAACTTAAGTTTGCTTAGGTGTGTTTAAACATTCAAGCCGGCCCTGGCTTTAACTACACTTAAAATTCCAGAAATCAGAATTTATATTTATGCAAAATTTAATTTAAAAAAATGGGGTGAGCATACTTAGTGAATTACCCTGTATACTAGTAAAGAACAAACCCACTTATGTTGAAAAATAATCAAGATGTGGTGCTAGATTTCAAACGAAAAAAACATCTCGCGGTAAAACAATGGCGCCAAAATGATTTAATGGCCCCTTAATTGTCTCTTACATATTTTTTCAATGAAAGAGATTTTGTCCGCATATGCAAAGTTAAGAGTTCTTTTGTCGAATAATTATTCAGCGATTGTCAATAGCAATTCCTACAGAGACGTTCATTTCTCATTCTTCTTTTATGAACTGCATCTCCTTACTGGACTCTTGTAATCACTCTCACAGGTTGTGATTTTCTGTTTGCAATATTGACCTTTATATCTGTCTAGTTGATGAGGTTAATGTAGCTTATAATTTATGTAAGGAATAGACTTTTACCTGTTTTAAAAACCATAAAAAAGAATATTCATAGAGGAAAGCTTTAGCAATTATAATAAAAATTAAAAATATTGAACAGAACAAGTTACTGCATTTGTCAAAGAAAACCATGTATAAATACCAAACTATAGATATTTTCGTCTTTCCAAACACTTATTTTTTCTACCAAATATTGTATTTTAAGCCACACGACTGGTGTACTTGGCCAGTATTCGTTTCTAGTGACAACACGCCAGTCGTATGAGACTATGAGAGGCTTTACAAGTACAATTGTTGGTCATTAGCCTATGGTCACCAAAAGGATCACCAATATTTACATTAAACTTGGCATTTGCTTACACACGGTATAGTAATTGGTATTTGACTGGCCATATGAGTAATCTGTATACAAATTATATAATTGTGGTGTAGGACATATTATTTTGAATCGATGAACATATCAACAGTTGTGTGGGAAAATATACAATTACCATGACAAGTCTATATCAGTGCTAGACAATGATACTTATAAGTATACAAAAGCCATGAGAGCAAAGACCAATATTGACCAGTGATAAATATTGGCCAGGTACATCAGTCATGTGGGACCAACTTAAGACCACTGTGTACCTTGCAATTGCAAAAACACCACATTCAGTTATTTGAGGTATCAGATATAATACTAATAATATATTTTTGTTGTATAAGATTAATTTTTCTTACTTTTATTTTGTTAATGATAATGTTAATTGATGATTCTGATTTATTTGTATACCTTATTTTGTTGAATATTGGATAATCAATAAAAAAACAAAAATAAGGAAAACATTGTATTATTTGAAACTATGCAATTTAATTTATTAATATATTTAAAATTATAAAAAATGTAATACCATTCAAAAAATAATTAAAATAATTTATTGGATGCACTTACACTTACACATTCCAGTCTGTAGTATAGATTTAATTATAAAATAGAACTATTTTTTGTCTCACACATAGTTACAAATATTAAAACTAAAATGTCCATTTTCCACAAAATTATTATTGTACAATGTAAATAATAGAATTCCCGAGTAGTTGTTTTAACTGACCATCATCGTATTCAATAAGTTGTTTTTCAACATTAATGAATATTATTGTTTTTGGTGTCATCATGATATTATTCTCGGTTGGATTTAAGTAATTAGGTATCAATCTGGGCCCCAAAACAGGATCTTTATACCGCCACAAAGTAATTTGGCTAGACACTATTGAATAAATTAACAAAAATAATAAATATATTAATATAATGCCAACATAATATTACTATGATATTACATAAAGTTCACACTTACTTAGTTTAGGATCAGATTTCTTTAATCTCTTAATTAATTTATCTACAGTATCACCATTATACACAGCAAGGTCTCTTTGGAAATATGGTTTTTGTGGTTGAGGATTAACTATAAACAACTGCAATGATATGTCTGGCGGCAAAAAAGTTATGTATGGTTGACCTGGACAACATTCATTACGAATATTTTCAGGTGCTTCATTGCTATCAGAATATTTAACTTCAAGATTTTCCAACTAGAAAGAAATATGTACATTTAACAACTATTTGTTTAAAACAAAAATATTTTAAACTATTATGTATACTATTACTAACATCCAATGTATTTTCTAGATAAGATTTATTGATTTCAAGTACGTGTTTTTCATTAAAATCTAATTTTACATTAAAAGCAGAATCACCAATCTTGATTAATTTTTCTTTAACCATTTGTGCAAATGGCATAGCTCGCTTCATATACTTTTTAAGAAGTTCTATCTTCCCCAGAGCAGATGAAATAATTTTATTGTCTGGTAATACATTAGCATTATCCTACATTAAACAATATATATATATATATATATATATATATATAACTTAATTTAAAGTCAAAAGGCATATAATTAATAGCCAAATAATTATAAGGACATACGATGTAGAGCTCTTTCATTTTCTCCAATATTGTTGTTTGCCATGGAGGAAAAGTTTTCGCAACCCACGCCAAAGCTTTTGTTGGTTTTTCCACCTCTTTGACAACTGTTTTTTTTTTTTTAGCACCTACATTTAATATATTTTTCTGTTGTAGTCTAAATGAATGGGCCGCCTCCATTAAGTATTCAACACTTTGAAGTAGCTTATAATCAACAGTATTGGCTTGTGGCCATTTAGCTTTAACTACACTTTCGGTCTATTAAATAAAAATGTATTTAAAAATTAAATTAAATTAAATTACACAATTTGTTAAAAATTTACATTTCCCAACAGCTTATAAATATGTTCAGCTACATGTGGACAAATTGGAGCTAACAAAATAGTTTGGATTCTGATAAAGTGTAACACTAAATCTTTGTGCATACATTCACCTCCAAGTTCAGGATTTCCACAAAGCTCACGGTATCTATCACGAGCAGCTTGTAATTCAAAGAAGCCAGTTCTTAGAGCTTCTTTGAATAAAAGTTGTTCATAAAATTCTCCAGTTTGTTGAATTTTAAGATTGATTTCGCTGAAAAAAAAATTGTTCTTTAAAAACTTATTCTGACATAATATAATAAAAATTGTGTACAAATCTCAATCACCTCATGAATACAGTATCTGTAAACGAATCTTTGGGACCTTTACGTAGAGTTTCTTTAGAAGCCAACACTTCTTTTACCCATTCAATAAATGTGTAAAGCCTTAAAATACCTAAAAATAAATTTGTCATTCTTATACACAGTTCAAAGCAATAACTAAATGTTTAAATATATAAAATTAATAAAATTAAAATACCGGCATCCGCCATATTTTCTACAAAATTTGCATCTTCAATGGAATCTCCAGCATCAGCCAAACAAAACCTCATACCATCTGCGCTAAATTTATTGACTGCTTCTTCCAGTGTCATAAAATTACCATCAGATTTAGACATCTTCATAAACAAAATATATAAATAATAGTAAAAACCTATGATATATATATATATTATATTGTTATATATATTTATATACTTTAGCTGAATTCAATAATAAATGTCCATTTGCGCGTATACTCCTTGGCCAGAGTTCTGGATGTTTTGCCCACATTGCACAATGATTATATATAAAGAATGTTAAATGATTCTGAATTAAATCTTTTCCAGAACAACGCAAGTCTACTGGGTACCAGTACTCAAATTCACGTTTCATGGTATCTAGTTTTTTCTTTTTAATTGTACATGTTCTTGGATAGCTTTTCTGGTCTAAAAATATATAATCCCAAACTTCTGGTGTCAACTCTTCTGGCCTAAAATAGAAAAAAATATCTATCCTTAATCCATAAGAATCAATATAAAGTTATTTGTAAACAGTGTCATACAATATTATTTAGTATAAATATTCAGTTCCACTAAAGAATAAGTTCATTTTTTTAGCAAAGTAATTTATAATATTTTAGTTTGTTGGTAGTATTTGAATATTTTTTTTATTTATAAAGTTTCTGTCAGTCCTAATGGGTAATTAATGTAACTGGAATATGATTTAAAATTAAGTTTCCAATATGTCAGTCTCTACATTATTTCCATAGAGTAGCATTTTAAACTCTTTTAAAATATTTTGACACAGGTCATTGGGCAATATGTGGGGAAGAGAATGAGGTCATTTTTAAACAGACATTTTCCAACACTGCTAAAATATTTAATATATAGCTAATAAAAGATATATTAAAAATGAAAAAGCTGAGTATAGTATATTAATGTGTAAGTACTTAAAATTTATACATTGATTATTACCACTTAATTACAATTAATTGTATACGTAATAACTAGGGCGCCGATTTCAATGCAAAATTCATTTTTTTTCCTAAATCCTTACACAATGCTCCGTTTCAAGTAATGTAGATTCATATAATTCAATTTTTATTTTGCATTTTTTTTGTTTTAACTTCTTTAATGCATTTTTGGTGATTTTCGCTACTTTTAAGTTTATTATTTTCATATTTTTGAAAAATGTAGCATTTTTGGAGAAATAAAAAAATTTCAAGTATTCAATATTTTTCTTTTACTAAATTATTGAAAACTACACTTTATCGTCTGTCATATATGAATTATGGTAAATGACAATAGTTGATGACGATAACGTCGATAACAATAAAACGGACTATGTGTGTATAGTGTACATAGTGGGCCTAGCCATACTATTAATAGTCCCGTCAGTGGACGGAATTTCTGTTTTTCAACGAAATATAGTTTTATACATATCGTTCTAATCAGCTATTTCTAGTATTCAAACGAAAACAGTCGTGTTTTACCGAGTTACTGTCGTAGTGTCGTGCGTTTGACGTTTGTAAATAACAGTTTTATTTATTTTGGTGGATACAATTAAGTCTTTTTCATCTTTTTAACATTATGCCTAAAGTCAAGCCATCATCATTACTTCATTTACGTGCGTATATAAACGAATTTGGTGAGGATGTTTTTTTGACTGACGGAAAAATTTTGTTTTGCAAAATATGTAATGTAAAAGTTGCGTCAGAAAAAAAATTTACGATTACCCAACATTTATCAAGAGATAAACATGTTAAAGGTTTGGAAATGAATAAAGCGAAAAATACAAAATATTAAACTCAACCGTTTTTACCGACACGTTATCTAATTCGTTCAATAAAGATTTATGTTTTGCCATATTGTCATCAAATATTCCACTAGCCAAACTAAAACAATCAAAATTTTCGAAATTTTTTGGAAAAATATATGAATCAGCAAATTCCTGATGAGTCTACTATCCAAAAAAACTACGTAAGTACTTGTTATGATGAAACTCTTGCTTCTAATTAGAGCATACGTAGAAAACAAAAAGATTTGGGTGAGCATAGATGAAACGACTGACGTTGAAGGCCGATATGTCGCTAACGTTATTGTTGGAACATTGGAAAATAATTGCCCTGGTAAAACATTTTTATTAGACTGCAGTTTTGGAAAAAGCAAACTTTAGTACAATAGCAAAACTATTTGAGAATTCTATGAGTATTTTGTGGCCTACTGGTATTAAACATGATAGTGTTTTATTATTTTTAAGTGATGCAGCGCCATACATGGTTAAGGCTGCAAAAAGTATCAGCGCATTATATTCGAAAATAATCCACGTCACTTGCATAGCTCACGGATTGCATAGAATTGCTGAGGAAATTCAAAATAATTTTCCCGAAATTGATGCTCTCATATCAAATGTTAAAAAATTTTTTCTTAAAGCTCCGTCTCGTGTACTTCTACTTAAGAATATTGCACCCGAAATTTCGATGCCGCCAGAACCTATTTTAACTCGCTGGGGTACTTGGCTGTCAGCAGCAAATTACTATTTTGAACATTTCCATGTAATTAAGGCAGTTGTAAACGAACTCAAAAAAAATGACTTTACAGCTATTAAAAAGTCACAAGAGCTATTGGCTAAGCAAGAACTGGAGGCAAGTTTGGCATTTGTGAAAACCAACTACGGTAGTTTACCCACTTGCATTACACGTCTTGAAAAATCTGGACTTTCTGTAATTGACGCAATAAATATATTTGATGAAGCTGAAGTTTTTATTAATCGAAACAGTGGTCAAGGTAAAGAAATACAAAAAAAACTTGAAGCTGTATTGAAAAAAAATAACGGATTTAAAGCTATTAAAAACATTAAGAATATTATGGAGGGAAAAACTGTTTCACGAGATGAAGATACCGTTCCTGAAGACTTCACGTTTGATGATATGACCTACATGAAATTTGCACCAATCACCTCTGTAGATGTCGAAAGAAATTTTNTGCAACCATCACATACTATCTCAAGGTAAAATACTTAAATATTATAAAAAAGCAGATTTTTTTTTTTTAAATTTGACTGTTTATACCTAATACTATTTTTAATTTAATGGTTTAAAATTAATTTTCAGTTTAACATGACCATTAAAATACAAGAAATATAAAATCAAGAAACAGCTGTAAGCATTGATCAAATAAAGTAAAACAATTTTAGAGCATTTTTTATAATTATTTTTCATATTTTAAGTTCATATTTTTAGTACATTTTTTATGTCATTAATTAAATTTTAATGAAATAAAAAAATGTTGTGCATTTTTTTACGTCATTAATTGAATTTTTTAGGTCATAATTGTATTTTCACTAAGGCATTTTTAGGTTTTTTTTAGGGCATTAAAATCCGCGCCCTAGTAATAACTAACATTAACTCACTTGATATTAAAACGATTTCCATTTTCTCCTTTGAACGTTCCTTCTTGTAAAAGATGTGCAACAGTATAATAGGCCATATATATAGTTGAATCTGATAGAGATTCGATTAACCAATATTCATCCCATGGTAATTTGGTCCCTTTAAAATTAAAACTGATAATTTAATAATTTAATTGTAACAGAATTAAAAATTAAATTAAAAAACAGAATATTACCTAAACCGTATGTTCTAGAACAAGCATATTCATGTAACCAGTTTAAACACAATGAAAAATTTTTCCTAACCTCATCGTGGTAAGTATTCATATTCTTTAATGCTAATTCTGCTGCAGCTTTCCATTCTGCTTCACCATAATCTAAATACCACTGATCGCACAATGCAATAACACATTCATCACCAGACCTACAAATACAATTGATAATAAATTATAATACAAATGTACATTTAAAATCAAAATCTATGACTACCTAGATATTATAGTTTTTTCAGGTTCATAATAAATAACTCCTTGATCAGTGTCTATAAGCTTTTTTTGTAAAATTTTTTTAACATCTTGTACTTTTTGGTTTTTAAATTCACCAACAATGAGTATCTGAAAATTAAAATCATTATCTATAAAAAAAAAACCAGAAAAAACTATGAATGTGATTTAAACATACACCATCATAAAATCCTCTTAAATAGACTTTCTCTTTAGCTAGTTGTAATTTTTCTTTATCATTTTGACTCTGTATTTTCAATTCATTATAAACTGTAACAGCACATAAGTTTCCATAGTCGGGGATTTCAATTATAGGTATCTAATTGAATAAGAAAATAAGTTAACAATAATACCACAAATTAGACTAGAGAAAATATCAACTATTAAACAAGAGCAGTTATTAATATTATTAAATAACTTATTCAAAAAAATATAACTACATTTTAATTAACTCACAGGTTCAAAAGGAAGGACCATTTCATCAGTAATGTAATATTTTTCGCGGAAAGCTGGTTTCTTTTTTAGATCAGTTAATGCGGCATAATCATCAGGTGAATCCGAAGGAACACTTGTAACGATTCCAGTACCTTTATCAGCTTTGATTGATAACATCGGTAAAGTGTATATAATTTCATTAAAACTAAGAGGTGCATTTAACTTAATGCCAAGAATATCCTAAAAAAATAGTATTTGATAATAATTTATAAATATTCAAAAATGTATTTTTTTAATAATAATTACTTGGCCTTTAAGTTTGGTGATAATTTCATACTCGCCATTTTTGGCTGTGAATCCTTGGTATGACATATTCCGTGCAGATCTTTCGCTACAAACCAAAATGTTTTCATTGCTATTAAAAGCAACATATTCTAAGTCAGGATGTACCCAACAATTGGTTTGACCATACATTGTTTCTGGACGTAAAGTAGCAGCTACTAAAAACACAGGTTTATTTTCCAAGGACCTTAAAACAATAGTAAAATCATAAAAAGTAAATAATTTATATTTATATAGAACTAAAACAGAACTATAAAAGAAATAAAAAGCCATTAATACTTTGTGTTGAACTTTAGTTTTTCAGGATAAGGTTGTACAACTTTCATTTTAACTAGAGTATATTCCTGTGGACCAACTCCTTCACCTTTAGCTCTATCATGGTCCATGCATGGTTGATTATCCTTGGGAGAAAAAACTGTATATCGTTTTCCATATTTTATTTTATTATTATCTCGGAGGCGTAAAAATTGCCAACGAACAAAACTATCAAAAAATGGATTTTCATTTGTAGTTATAAATGTTCTGCGCCAATCAACCTTAACATTTAAATTAAAATTACAATAGTTATATACATATAACTATTCAATTTTATACACTTACATGAATACCAATACTTTTAAGATCATTAACTGCTAATGGAGGAAAATAACTCAACCATGTTAAAGGATCTTCAAAACTACGTATTTGTTCGTCATCTTCAAAGCCTAAACTTTTCATGATTTGCCATTGATATTTAGCTTTACTTCCTTTTGCTGCAGCTTTACTCTAAACAATAATGTTTATATTACAATATATTTGATACTTAATATTTGTCTGTTAAAATTGATAATAACCTTCTTCCCTTTACTCTTGTCCTTAATAATGTCAGTATCCACTTCGACCTCAATTTCTTCATTATCAGAATCTGGAAACTCTGGTGGACAGCCAAAGGTTTGAATTTCCCATTTCAATTTATCGGCACATGCTTTAATTGGCATGCCCGTGCAATGGAACCCAAAAGGAAACAAAACTTGTTTACCTTTCAGACGCTGATATCTGACTGCAAACTGAAAATAAAATTTAAATTTAGTATCTAACATCTAAGATTTAATGTTTTGATTTTAAATGATCTTACTTCGCATTTAGAAAGGGAAAACGTATGACCTAAGTGTAGTCTGCCATTCATGTAAGGAAAAGGAAATGTAGCAAAATATTTTCCAGTGATTTTTTTACAATTAGCTGGTGGTGCATCTGCTTCATATACTTTCTGTTGCTCCCATTGTAATTGGATTTCTTTTTCGATCTGGCGTAGGTACTCTACCTTAACGGTTCCTTTGCGGTTTTCGGTCTAAACATGTATGTAGAAATAAAAATGTACCTATCTATTGAAAAAAATTAAATAATTATTTTTAAGTAAACGTACCATGACTGTACTTATACTGTAATCTCGGCCACTAGGATGTCATCAAAGTAAAAAATGTGTTATTATTTTCGATTTTGATAAATTTGAAAAAAATACAAGATGTTTCAATATTGAATGAATAATCAAACTATAGATTGTGTACAACGTTTCGAGCACGCGGCATATCCGAAATCGAAAATATATCAATTCGTGATAACGATTTCCGCGTGCAATGTGATAATCATGATGATTAAATTGGGTTGCTACAACTGTTACGAAAGTTAACTATTACTATCATAATATATTACATCAAATATATTATTATTCACTATCGTAGAATAGATGAAAACATATTTATTTATTTATTTTTAATAACAGGCTTGCACCTACACATCAACATAATTACAAGTTATTTAGATTCATTAAATTACAAGTTAAGCATGTAATATTTATTTTGGTTCGAAGAGGAGAAAAGTATTAAAAGTGTTGGTTTAATATATTTTGTATAAGGTGGATTTACACAATGATTTTGTGACATTACTCCGAATGTAAACCAAAATAGAGTATTACTAGCCTATGATGTAAACTTATAGGTAATATATAAGATTAAATAGATTAAGTTATAATAATTATATATTATCTATGTATAAACTCTTCTGAACACAACTGCTACGAATGTATATTATTCCACAAGTAAATTTAAAATTTGATAAAAACTGCTACTTTAAAGCAATAACTCTGAATTGATTTATTTGTAATGACGAAACCTCGTAATGGTATCATGGCGATACCGGTAGTTTATATTGGGTACTGGGTAGTTGTCAGAAAATTGATAAGGATAGGGATACAATAAATTTGTGGGCTTATAGCAGTTCTCTTAATAATAATAACGATAAAAAAAATTTATCAGATCAGATTAACTAACATTTAAACCTAAATTCCCAAGACCATTAAGGTAATAGTAATTATATTTTATGTTAACATTTGTATGTATAATACATTTTGGTTAATGTAGGTGAGTATAGAAAATGATGAGAAAACAATAAATAAACTGCATATAAGACTTTTATACCTTTGAAATCAAAATTATAAGGTACAGAGAGTTGATAGATAACAGTTCTCAGAATCGGATTGTATAGATAGGTACCTACAATAATGATTTAAAGTTATTAACTTATTATTTTTATAAACGGGAATTCTAAAATTCTAATTTTGATAATAATTGAAGGAATAAGGACTACAAATATTCAAGTTTGGATTCAATTTTTATATTTTAGTAAAAAATAAAATGTTAGCACTTTTCAGCCCTGTATATCTTAGTTCGTGGTACAGACTGATACATAAACTAATATTAAATTATTATTTGGAATAATTTAGATTTTTTTAGTTGATGTATTTTTTTTTTTTTTGATAGTGAAAATGTTTACACAAATATTTTGTTCAACGTTGGCAATATTTTAAACTGAATTCGAAAAAAAAATTTCATATAATATATGATCAATAGAAAACGCTTTCTATAGATTATAGTGTTCATCAAGATTTAAGATATATGTACCTATCTTAAATCGTGGTGTTCATATACTATTCCTGTTATCACATTGATCATTTTTAAAAAAGACCACACTATTTTTTAGTACCTAACTATTCTTATTTTAATTTTGTTACAGATTATATAGACATCACATCATTCAGTTTAAATCTTCCTCCATACATATTTGTCAAAAATAAAATGTACATAATATGTACTGAATTCTATATACTTAGGTACCTATTATCTCATAAAGCTTAATATATTAGTGATATTTGTTTTTAAAAAAAATGTGTTTTTGTAAAATAAATTTAAATTTAAATTCATACACTTCACCACTTGGGTAGATCAAATTAGATTTTTAGTTTTAAAATAAAATTTCTTCTAAATTTATTGGTATCCATGTTTCAAGTTTTTATAAGTTCTTTTATAAAAATAAAAAAATGAATACACCAATGATTTAAATAATACTCTAAGGCTCGTTCTCACTAACGTAAAAAAGGCGTTTATCTGATCTTTAAACTAAGTTTATAGCTAATAACCGACCACGATTGGTCGATTATCATATAAACTCCTTTTAAAAATCAATGTTTACGTTGGTGATAACCACGGATTAAGATATATCTTAAATGAAATGATATAGCTACGACGGAGTAGTAGATGCTCGCAGTAGTTGTCTTTCGTGGCAGTGGTGTTTTCCCTATTAAATTGTATATTGGTATAAGTAATTAGCTTTTTTTTTTTGTAAGACCGTATTCATTAATATGTGATCAATATGATAATATCACGATTGTAGAGATGAGAGCACATAATTATCGGTAAATAACAATTATTCGAAAAATAATAAGAACTGTTTTCGGAAACCCGGCCATTAACGCACATTAACTACATACACTGCATACGATGTACGAAGTAAAATATTATCCGACGCACAGTGGAACAAAAGGAACAATTTATATACACTAATAAGAAAATCTATGATTTAAAAGTCGGTATTAGCAATGATCATACTTATCTACCTGCAGAATTTTATCGCGGGTGATTAGATTAGAAATATTGAACCCATTTCATTCCACGCTCATTAATCCAAGATAATATACATCACGACAACACACGAGTTTCAACTATAAAATATTTTAAATATTTTTTCGGATTCTTTATAATTTTAACTTCATAAAATATGGATTCACCTAGCTCAGGTATGTTTCTAATCTATACAAATTTAAGATTTAGAATTTGTGGCTGTTTTATGCAAATTGTATATATTTATATAAAACATAGGAGTTTCCAAATAGAAATTAACATTTGTGTTTCGTGATTAATTCGGCCTTTATTAATAAACATATTTAGATGCAATATGTATTGTCGTTGATGAGGACAATTTCATTTGTTGCTCCATTTTTTTTTAAAAAATTACGGAAAGCCCTAAATTAAAAAAAATATCAATGGTAATTTTTAACATTTTATAAATTTCGAAGTTATAACAATTTTAAGCTAAACTTTTTGCATATTATTACCTTATACTAATTAATTTATATAATTTTAAAACAAGGTGTTGTAGTTTAATAGGTTATCACCTAGCTATTTTCTACGATTTTTGAAGTTTTTGTAAATGTGAATATTACAATATTTAATAAGTTATTATAGTCTAAGACAAAGATTTTCTTTTCCGTGAGTTAATATCATGCAATAATATTATCATATTATAGTTATTAGGTAGTTGGGATCAATCATTCATGATAATTTATGTTGATAAATAATATTATTATGATTGAAAAGAAAATAATTCAAATTTTCAAGAAATAAAAGACCATACTTTAACAAAAATTTCAACCACCAAACATTTTTTAAAAAAAATTATGGTAAAATTTCAAATTTTTTATTATAAATCCGTCTTGCTTTAAAAAAAAATGTTTCCTATATAAACTGTAGTGCTGAGGCATACTAATTATTTAAAAAAAAAAGGAAAAACCAAAAAATTAATAGGTTGATCACCATGAGATTTTTTTGTGGTCTTGGTGATCTTATCACTGACGTCACGAGTTTTTCGAAAAGTTTACTTAAATTTTTTTTGGAATAAAAATTGAATAATCTTTTCGAAATTTCACACATATGTTTAATATGACCTTTAAAAATCGTATATGGTGATTTTAGACTTATTTTAGGTGAGACTCTTTTTGGGATCTTGTGGTGGTGAGTACTACACCAATAATATTAATGAATGTTCCTTACGACATAAGATTGCAAAATAAGTCTCAGAATATATGTAACACACAAAACAAAAGAAATCTCAGAAGCAATTTTGAGTAAACTAGTTGAGATCTCAAGTTGGATCTTAAAGCGGATTTGAGTAACTCGTTTAAAAGCTCGTGGCGGTCAATCTGTTAAATAGAACAAAAGTTATTGCATTTGCCGAACATTCGTGGGATATTCTTTATAAATTAATCTAGATACAAGTGAAAAAGTCTTATTTATGACAAACAAATTAATCAAAAATTACAAAATCAGATAGATGCATTGCAAGAGGAAATAGAAAAAAGACAGGATCTAGTCATGATTCGCAGAAATTGCAAATTTCGTAAATAATTAGTCGTTTTCTATCTGTGTACATAAGACACGATGGGAAAAAGTACATCGTATGGAAGAAAAATAGATTAAAATTATTTGGTTTCATGACACACGTAATGAAATAATTATATCTTAGTTCTATATCATCAGATATATAGCTTCTATGACTTTTCGACATGATTTAATAATCTTGCCCCACTAACGTGCAAAAGCATATAACAAATCGGGATTTATTTTCGATTTATTTACTTCATTCACTTCGTCTCCAGACAGAGCCATATTACAATTAAATATAGTAGTATTTAGTATTCAAATATTAAAAAATTTAAATAATACATAGTAGGTAGTAGGTACCTATAGAAATTACGTTTTCGGTTCGTTAATATGTATCCTTATCATTATTTGTCCTTATAAATTTCAAACAGTAAACTGTACACATTGCATTTATTTCCTGAATATCATACTTTACATTTGGCGTGCTGATTTTTAATGATGTAAGTACCTACGTAATTTTATGTTTCATTTTTTTTTTTTAATCTGAAAAACTATTTATTTTTTTCTATACCTATGATAAAGTTTAGTTTTGTTTTTTGATTTATTTCCTATATTTGCCAAGTTTGAAAATTACTTAATATCTTGTACCTATATTTTAGTAATGAACATAAATCGTTATAATTATGCAGTATTTTATTTCTGTATAGTTTTGATTTTTCCAAGGTGAAAACCATTCATGAAAAAATGAAAAAAAAACGTGATTAATATTCAAAGTTTTTATAGTTTAATAGGTATTTTTGTAATGAATATAAATACCAAATGTAATAGAATGGACTGGACTACTGTTAAGGATATTTGAGAAATAAATATCTACGAACGTAATACCATTAATTTGATACCTAGTGGAATACTAACCTCCCTAAACAAACATCGTGATCGGGGCAAACATTAATAATAATAAGTAGGTATTCGAAATTTATTATTGAATTATAAGAGTATAATTAATATGGTGGTCATTGAATTACACATTCATACCAATATCAAATTCTGGTTCAATTATTAATTTATATATTAATATCTAAAAAACCTTAATTAATTTATTTGCATCCTGGGAGAATCGACAAGGGATAGAAATCCATACCAATACCCAATATACCTACATGGCTATATTATAATAAAATTGACTAGAGGGAATTGGGCAACAATAAACAATATTATATTGAAACTCCGTTTATGTAGGTAATCTAGTTCCCTACTCAATATAAATAAAAATTACCTACTTACAGATGTGTAGGTTTACGATGTGTTTTTAGTTTTTCCTTTTATTAGATCCAGCTAGGCATATATTAAGTATCTAAAGATTACAATTAAAAAAAAAACTGGGTTTTATATTTATTTCAAATCTTGCGTACATTTTGGGACCTTTACCTACGGGAATTAGAAAATGCAACATAAATCCTTCCAAGTTGTTGTTATTTTAATTTTTTATTTGAATATCTATTACAGGGTGATTATTATTTCGAAAAGTATTGACTTTTTGGAATTTGTTTCATAGAAATTAAAGAAATAAGCAACTCTAACATATTGCATTACTATTGTTTGTTGTCATCTTTATTTTTAGGTGAAAAGACTACTTTTTATTTTCAAATAAACCTATTTTCAAAATTCCATAAATTGATAAAATTTCAGATTAAATATAAGTTAATATTGAAATTTTTAATTTCCACCAACCCATTAACGAGATTTGACTTTTAAATTTTACGTTTTTCAAAAAAATATATAATTTGTGTGGTAGCGCTGCACACGGCGTTTGAATAGTGTTTCATTATTAGAAAACCAAATTAACCAAAAAAAAATATCAAACTTAAAATTAAAATGTATCTATCTAATCAACGAGTTGAAGGAAATTGAAAATATCAAGATCAACATGCATTTAAACTAATTTATCGAATTTCTACTGTGGTGCTATTTAAAAATCAAAAGTATATAGTAGTTTCATTTCCAAAAATGATGGTACAAAAAATAACGATAAGGAAACATTTTAGATTATCTTGTTATATACATTTTCTAAAAATCAAATTCCTAAAAGGTAATAATTTTCAAATTTAATGCGCCTCTTGCCGTCTTATGTTGGTCTCGTTATATGGCCGACTGTGTCGAAATCGTTCACGTCAACGTTTTCTATGACAGTTGTATTGTTCTTAATATCAAATATTAAAAACAAAAAAGCGGTTATACTAGGGATGGGAGCTGTTGTAGGTGAGAAGTTGGGAAGGTAGGATATATAAGGATATTTCATTGTTTGACGAAAGACGATTCCGAGCGCAGTTCGGTAATATATAATTTGAAGTTCCGTATTTTTTCTTGGGATTTTTGTTTAAATTTGATTTCAAAAAAAAAAATTAAAAAAAAATCATCTGATCACTTTGGAAATTTTACCACGTCTAATTAAGTCAAATATAAATATTATTACCAGTTTTCAAGTCTCTTCGTGTGTTTATAACCAAATTACAGCAAAATAACTCCCAAAAATTAAAATTCCTTACAAGTTCAAAAGTAACTCATCAGTTTTCACAATGATACCGTAAGAAAGTACAACAAAAAGGCGACAAAAAAGGTATCTTGTGATTTTTCGATTAAATCATTTTTTTCTGGTAGAAAACGTCGTCCGTGTTTTTATAAAATGATGAAATCGTGAAATTGTACGTTTTCCTACGTTTTTTCCCACTTAAATGCTTTTATTTCAAAAATGGCATCGAAAATCAAAAAATGACCTATTTTAAGTATCATCTAGACAACTTGAGCTTTCTGAAAATTTTCTACACTTAGAAATCGGAGCAAATTTACTAAGAAAAAACGTGTCCACAGACTAGAAAAAAAAAATAAACATTTTAGTAAAACCAATAACTCACTTCGCTCGGAATCTAAAATCCAATCGAGACCCATAACTCAAATGAAATCCGAATCATGAAGGTAAAATATTTTAGATTCCGAGCGTAGTGAGGGAGCTATTGGTTTTACATTGCTGTTTATTTTTTTTTTCTTTGGTCTAGTTTGTAGACACGTTTTTTCCTAGTAAACTTGCTCCGATGTATAAATGTAGCACATTTTCTGAAAGCTCAAATTTTATTTTTGAGCTTTTAAGGAATTTTAATTTTTAGGAGTTTTTGCTGTAATTTGGTTATAAATACACACAGAAATTTGAAACTTAGTAATAATACTTATATTGGACTTACTTAGAAGTTTTAAAATTTCCATAATGATCGGATGACTTTTTTTATGAGCTTTTTGAAATCAAATTTAAACGAAAATCGCAAAAAAAAATGCGGCATTTCAAATTATGTATTACCGAATTGCGCTCGAAATCGTCTTTCGTCAAGCAATGGTTTATCGTTGCTTAAAGATATAAATGAAATAACCTAATGTATCTTACTTTCCCCATTTCTCACCTACAAAATAGCCGCTCTCATCCCCAGAATCAGCTCTTTTTTTTTTATTTGTGCATTGATACCGAATCCGAGAAAGAGTTTTCATTAATAATACTTCAATAAATAATTATGATAATGTTCTCATACTATACGAGTAAATAAAGTGGAATTATTATGAAAATACGTGCGAGCTTAAGCGTACGTTGTCCAAATATTTATTCAGGACGTGGTGGAGCAATATACGCTCTTCGATATTTTGTTATTAAAATATCGTATAACATTTATATTTTCTCAGGGATAAACATCCAAATTAATTAAATACATTGGGCGTGCGATTAATTTGTTATCAGATTAAATATTTCGGTGAATGTCTCTTCGAAAAATCGTCTAAAATTATATTATACTAATTATAATTATAATTATTATTATATTATGTTTTTATTATCAATATGTGGTCCCCGTAAAGTAAGCGTCCCGTTTCCAAAGTAAGTGTACTTACGTATGTCGACATGTCGTACGCACAATTCGTTTGACTTTGGATACGTTGTTCAAATGCAATTCAATATAGAAATACGTTGTTCCATCATTTTTTGGGAAACGGCTAAAAAGGTGGGATACTTTGTTGTCTGCATCCCGCCAACATGTTTTAAAAACTCAATTAACTTCTAATACCAGAGAGACTTACTCCAGTTTCTTTATATAATACGAGTATAATATATTATTATAATAAACGTAAGCAATAAGCACGCCCAATAGTATTTATTTACAAGGGATCATGTACAGGCAATTTTAATAACGCCTTTGAAAAAAACGAAAATTATTGATCAATATTAAAATTTAAAAAATTCACTTTAAAATAAATTTATTTAAGACTTTGTCATGTCATTTTATCAAATTTTTTATCTATATTTATTTTTCAATTATGAAATTGGTTCAGAAACGAATTATAATTATTATATTGTTTTCATTGTTTTTAATTAATTGTTTAATACTCAAATGTTTGCAGTTTTAAAACCATATTTATTAAAGGTCTTTAAGTCTTTTTATATTTTATTCTACGTGAACATGTTTTCACCGCAGAAAATAATTTCAAATCACGTCATCTCATTAACATTTATCCTCAAAAAATCATTCTTGTTGCGCTGCACCAAATAATATATTATAATATAATAGGTACATAATGCATATTTATAAAAAAAAAAGTATCTTATAATATTAGAAGTTCCAGAATATTTACTTATATATATAGTATATGTATAGTAGCCCTGACCCCTAGCTACTAATTGCATTATTAGTTAATCATTAATAACCCAGTTCTGATTAATATCTTGATCATTATCGATAACAACGTAACAAACATTAATATACTAGGTTATAATAAATTAGTAGTAAATCAATATTGATTTTTTTCTTATACCCGATATTTTCTATATTTGCTATCGATATAAAACTGATAGGTATCCGATGAGATATTTCAAATCGAAAACCAGTTGATGTTAAAATTAACTGATATTTATCGTTCGGAACCCTTATTTTTTTAAACGATTTTTTTTATATTCCAAAGACATATAGATATTTTTATCAGAAAATGTCGGTTTTGAAATTTGAAATCCTATATCTTTGGATATTCTCATACATCAGTTTATGCCGGCACTCGATACTATGATATTATGTTATTTTTCTGTGTAAACAGGATAGGAAGGTTGAAGGATGGTATAGGTAAAAATAATAAAATATGCCTTTTAAAAACCGAATAAATCAAAGTGAAAATATTGCGGGTTATATTTTATCAATTGGTATAATATTGATATAAATATTATTATATTATTGTGAAAATGAGTGCTCTAAAAACAACAATCGTGTTCCGTATCAAATATTGTATAAAGTAGGTAGGTATAATATTTTATTGTTATGTTTCGCCTATTTTTTTATACTACATATTGCGTTAATCACATTATAATAATGTTGTTTTATTATATCTATTAACTATTATATTTCATGAGATTATTTCAATAAAAGTAAAACGAATTCGATAAATAATTCACAACGCCGCAAATATATTACATCAAATTGTCTTCTTCGTCGCTAAAATGTTTGCTCTTCATTTCGATCATCGATTTTATAATCAGCGGTGTATCTGAAACAGAAAATAAAAATATTCACGTACGTCATTATATGTGTATGTAGAAATTATACAAATACCATACACAAATTCATAGACATAATTCACACCACAAGTAGGCTAATGTTGTTGGTAGGAAGTTAGAAGCGTATAAAGTGTATTGAAAGATACCTAATTTAGTTTACATACTGAAAGAAACAATGATAAATCATTGAAATAAACAAAATCAATTTTAAACAGAGCTCAGTAAATTGGGGAAATTATAGTATTAGTCATGTTTATAGCATAGCTATAAGGCATCTAATTCAAAAATTAATCAAAATATGAATAGAACCAATGTATGATCTCATATATTGTCAGTTTTTTATTTGATAGAAAAATTTTTGGAATCTATAAAATTTGTTTAAATAAATTATCACCAATCGGAAATTTTACATTTTTTAAGGTAAAAATTATATCGTTTTTACCAACGAAAAATACGTTTTCCGAAATAAAAAAATACATATTTTTGTAAAACTAATAGCTTTTCCATCGATTCACTCATTATAATAATTATTTTAAATGTGTAAGATTTGATTTAATATTATAAACGGCATTCGACGGGTACCTTATCGGGTACCCGAATTATAATAATTACGCTACGCATCAAAAATGTATGAATTGATTTACAATCAAGTGTAAAGGAGTTCTTTGTTCTTCATCGAGTTTAAAATATTAAAAAAGGCAGGATGAAACACCTCTAAATTAACTTTAGTAGTCCGCGGTCGTTAACAATTTGTAAAAGGGATCCACAGTATTGAGTTGGAAACCACTGCAGCAGCTTTATATTACAATATAAGTATATCAAGCAGCAATAATTTCTTCGAGATACGCGGACTACGACCTCTGTTTCAGGGTACAGTAGGTACAGCAATCAAAGTTTTATAAGAAAAAAAAGAGAAAAAACGCGCATAACAAACGAGTGAAATAATAAAATTGAAGACGTACTACGCTTAATTCGCGAAACACTAGACTGCGGTGAAGTTGGTAAGATATAAAAAAATATTATATAATTTAACGAAATAAAGATGTGTAAATTTAAATGTCAACATGGGCCAAACATTAATTTTGTATGTCAACAAACGCGACCGGTAAATATTTGCGTTATTATTCATATTTGTGGCGAGATATTTTGCATACTTTTAGTACAGTGGCAATGATTACTTGACAATGTAGAGACACAACACGTGACTATAGAAAATACATATAGAAATATATCAATCACCGACAGTTTGATTGTTATTACCATCCATCACAACCATCATAAAATATTGATAAAATAAAAAAAAATCAGATATACTTCTCACCATGGTTATTCCAGTAGTAGATCGTAGGTAAGAAATTTGAAATGGTTAGAATATAGTAGGTAAGGTGAAATTGTCATCCGTGAATCAAAAGTTATCAAATATGAATTAAATTTTCCCCACCTAATCAAATTTTTAACAGAGAAATTTTTTACATTTTGTGAAAATTTAATTACGAGTATCTTTAATATTACTTTTTTCCCTGGTTTCATAATGGATAATGAATAATTGGAAGATAATGTATAACTATATAGCTATTCCACATTGTTTTTCTCGAGCATAATAACGAACAAAAGCAAAAACGTGTTTCAGGATCAAAATGTCCCCACAAAAAAACTAATAAAAATATTACTGCGAATCAAATTATTCCCGAGGACAATTAGATCTCATAATGGCTTTTTGATCTATTCAGAAAAACTAATTTGTATACAAAACGAATCAAAAAATCCCCTTAACAGATCAAATAGTCCCCATTGGATCAAAATATCACCAAATCAATATATGTCCTCTTATGGTGATTTATAATTTATATACTAGAAATCAATGATAAATTATTGCAAACAAAAAATGATTCTGAGTGGAGTAGTATTCATCGTAGTTTTTCCATTTTAACGAAAGTAACTTTTTCTGATAAATAAAACTAAACCGATACTCTTACATTTATTGTGAGTTCTTTAAACTTATAATACGTTGCGAATCTAGAAATTTGGTTTCAAATAAATTTTAACAAAGTTTGGTTTTTTGCATGTTTAAAAATCCAATGATTTTTACGATTTAACTAAAAACGCTTATAAAAAACACCCGTAATGTGTTGAAGTCCTTCACTATAGAGATGAACATCCTTCTACTCATTTTGTATTATAGAATTATGCTAAAAACAATAAATAACCAAATATTATAATAATACAATTCTATACTATTCAAATTAAAAAATAAAATACGAAATATGATCATAAAAATGATTGGAATGGGAGTTGAAAATGTATACTCTCAAAAGGCATATTCTTAATACTAATGTCATGCATGAACAAAATTGAATCTTCCTTAGCTTAATTCAGAGAGTCTATATACAAAGATAAACAAATTCCTTCCCCCCACAAAAACATGGTTAGATTCATATTGAAATTCAATCAAACTTTTAACACTTCAATTCGCCTATAAATAACTTGAACTTCCGAGGTTGAGATTATTTGAACCAGAGGGATGTCCGAAAGTAGTAGGAGAATGATTTATATAACTATATGTAACAGACTTATTATTACAGAAGTGCAGTATAGCTTTATTTTCTAAAATAATACCAAAGTAAAACCAATACATTCCTCGATAGGCTGAAAAATTAGAATTTTAACCAAAATATATGCTGAAAAATATAAACATGTAAAAAATTTCGTGGGCGTATAATATATATATATATATATATATATATATATATATATTTGATTATTATATCTTTAACATTTGTATAGTATAGTATGAAACAAAAAAATGACAGAAATTCAAAATGAAAATATATTGACGCGCATGAGAAAACAATGCTGTCAACGAGTTTCTCGATAATACAGTTATAGACGTAATAATATGATAAACGAAGACAGTTTTTAAAATGAGATTTTAAACATATAGGGAGATCGATGGTTCTGAGATAAGGTCAGGAAAAATATAACAAACCGAAAAATAAAATAGAGTACATAATATTATACTATTGCGTATACGTATAGTTATAATAAAAATTGTATCTGCCTTTTGTATAAATATAAATTTAAATAGTTTTAATACTACCACAAATCAAAATTAATAAAATAAAAGTTGTTTAAAAAGATGTGATGAACGGTATTATTCGGAAATATATAGGAATCAGATATTTATTGTATAGATTACCTTCAGCGTCAAAGTACGATGTATCGTAGTTATCTGGCACAATTACCGATCGTCCTAATCTGGGACCAAACCAAAGAGCCGGGTTTCTTGAACCGCTTCTTCTGCCGATTCTGGGGAACGGGATGAGTCCTGCTTCTCTTTTATGATTTCTGAGTTCTTTCTGGACCTCGTCTAAAAACAAGAATTTAACAGATTACAAATGTGTACACATTTATGTAATGAACATGTGCAATACGTGTTTGTATCTATACGAATATCCTGATTAATAACATATTTTTTCTTAACTATAATATTTTAGTTTGATAAATTATTTTTGATTATTATTAGAGAAATAGATAATTGCGAATGTGTCACATTTTGATATGATATAATAAATAGTGTTGTTCCCGTGAATTGAATTTCAAATTATAAATTAATTTATAATTTAACATCCATAACAAATACCTAGTGTAATGTTGTATTACTAAAATATTAGGTATTATTATAAATATATGCTAAAAAAAAAAAAAAAAAATGTTTGTTATAAAACATACATACATAAATTGTCCATATTTTGTAAATCAGTGTTGATACCCGATCGTCCAACTCTAGGGAACGGTATCAATCCTGCAACCGATTCCCTCCGGTTTCTGGTATTGTCCCGCTTGAACTCGTCACTATATTCTGAATCTATATACAAATAATAATAATAAATAAATAATAATACGAAAATGGAAAAATAAAGCAAAATAATTTAATTAAAACTATCATAATGTATTATTAGAAATTTTGTCACTACAGTGTTTTTAAAAAAATAACTTTTTTTTGTCCACTTTTTAAAATTGTCAAAATAGCCATATGGTAAAATATATATCATACATTCATATCTGATTAATAGTTTTTGTTAGTTATAGTGTCTTTAATGTATAGAAAATTAGGCGTGAAACAATTAGTATTCAATAGAAGATAAGGAATTATCGCGCTGATTATGATTCCTTATCGCGTAACGTGTTATTCCATTTTCTATTGAAAATGTATTGTTTTCACACCAATTTTCTAGATATTAAAACGGCTATTGCTAAGAAACTATTGATCGAATATGAATGTATATCACATTCATACTATATATTACAAAATGGCTATTTTGAAAATTAATAAAATAAAAAGGTATTTTTTGTCAATAATTAAGGTATGAAAGTAAACATTTGATTTTTCACTACATAATATGCGTTCCTCTCTCACAAAACCCGACTGAAAAAAAAAAAAAATGAATATTGACAGAATTATTAGTATAAGGATAACACTGTAGGACATCCTACACTCATTGACGTCTAAATTAGAAAATGAAATTAAAATAAAATAATTAAATTCCATTTTTATTTTATTCTTTTGTGGAATAGTTATAATAAAACTCTTTTATGTACTTCGCTCACGTATAGTGAACATAATAAACGAATAACCATAATAATATATGTTTTAAAGTGGTTATTTAAAAATAAAAAAAACTATTGTGCGTAATTATGTTAGGTATATAATCTTATAATATAATTATTATATATTACTTGCACAAGTAGGTATATTATCAAAACTGTAAATACTAAACAGGAAACTGAAATCACACGTTGGGTCTCTATTAAAACAAAGGGATGTAGGGACTGTATAATAAAATTATATTTTAGAAGCGAGAATATTCGCTCATTCGTTTTGAATATAAATTTAATCATTTTTGTACGAATTTTTTACAGTATATTATAATAATAAAGTTAACTTTGAGTTGTCTTATGCTATTATTTACGAGGTTATAATTTGATGAGTGTATTTTTATTTTTCAAATTACACAAACCGAAAAATACATAATATGCACTATATCACATAAGGTTAAACACGTACAGTGTTAAACCTGTAATATCACTACACCGCATACATAATAATTCGGATTTAAATTTAGATTCTGAGTGGAGCGATTATTTTTTTTTTCTGTGGACCTTTCTACCAGAGGACTTGTTCCGATTTTTACATGTAGCAACTTTTCAGAATGGAAATCGGTGTGGGGAGGTACTTTAAAGAGATCAATTTTAGATTTTCTTAAGAGTTTTCTTATCAAATGCGAATAACTGAAAAAAACCGGGAAATTTCCGAAATATAATAAATATAATATTAGGATTTTTTTTTTCTGTGGACAACTTTTCTACTAGTAATTTTGCTTCAAACTTTAATGATAGCAATGTTTCTGAAAGGAAATTACACTGGGGAGGTACTTTAAAAAAGTCGTTTTTCTATTTCCTCCGGAGTTTTTTCAGCAAATGAGAAAAACTAGGAAAACCGGGAACATCGGTATAACATTAAATAAATATTATTAAAGAAAATATATAGAGCCTATTTAATTGTTTTACTATAAAATAATGGCATATATATTGTTAACAAATCTACACTAACAACTGAACTCCGCTCAGAATCATTTTTTCGTAAGCAATGGTTTATATCGTTGCTTACAGGTATATATTAAATTACTTATAACAATGGCTGCACCCGTCTTCATTATTCTAGGACGTATTTTTACCTTTTTTTTTTGTTATGTGGCTTTATTATTATTTTTTAATATTGTTTTTTTGTGTTTTAAATCTGTCCAATATCATACAATTTCTCTGTTAATTTTGGCCATTTAAAAATTAAGTCCACGAAGTGAGCAGATCCTTTTTCATATATACGAAATTGAAAACAATTCTCAGCGAACTATATTATGTCAGTATATATTTATTTTATCTTAAAATGTCATTACAAAATAAAAAATAGGTTTAGGTAAGTATTATAACTCTGATAAAATCAATACAAATAAACTCTATACACTTTTCGTGTTTTTGTGTGTTTTCGTGTAAACGCAGTATAATATAATATTTAATCGATACTATAAGTATGGTTACATAATCATTTATTATAAATATAATCGAATAAACAGATCAACAGATTACAATCATACTAAAATCTAAAAAAATTGAAATATTTACCAGTGGTAGAGTTTATAATAACACGAGATATAATTTATGAGAATTTTAAATGAAATTTATTTTTTTTTTAAACTTTTGATTAATCATTCATATTATTAGTACCAACCATACTAGTACCATACTAATAATAAAAAAAAACTTAATTTATACAAACATATTATTATAGAGGTGTTATAAATAGGGGCACAAATAATCACAATTTGATTTCAGAAACTATATTTTATTTACTATTTGAACCACATCCGGATTATAAGAAGAAGTGAATAAAAATAATAATTAATAATAATTTGACCGTTTGAATGATTATAACGTTAAAAAGTGCTTATTAATTATTGTCTATGTGTGCAATAAATTATGTGCTATATGTTGAGAGACCGAATCGATTAAAATATAAGATCTCATTTGAACGAGTAAAATAAAACGTCACGAAAAAATATAATGCCGACAGCATCGCCTCTATATTATCGAGATTTTAGAACGTATAAAAATAACGAGTTTCTTGAGAAAGATATATATGAGTAGGTATACACCTACTCAGAAAGAAGCTTTTTGTTATACCTATATAGCTAGTATTTAGTTAATGAAAATAGCCAGAGCATTCTGTGTATAGGTAGGTAATATAAAAACAGATGAATCTTTTACATGTAGTTTGGATAAGCGAACGACAACGGAATTAAATTAAAATTATACAGACGCTATTTCAAACATCACTGCGAATAACAAGACGAGGTGTTTGATAATATTGAATTCACCAAGGTATTCACCTACAATTTTACACTCCGCGTTGTTGTTATGAATTATCTCTGATCCGCATTTTCATTTAGATCTTTATACAATTATTGCGACGTGAACACATTGAAAGATTATACCTACATCAGAACACTAAAAAATATAAAATTTAATATTTTTTATCTTTTTTTATATTTAATATTGTATTATCGAATACAGGATCCAATGTAATCCATTATTATTTTTATAAATATCTGCGAAATCATAATATATATAGATGCGAATGAGTTCCGACTTACATACACTGAAGAAATCGTACATCTATATGAAGATACATCATATTTGTATAGCCAATTTTAACGAGATTGAAAAAAAAATTTTACTGCATATGACGGCACAAATATATTTTATTAAGAAGTCGTAAAATATTTTACAAAAACGTAATTTTAGCATTTTCAAAACAGAAAAATACAATTCAAAATGATTTGATGACATATGATAAAATACTTATTTTAATAGGACAATATTTCCGAGATAATTTCCAAAAGATGTAAATGTTGGTATCACGAATGTTAAAAATAAATAAAAATTCATGAACGCTAACAGATTATATAAATATAATAAAAATTAAAATGTATTCGAATGATATAATTGTATTAGTACCTATTAGAAAAAACTCATCACGATACTTTTAATTAGGGTTTATTTTTTGTATCAAAACGGTAAATACTATACTGTTTACGTAAGTACCTAGAGGTTCCTATAGTTATTTATATTAACGCGTTTTGACGGATATTCTATACCAATATAATATTGTGTAAAATAAACTATTGCTTTCGCGAAGCTATTAAATTCTAAACACGTCACCATAAATCCAACGGATGGATAAATATAATACAAAATAATTGGAATTAAAAAATAGTTTTTAGACCTGAAGGGTGATCTTTCAAAATAATAAACTATATGTAGTATATTTAATCTATGCTACAGTATTATATATTTTGGAACCTTGTGGACTTGAAATATAATATGAAAATTACAGTCATCTATTTTTGTCTATACAATTATGAACAGTCTATAACAAAGATATACGTAATATTATGTGTCATTAGACTATTAACTATTTGACGAGAGATGAAACATTTTAAAATAACATGTGTGCCACATGAAAAAAAGTTAAATTTTAAGTTTATCTATATCACAATATTATATTAAATATTAATTATTTTAAAATAAAATAGTTAAACTGTACCTATAAAAATTAAATAGATTCAATGATCAGCTTTTTTTAGTTTTTTAGGGTTATTATCAGCAGAGTCGAATTTAAGTTGTCGCCAGGATTGATGTAATTTTTTTTTAGACGAGGCATGAGAATATAATTTTTGTATGTGTATAATAAGAATTAAACAATGTATAATGTAGGTATATAATTTAGTCCTTTAATTTTTTTTGAAATCATACAATTAACAATACATTATTACAATTTTCTCTTTTTTAATTTGATTAATTTTTAACAGTTTTAGTTTATTATAATAATTACAAATTATTCATACATTGATTAATAATATAATGTATCTTTACAAATTTAACGTAGAATTATTGTATGTTAAATTATTACTACATCCTACAGAATGTTGATTTATCTTGTTTTATACTTGGCAAATTAATTTATTACTACATCGTAGTCTAAGTTTGAAGCTACATCTTTTTTAATAGATAATATTGCTAGTGAAATTATTCGTTCTTGAGTCATTGATATGTCTTAAAATATTATTTTATGAGTTTCAATATAGAAAAAGATTGGCTACAGTTATTGGAATAAAGTTAGTAATATTCTACCTATATGATTATTTATGGACATATGGCAACATTAGGAAATGGATTCTGATTCTAGATATTATATCGTGAAATCGTACAATAAGACGTTGTTTACTTACAGTGTAAGTAAACAGTATAATTAACTCTTACTAAAAAACTAAGGAAATCTCAATTGAGCATTAATAAATTCATTCTAGCGTAAAGTTAACAATTTGTAAAATATAATATTATGATGTAATGTTTAATTTCAATAACACGAGGCCTAAATTGTTATACAAATGCGCGAGGCCCAGGGTAGGGGCCTAAGGACGGCTCAGATTTTCAGATCAATGAATAATCAATTTTCCTCAAATATTTAATTTTTTTAGGTTGAATTAAATACACATAATCTAAAAAAATATACGGGCATATTTCGCACGATGGGTACCCCACTATATTGTTGATGAGAAGTTGGGGAGATACGATATAGAGGCGAATTTAATGTATATCTATACGTTGCAATAAATCTTTGCTAACGAAAAATAATTCTGAGTGGAGTTCAGTTGTACATGTTTTGAAAGGCCGTAAGATTTATGATTTGAAAATAATACATTTCGTAAATTTTATCCTACTTTTTTCTCGGTTTACTCCATGTTTTTTCTTGGTTTTTCCCATTTATTATGAAAACAGATGGAAAAATCAAAAAATGATTTCCTTAAAGTCCCACCCCAGTCAGATGTCCTTTCAGAAACAGTATTACACTTGAAAATCGGAGGAAAACTGTTGGTAGAAAAGTTGTTTATGTAGATAAAAAAAAATAAACATCATTGTGAAACCAATATATTCCATGCACTGCTCAGAATCTAAAATTTAAAATTATTATTGATTCACGTAAATGTGTATATGTAGATATGTAGTATAATAGCTTTTCGAAATGAGCATACGCTCAGATAATAGCCTAATGTAATATTACCCTCAAAAGCACTAATATTCGTTTAAATATTTTATACAGTGATTTCCTGCTGTGGTTAATATTTAAAAATGCGTATTTTAATAAAATAAAATTTTATACTATTATACCTATAATAATCATATAGCTAATGAAAATAAAAAAAAAAAAAACAATACATATTTATAGATTTTTAACACAATAAACCTATATATACAGAGTGTTTCACGGAGATCTAACAATATATTTTGTTCTATTCAATATTTGTGAGTTTTTCTTTTTTGAAATAATTAGGTACTATAATCAAAATTTATTTAACTTTATGAATGAAATATTAATATTTGACTACCTGAGTAACTTTTTTAAAGTTATTGCGATTTTTAGATTTCTGTAGGACCCATGTATAATGTATATACAGGGTGATTTTTTTTTATCGTGAACCAGCTATTTTGTCGGAGTATTTTAAGTCAGATACTGGTGTTGTGCAAATCAAATATCTAGAAAAATATTCTATATTTGAATCTGTGACTGAAAGGAGTGGAGGTTGCTATTTAAAAATCTAAAGTGGATACTGATTTCAGGTAAAAAAATGATATAAAAAATAAAGTGAGGGTAAAAATTTAAAATAGTGTTAAAATAAAGCTTAAACGATTCTATAATGATCAAAAACAAAACTGAAGACAAATTTACTTAAAACTCTTAGAGAAAACGGCTGTTTTTTAATAAAACAATCACCTGTCCATAAATACTTTTATTATATTATATTATCTATATTATATGCAAAGCGTAAAATTAGGCAAATTTGTATTAAAATGATTATTCGAACATAAATGTTTTAAATAACAATTTTTTTTTTAAATACCCCTTTTCATTATATAATCATGAACCATCCTTTCAAAAGAGTTAATAATAAAAATGTATTGGTTTGTAGAAGAAAATTGGTAGTTACAGAAAAGTTATGCAGGCGCAAGTATTTGTATTGCCGAATTTTAAATTATTCGAAAAAATCATAAACCCTAATGTATTAATATGAATTGTACTAAAGTGAATACATTTTACCTATCTACATGACTACATGACTATATTATGTTTTTATAGAAACTAATTTATTGGTAAAAATAATCTTTTTCATTTTAAACATAGCAAAATTCTCAAATAATACTTATTTATAATATTTTTTTGATAACATATATAATATATATTTTACCAGTTACAAATTAAATTTTCCCAAAAATGGCCTGTCCATGTAAAACTTAAAAAGTAATTGCATTAGGTATCTATTCAAAAATGATTTTTTTTTTTTTATTATTTACAAAGATGTAACCACAACCCATTATTATGCAGTAAGTACTACATCAATTACTTTTAAATGAAAAATAAAAGGCGAAAAATAATACAATATCTAAGCTTAAATATGTCTATAATACGTATCTTCTTTTTTGCCTTATCCAATATCTATATATATATATATATATATGAGTGAGCTTTATGTAAATTGATAATAGGTATTTAAAAAGATCTAAGAGAAAAACATCTTACGGTCATACATTTCAATTTCACGGTATTTTTAGTTGGTATAAAATTGAATTGTTATAACAAGGAGTTTTATGACAAAAGAAGTGTTACCTCGGTTTTAATAATTCTTGTTGAAATTATCTCATGTCACATCTGTTACGTTTAATATGATATAAATATATTATGTGATATACAGAGTGATCAATATATCGTAAGAAACTCATTTTCTCGAAAAGTATTAACTTTTTCAGAATTTATTTTTAGAAAAATTAAGGAAAAATCACCTCTAAAATTTTTCTATTTATGTTATTTTTTGTCACCCTTATTTTCAGGAGTAAACCTTAACCCACTTTCGATTTTCAAACGACAACCTATATTTAAAATTTCATAAATAGATAAAATATTATTAAAATAAATTTTGATGTTGACATTTTTGATTTCCGTCAATCCATTAATGAGGTATTCCACTTTTAAGTTTGGGTCGGGGGTTGTTGTAGAGCAACATTTGTGTGGCAGCACGGCCCTTTGTGATTCAAAATTGCACTATCATAATATTAAAGAGAGTAATTATTATTCTCCACCGACCCAAACTTAAAAGTGGAATATCTCATAAACGGATCGCCGGAAATCAAACATTTTAATACCAAAATTTATTTTAACTAATATTTTATCTATTTATAGGATTTTTAGTATAGGTTGCCATTCGAAAATCAAATGTGAGTCATGGTTTAACTCCCAAAAATAAAGTGTACATTAACTAATATAAATACAAAATGGTATAGCTGATTGTTTCTTAAATGTTCTATAAAACAAATTTCGAAAAAAGTAAATACTTTCCGGGATAATGAGTATATTACGATTAATTTATCACCCTGTATATATATGTATTACAAATATAATTTTTGTTCTACAATACTACATAGAAATATGTATATATCTACCTTATAAGGCATAAAAACACCTACAAATATTCAAATTTATTAAATTAAAAACTTCATATTATATTATATATTTTGTATCTGTTTTTTAAATAATGTTCAATTTTTATTATTTTATGAAAACTATATAACATAGTTAAGAGAAATGATAACTTATGAATTATGAACAAAAATTATAGATCTTTTAAGTTAAAAAGTGTTTTAGTTTAATTGGTACATAATTTACAATATATATTATGTTATGGTTTTATTTTAAAACGAGTTTTAGATGTTTTGATATATACTAAATTTTTAATCTATAATATAAAGACTTATCTGAGTATAATTTAATCGAAAATACTTGTTTTTAACATATAGTAAAAAAAGTAATATTTTGAGAAAATTATGAATTTACTAAGTCTAACTTACAAAAAATACATTTACAAAATATTAACAATAGTCATCATATTTTGAACAAGTACCTATTTATTCAAGGTATTTTCATTATTATTCAGATGAATAGCTTTATCTTAGAAGATGGATATTTATGAGAAATATGAAATAAACTAGATACCCAATAGTTATATCGATTTCTACAGTAAAAAAAAAGATAAATTTATCTGAACATCAATGTAAAAAAAAAAAACATAAATTATTATTGACAATTGGCAACAAATGTGTACAGCATAGTGGTTATCATTTAAATAGTATTATCATACGATAAATTATATTAATGAAATATTAGAAAATTCCATTTATTAACTAAGTAAAGAAATAATTTCTGTAAAAAAATTAATTTTTAATTATAATTTAAGTACTGCCGGTGTGCTAAATATTTCTCAAAAATATATTTATTATTTAATGCATTAATACATTAACCTAAACATTGTTCGAAAATCAGTATTAAAAATACTTATATAATAATAATTACTTACTATAAGTATAACATGAGTTTACAATCCTCCACATTTTAAATGTAAAATTAAATAATTTTAGTTTTTATAGTAAAATTTGATTTTTTTTTTTCAATTACCTACCTAATAAAGTAATGATAGATAATATTAGAATATAAAATAAATCCTAAGATCGAATTTGATAAAATTAATATCACACAAATAATTATAATTAGATTATATTGCTGTAAATAATAGGTAGGTATGTACTTACCATGACGTAAAGCATGAGCGAAGAAAAACGTTAATGTTAACAACAGCAATGCTGTTATTTGGGTTTGTAGATTTTTCATTGCCTGGTGAATATCTAAATTTTATTTTATAAGACAAATTATCGAACAGATACTTTTTTTTACAGATTTTTTAACACGCACGAGCTGCTACCTATTCTTCCCGTCTCTAAAGTATAATGATGACGGTGAACGAATGTGAGCGCTGAATCAACCGGTATGAGCTTTTATAAGGGATTTTATGGGAGGAGCTTATCAACTTGACGTAACAAATCAATTCACCAATCCTGAGTTTATGACTTGTGTCATTACATTTATTTTTTTAGATAACTATTAAATATATATGTATATATATATATATATATATATATTAGTAGCGAACACAGGGGGTAGAGAGGGGGTATTTTTAAACCGTCTTCGAAATATAAATGACCTTTTAAATTTTAAACGATAAATTGATTTAAAATAATACAAAGACCAAACGTAATATATATTTTTAACCCCCCCCCCCTCCCCCTCGAAATTTATTTTTCGAAATTTTTCCAGCGTTCGCCCCTAATATATAAAACCTATATAATACCTATTCTTGTAAATATTATACGTATGCGTAAACGTATTTTTGAGTATTAGTAAATGAAAATATTAACAGGCAAAACAAATATGTATTCAATAATTGTTTCCATCGATACAAATTTGTTTCTAATTACAGCACTGTTAGCACTTCCAATGTACATAATATGCATGATAATTGAATGAAATTGTTATACCCAACAAAGTATTAATAATAAATAATAAGTAATAGGTATTTCATAATTTTCTATTAATGAAAAAAAAAAATATTTAATGGTAATGATTTATACAAAACGCTATGGCTTTCACGATTAACTATTTTTTCGGACACGTCAATATTCAAAATTTTCGGAGAGTATATAGGTTTTCAAGACTTCAATTAAGACTTCAAAATATGCGGAAGATTTTTTTTATAATAAATACATAAAACCTTTTATTAAATCAATAATTGAACATTGTATAATCTACCAATTAGATTTTGTATTAATATTCACTAAAAGGTATATACCGTGATTTAAACTTCCAATATACTTTTTGCACCTCATTTTAGATAAACTATGCTAATGTTTTTTTTTTAATAAATTATATACACATTCAATTTAATACTATCGTGATTCGTGAATTCATAAAGACTAGGTGTACCTATATAGTGTAATACATTTTATTTATATTAAAAAAGCTATAGCTTTTTCGCCTACGATCGGATCTAAAACGATTAATTCAATTTGTTTGATACCTACATTATTTAGTTTAAAATCGAATATGAAATTTTCTAATACCTATATATTATATGTGCATAGGTACTAAATAGATACGCTTAAATAAGCCATTAAAAATCTAAACAGTATTTACCAATTTAATCAACAATATACCTTATTTACAACTTTATAAGAATTTTTTTTTACATGAATTATTATTTGAAATCATTTGAAAAAAATGGTTCATGATACAAAGAATTGGATTTAGGACCATCGGTTATCTCAACTTATGGGAGAGTACTTAGATGTATAGTATATTATTATTTTTAATTTGAAATCCATCATAAGATATTCAAATGATGATTTTAATTGTTGATACTCTACAAAATTAATATAGAGATTATTACTTCTTCTATGATTTAAATTTTGAGTTTTTTAGGTTAATAAACTAAAAGTTTTGAAATAAAAAGTCGTTTTTTAAGTACTTAAAATCACTGTAGTATTTTAATTATCTATTTGTACATAAAAAAAAGTTACTGTGTTTAGGGCGGTATATCTACCTTTTATTAAGTATATTTACTGTTACTAAAAACATACAAACATTTTAAGGATAGAAAAAAGATGACAAGAAGTTGACGGTAAAATATGAATAATGACAATAAACGGTGATGTAATAGAAGAGTTTTAAGTGCCTTAAGAGGTTAGGTTGGGTTTAAGTTTTAAGATCTTTTGTACAAAAGTATTGGTTTTAACGTGAATGTAAAGAAAGAAGCTGGTGTTTTATGTGATAGGGTAATGCCAATGAGAACCTAAAGTTAAGTTTTACAAAAATATAGTGAGACCAACTATATATTATATATTATTTGGTGTATAAGGCGGTAGACAAAAAAACAGAACAGAAAATGTGTGTATCGGAGATGAGAATCCTTTGGTGGATTTATGGGAGAAGATAGGATAAGAAACGAGTACAAAAAACTTTGATGATTAAGATGATTCGGACATTTTATAAATTGAGAGCAATAAGAATGGTAATAAAAATAAACATAGGAGAAAATAAGGGAAGAAGACAGCCCAAAAAAAGGTATTGGATGTTATTGAGAATAATATAAGGCCGACTGATATATGCGAGGATGATGAAGGAGGTCGAATCAAGTAGAAGTTTAGGACGTTAAGACGAGTTTAAGTTTAGGTGGCTGACCCCAAATACTTGAAATGAAGGCGAAGGAGAAGAAAAAATAGAAAAACCAATACTTAATAAGTTCTGCTCAGTCTTAAATATATTTTATACAATATAAGTGATTGGCAGATAAGTTACTGAAGAGTATATAATGATATATTCGTGGAGTCGTATTAATCATATAATTTAAACATCTATTTTGGAAAACGTTTAACAGGTAACTTTTAACATAAAACATGAAATTTGATTGGATATCGATGGAAGTGGTTTTCGGTAAAACTTTATCAATCCTTTTAATCTATAGTTATTAGACCGCCAATGTACTTTATAATATGTAGATTTATTTTACAATATTATATCACCTTCATCCGTATAATATTATAATGATTGCAGAACTATGAAATTTAATACCTAATATGAGTTTTAATATACCGAAACAAGAATACAACTCGTTTGTGTAAAGTTAATACACTATTTTCTCGGGAATATAATATTACATTTATTTAATATTTGCATATGAACCATGCTACAAAATGTCCCACTTAAATAATCACATAGTAACACCATCATATTTTTAAAGGGTTTATGGCACTTTTCGCTAATCGATATCCTGTTTAATATAATATAAAAATATCCACTAACTTTTGCAGTGATAAAAAACCATGTCATTATGATTCATTATAATTTAAATATGTAAGGATAAGAATTTAAAATATAATATAGTTTTAATTAGATATATTATATTATATAATAATTATATTATAAATATTATTTAGAAAAATAATCCCACCTGTCTAATAATATTTCATCAATGTAATTTTCATTCGGTAGCCACTAGCCAGATAGGTACATATCTAAGCAATCTTAAGTTAATCTGAGCAGATGTGAACGATAATTACCGAGCCTCTTAAGTGAAAAATTATCAAGTCTCATAGAGACGTTCGATTTCTACCATTGTTTTTTTACTTGAAAGAGGAAAACTTACTACTATCGACTACGTTTTTCAACATTTTTATTTCAAACTTTATAATACGTTTTAGGTCTTACATCTAAGGTTAATTTTAAATAAGCAATTTATTTATACCATTATTTAAAATCAAAGTTCAATGTAGTCCGTAGAGTGTTATTTTTTATCAATAAAAAAAAAAAATTGTAGAGAAATATTATGTTAATAATCGTAATTTTCGTACGTAAGTTGTCCATACCCTTTACCCTAAATAGATATCAGGAAGTAGATTAGTGGAAAAGTCTGATTATTAAGGCGGCCATTAAAATGTTAAAAATTATTGTCATATTATACAATGTTGGAGAAAATTAAATAAACTGACCCCGGGCCTCTTAAATATAATATTTTATTTTTACTTTATAGAAAAATCCATTTGCTTAGGATAATGTATAACTACGTAGGTATACAATGATGATAGCGATTCAAAAATATTTTCGCTTTAAAGAACCTAGATTATTAATTTAATAATAAAACATTTATAGCCAGAAAAAAACCTGTGGAAAATAATTTGTCGTTTATAACGTCTCGGTGTTTTTTGTATGTATAAAAATATAAATACATATATATTTTTAAACGTATTTTTGTAAAATAACCATTAGAGGTGCTTATCTTATTGCAAAAAGAGAAAAAATAATATAACTTTAAACTAAATACAGTATCATCATTCAGCTTCGGGGCTTTAAGGAAATTGGCCGTTCATTGTTACTCCCTACTGCAGTATAATGATTAAATGGGATTTTTTAAATTTAGTTACAAAAATAAAAAACAACTGTATTGTGCTACACCATTTTAGTTTGTACGATGATTTTTTTTTTTAAATATATATATATATATATATAAACATAAATAATCAATGAGAAAAAATTGAAAAAATTGAAGTAATTGCCATGGGTACCAAAAAATAAAAACCAATTTTTGAAAAAAGTTTATTGGAAATATCAACAAATGTTTTCAATAAAGCACCACCACAAGGTGAAAAAATCTGCATCTTTCATGTATGATTTGAAAATATTGAAACATTTTTCAGTTTTTATTAATCGTAAAAGTGTTATAGTTCTAGAACCTAGAAAAAAAAATCTTTGTAAAATTAATAGTTTTTCAACAAATAAAATTAGCCTCAACTTCCTTTTCCCATGAAAAAACATTTTACCCTAACTGGTACCTAATATATTATTAAAATCAGTATCATTATTATTTATTTTATAATAATATTGGGGATTTATCGACTCCGCCAGACATTTGTAAATATTGATTCCGCCGGTTATCAACTACGAATTAATATAAGTAGAACAAATAGGTTAGAAACCTTGAACACTCAATTGTGTTGATTAAATTAGAAAAGTAATTGACTCGCTAACTGTTCTATAGTAAAGAAGACTTTTTGAAAATTCCACCCCTAAAATAGATAAAAAGTTAAAAGCCATCGATTCTTCCACCTTCCTCTCTCTCATTAACTTTAAAATACCAGTCAGAAGCAGTCGCAGTACAATCCCATTTTTCATCCCTCTTCATACCACCAACTATCTTAATAATGAGGCTATAAGTCACATTATGAAGCTTACCAATGACGACCCCTCATTTAATTTAATTTGATTTGTGTTTGAAATGATTTGATTTTATGTATGTAGCCTATTTAATTTGTCTTAATATTTTTATTTTTTCTTACGTTTTTGTTATTTTGTACTCATGTTTACTTATATATTACTAACATATTTTATTCATACAACATTTTATTGCTATACTAT